AAAAAAAAAAAAACCCCAAAAAAAGAGACGCTGAATGCACCCAATTCCCTTTTCCGAGCCCTTTACAGCATGCAGGTTTAATAGAGTTTTGCTTTGTTGTAATACCTGGGTTGGTTTTTGTTGGTTTTGTTGTTGTTGTTGTTTTCCTCATCTGGTTTATTTTAAACACATCACGATGTGTAGGAATCTCTAAATATACCGCAAATATAAACAAAACAAAACAAAAAGAGAGGAAAATATATAATATATAACAGTAGTCTAAAACATAAAGTGCACGGCAATGGCTTTGCACGACTTCTACGCAGCCAGGGCAAGGGGGGGGGAAAACCCCCCAGCCCCGCTCATCCCACCCTTCCATCGTGAAATTAAAAAGAGAATCAGTGTCTTGATTGGCAAAGAGTGACGGGGAGGAAGGAAGGCGGATTCCCCCCCCCCAGATCGGGGTCCTCCATCCCAGGTGGGCTGTGGGGGCTCCCCGCAGCGCTGGGCTCCGGGCACTGTCCATAGTGAGGGGCCGGGGGGGGGGGGGCAGGGAGGGTTCCTTGGTGGGGGTCCTCGGTGAGCACAGGCTGCCCCCAGGAGACGCTGAGCGGGGGGAGGACGCTGGGACACTGCAGGAGAATGGAAGAGAGGAGTCAGGATGGCCCGGCACAGCCTGCAGAACCCGAAGGGAAAACGCAGCCCGCGGAGCTCCTTCAAAGCCAGGAGCCACAGCTGCTTTCTGATCTCGGAGGTTTGATGGAACTGAATGGAGGGCAGCGTTGGAAGCAGGCAGCCTCTGGCCTGGCAGCCCTCACCACACATAAACAGGGGCCTTGGCCACGCTGGGACCCCCCAAGCAGAGGGCTGAGCCCCGAGCCAAGGGCAGTGAGCAGCCGGGGGGCAGCCAGCAGCTGTGGGGCAGCAGAGCAGCAGCTCCCCGGGGAGCCCTGAGCAGAGGCATCCATCCGCTGGCAGCACAGTGCCTCCCCACACAGGTGACTCACTCCTATCCATGAATTAAAGATTAAAGCCGAGTGCGGGTCTGACAGCTGCAGGGGGGAGGAATGGGCTTTTATTTCTGGCTTTTTTTCACACCACAAAGCTGGTCGTGATCCAAGCAGATAACACAGCCTCAGCCCCACGGAGCGCCGGTGACGAGAGCGAGCGTGAGGCCGGGGGTGGATGAGCACTGAGCATTGACTCATCGCTGCCTCATTTATGAATGAGGGGTGGGAAGGAAGGGATGGAGCTGAGGAGGGAGCCGGAAGAATGAGGGGGGAGCGGAGGGAGCTCAGCATCCCTGAGCATCAGAGAAAAATGTGTGGGGGGGTCTGGGCACAGCCGTGGCCACCACAGTCCTGCAGCTGCCCCAGGAGCAGGGGAGACCCCCGCAGCCTCCCCTGGAGAGGCCCAGTGCTCTGCTGCAGCCTCCACACACCACAGCTTTGCTCCCTGCCTGCAGGAGGGTGGCAACGCTGGGAGCAGAGAGGTGGAGAATGGGGGTCCCGGTGCCAGGGGAGGGGGTGCCTTGGCACAGCCACAACGGGGCACAGGGGAAGGGGGTCCTACAGCAGCACGGGGGGGGGGGGGGGAGGACAGAGCAGAGCCACGTGCAGGAGCACCGCAGGGGCCCCCCTTTGGCCGGGGGGGGGGTGTCTGCACCTCCCCACACTGCAGAGCACCAAGCAGAGATGCTGGCAGCACGGAGGGGCTTTGCCCCCCCGAGCCCTCGGCCCCGAGCCGTACCTGTGCAGAGCGCGGCGCTCCCGGCTCACTGCTGCTTGCACGTGGAGAGCTTGCGGATCTTGCTGCTGGCAGAGCAGGCCTTGCGCGAGGGGTTGGAGGAGGCGCTGGCCCGACGCTCCGCCTTGGATTTGGTGCTCAGCTGCCCCGGCTCCGTCCCGTTCATGCAGACGGCCTTGGGCAGCCCCCGGCCGCGGCTCTGCCCGTTCTGCCCCGCCTCCTCCTCAGGCACCTGTCCTGCAAGGGAACGCAGCGTGAGGCCGTGGCAGCGCCTGCCCGGCTGGAGCGCCTCTGCTCTCCGACACTCGGGACAGAGGAGAAGGAAACTGAAGGCAAAGGGTGCGCAGTTTCACGCTGCTCCAGCCGAAGAAGGGCGTTATCCCGCTGCAGGGACCGGGGCACAGCTGTGTGCCCTGCAATGGATGGGGTCGGTTTGCTCCGCTGGCCCCAGAGCAGCCCTCTCCATCCGCTCAGCTCAGTGCAGTGACTCAGCACCGGGGGCACAGGGCCCCCAAGAGAGGTGTCCCAGTGCCTCGCAGCTGATGTGGGCTCCAGTCACATCCCTGTACCTGGGGACTGACTCGGGGGGGGGGGGGTCTCTGACCAGGGCAGGAGGGGCACCGCCGCGCTCCCATTGCACTGCAGCTCCATGGGGATGAAGGAAGGGCTCCTCAGGTCCCCCTGCTCCCCCACACCAGATCCAGCCACGGCAATTTCCTTCCACCAGGAACGTCACGCTCCAGGGCCCTTCAGTTATGACTCAGAGGTTTGAGTGGAAGCGAGAGCTGTAAGATGATTATGTATAATTTTCTTTAGAGGATGCTCCATCCTTTCTCCTCCAAGGCCGAGCGCAGCATCAGCACCACGCACCAGCTCTCACCCCACGGCATGGGGCAGAGGGGGCACTGGGACGGGTTGGGGGTCCTCCCACAGCACGTCCTCCTCCTCCTCCATGGCTGGAAGTCATTCACAAACACGAGGGGACATCGTGTCTGGTCTCTTGGTTCAGAGTCACGTTCAGCACTTACCTCAACCCCAAAAAGCTGCAGGGATCCAAAGGCCCAGCCCAGCACCCACAAGAAGCAGTGCTGGCACAGCCCCACAGTGCCAGCTGGGGGCTGGGTGCCGCAGCAGAGACCTCAGCACCCACCCTCAGAGCACAGCTGAGCACTTATCCTTCCCTTCCCTTGGCCGGGTTGCTCTGACCAAAGCAATGAACATTTCTGACTGGGGAGGAGGGGGGGGGAAAAACATCCCAACAGCTCATTTCTCTTTTGTGCGCCTATCCCCTCCTCCCAGCGAAAAGAACAATCCCAGGGGGCCGTTATGGATGCTGAGGAGGGAGGACGAGCTGCAGGCTAATTTTACCTCCTTCACTGCTGACAGTTGCTGACGTTCAAATTAATGAAAATAACAATTCAGCATAGGATGAAATCTTGGCAACTGCCTGCCCCCGCGGAAGCCGTGGCCAGCGCTGCGTGCGCGAGCAGCCACATCCTACCGACCAGCATCAGCCCAGGGCTAAAAATAAGAGAGAGGGGAGGGCTGAGAGGTGGTGAGCACGCGCATCCCTGCTGCCTCTCACGGCTCTTAATGGCTCCATCCCGTTCATTCAGGCACAGGAAAGGTTCCAAAACAAAAAACCCGTGGAGATCTTTTGAATCACGGCGTCTGTCAGCTGTGCGCGGTGAGAAATGCACCTCCCCGACACCAGGGTTTGTTTTGCAGCCTCTGAGCCACTGCTGTGGGAGGGGACACAAAGCTCAGACCCCCACACGGCTGCCACGAGGGGAGCAGAGCAAAGCAAAGCAAAGCAGAGCAAAGCAGAGCACCCGAACACAAACCCAGCACCGCAGCAGCGAGATGCTCCCAGCCCCGGCAAGCAGCTCTGCAGGGAGGCACGTGCTGCTCTCCCCTCTGCTGAGATGTTTAACACCGATTGAACCAGGGGCACGTCCTGTTTAAGGCTCTGCAGAGCTGCATAAATCTTTAAAGAGCCCTTTAAGAATAATGGCACGTTCGCAGAGCCCCTTCTTCCTCTCAACTAAGATTTAATGAGGTTTTCTCTTCCCTTCCCCACCTGAACACCCACTCCTGTGAGTCAGGCACGCTCCTGCGCTGCCTGCCCAGCAGAAAACTGAACTCACCCGTCACTTACAAGGGGGTTGGCTTCTTTATTTTTACTTCAATACAGCATCACTGTTAGAAATGTGACACTGGGATAGAGCTGAGCAACGTCAAAGGATCCTGGGAGAAGCCTTGGGGAAAACTAGTGACAAGGTATCCTCTGTGCCAGCTGCCCCTGCTGCACAAAGCTCCTGCTGGGCTCCTCCTCACCCCACTGCTCCCACAGGCAGCCTACACCAGCCCTGTGATCCTTTTGTGATGTTTTGGCCAAGATCTCTTTAATATAAAGCTGCTAAGCGGCCCTGCAAGCAGCCTTAGGTGACTTGTCTGCAGGAGAAGACTGCACCCTGTGCTTAAATGCTACCCGTGGTTTGGGAACACGAATCCACACGTGTTCACACTGCCAAAGACCCCGTGTGACAGCTGCTCAGAGAGCAGCACGGCAGCACACAGCCCAGAGAAACCCTCCTCCTGCCACACAGGGATCCCTGGGGCTGCAGCCAGACTGCAGGGTTTGCTGTCCCCCAGGAACCCCTGTCAGGGAGCACCCAGCTCAGCCCATGATCGCTACGGGAGCGGAACATGAAAGTGCTGGATGAGGGCCTGGAGATGGGCTGGTGGAAGATGCTTTCTTTCACTGCATCCCACTGCAAAATAGCTCTTGAAATAACTGGAAGGCTGACATTCATCACCATGCTGCAGCTGAGTGACATAAAACAGCATTCAGCCCACCCAGCCACTGTATAATATGGGAAGTACTGGTCTATGGGGCCACTACTGAGCTTCAGCTCTTCTACCCCCTCTGAAACAGCACAAGCTCCATAGAGAACTTCAGACATCTTCCAGTAATTTGCCTGTCATCTTCTGATGTGACAGCCCTTATTTGGGTTTAAATGGCGCTGTCTGCATGAGGAGCATGTAACAGCTGATGTGACAGTTCCAGAGGTGATCTCCCACTGTCAGAAGCTCCCAAGCAGGGGAACATCATGGGCACCAGGCTCCTGCACAGCAGGCATTGCTGCATGGTGCACAGCCCCAGCTCCCTGAGCAGGAGGAGCAGCAGGGATGTGGCACATCAACAACAACGTGCAATGCCCAGCTGCAGGGCTGTGAGGCAGAGACACTCAGCAGCAACCAGAACGCTCACATCTGCCCTGAGCCTGCAGGACATACAATCACTAATTGTGCAAGTCTTCCTGAGTTTCCACTTTTTAATCACCAAGAAGAATACAAACCAAGCAGCAACACAAACTGCTCAGCACTGCAGGAGTCGAAGAGAAACCAAACACTTCAGCTAGAGTGAGAAGAGGCAGGATTCTGTGGGGCAGCTCAGCAGGAGCAGCCTGGGGTGCACAGGCAGAGTAACCGCCTTTAATGTAGGTCAGGTAGAGCTTTCCTTCTCAGCCAGCCTTTGGTTAAAGGCACCAGCCATTAGCTCAGGCCACTGGAAGCCCGAGAGGGCAGTGCTCTGGGCCCTAGGCTAACCTTCACTCCTCTTCCGTGCCTTTTTCCAATGGGAGCACAGCTTCCTCCTGCACACAGCTCGTCACGGCTTCCCAGCGCTCCGCTCTCTCCTCTACGCCCTGCCTCAGCTTCCTCCTCTGCAGCTGGGAATGCACAGGGAAGCAACAGGGCACTGTTAGAGACAGGCATGAGCTCATTTCTCTATGCTGATGCCAAAGCAGTAACACTATCCTGTGGGCTTCTGGCTTCGGCTGCGAGCTGCAACAGATGAGCAGCAAGCCTGGCCCTCCAAGGGAGGTTATGGGCAGATGGACCAACTGTACCTCTTTTCCTTTCTGAAGCAGCTTCAAGAGGTGGAAAATGTCAAGTTTAAAATATAAAATGGGGCTTTGAGTGATACTGGTTATGGCTTTTTCAAGCCCAGGCATTTTTTCACACCTTGAGCACTTGCACATGGGCTGTTGCTGGCAGGAGCCCTTGCAGAAGGAAGTGGGTCACCTCTGACAACAGAGGCACCTGGCAAGTCCTATTCTGTACTTACAAGGCCCTAGCAACCAAGTGCACACTTCTGAGAGCCTACCATTAAAAGGATGCCTCCTTCCATGAAGCCCCCATAGGCTAAGAGGGAAGGTCCATCTCTGGTCACACTCTAGTAGAAAAGTCTGTGGGATGTAACAGAGCAAAGGACAGAGCTCTGCAGGTCACCCAGCTGGCAGCAGGACATCATCTCAATTAGAAAAGGTCATAAATTACCCAGTTGTCACCAGTGAATCAGCACTTGGAAACAGATCTGCTTCACTTTGATGTGGCTCCCTTCATCTCAGGAGGCTCCACCTACGACCCACATCCGTACCCGTGTGTCTGCACAGCTGAGCAGAGCCCTGCTGGGGCTGGCATCCAGGGGAGACACCCAACAAAGCGAGCCTGGCTGGAAGCTGAGCTGTTTCAGCTCCTCTCCCCTCAGAAAGCTCTGCCAGGAGGGGCAATGGGGGTTCTCTCAAAGAAATTTTGGGTATTCTCAAAGGAGTTCCGGGCACAATGAGGTTTATTGCTATTCAAGGCCTAATGCTTTATTCTTCTGTGCTCAGGCCTCAAGAAGTTTTCACCTCACCAGAAAATGAAGAGAAAAAGCAGGGCCTTCAGGTATGAGAATCCTGCACAGGTAAAATCAGACTTTGATTGCACTGAGAGAAGCCAACTGAGCTGTCATTAAGGAAGAAACCAAAGCAGCGTGGTTAGCCTTAAGCTACAGAAACCAGGGCTTTCCCTGTGACATGGAAAGCTCAGCCAGCTAACTCCTGTCACGCCGTCATGAAGTGAATCAGCACTGCTGCTGGAGAGCTGTAAAGCCAAGCAGGCTTTGCCTGCAGTGGTAGCACGGAAATGCTTTCAGTCTGCTGCTCACAAGTGCAGAGGGGGCAGAGAAAGAATCACAGCTCAGTCACCACCACTGCAAAAACCACATGGCTGGATCCACACTCCCCTCCTCTTACTTGGTTGGCTTACCTTAACACAACAGGAAGCCCCCCATAGAGAAAGGGGCAATTCGGACACTGAGTTACCAAGACTAGAGCAGAAAAAGGCTCAGCACAAGGCTACAAGCACCCTTGTCTCCCAGATGTGCCATCTATTCGGAACACTGAGTCATTTCAGGGCTGTGCTCCAAAATAACTCAGCGAGCCTAGCAAAGCCAACCAAGAGAATTAAGTGTGCTTGAACAACAGTTCAGCAGGAGCAAGCTATTACTGGATGAAGGAAGGAAATCAGCAGATGGGCAGCACACAGGAAGGGACATCCTGGCTGATCAAATAAAGGACCAAAGCATCCAGAGCATCACGGCTCGCTGGCTGTGAGTCACTCACATCACTTAATAATCAATGCTCTCTTCCTCTGCTGGGAGGATGCGTTCAGACCCCAAGGCCTTTCCTAAAACACTCTGAATGGACAAAGAGTCACCTCTGTCCTTCTCATTCCAGCATCATTCCCTCCTACCTGGTACTGTGAAGTCCTGAGTGTAGATGATATCATCTTCAATGTCATACAAGTCATCATCTTCGTCCTCATTGTAGCCATGCAGATCTTCCAGATAAGGCACCGCCGTCATACTTCTCCACTTGTCCTTTGTTTCTGGGCTAGGAGGTATGGGCACCAGAGTCTCTGCCTGAGCGTGTTTCTTACGAAACCAACTGCAAGAGTCCAAGAGCAAAATTTCCATCAGGACAGCTTCACTCTTCTGAAGGCAGCAAGAAATCCTCAGCACCATGGGATGATCCCATCCCACCCCCATTCAGAGCTGCTGAAGTTAAGGAGAACTTCCAAGGCAACGCCATGCCACTGCAGGCAGAACACTTCCACAGCTCTCACAGTCAGAACTACCTTCTGAACACAGCCTGGTTTCCTGGTGGGCACTGATATCAACCCCCTCCCCCAGCACTGTGGTCTGGATGTCATTTGAGCACTGGCACAATAAGAAAAGAAACTCAGCCTGTCAACTGCACTCTTGTGCTCATCTTGCTAAATATTATGTGGACATCACTTATCTGCACAAAGGGATGCTCAGACTCTTCCACAGCAGGAGGTAGCCTGGAAAGCATTTTTTTTCCCCCTCCCCTGCTCTTATTTCCTACTGTAGGCCACCAAAGTGTGCTGCCTTGGAATCAACTGCAAACAGCCCTCAAAAAGCAGAGAGAGCTAAACACATCACTGTTCACCTCCTGCAAAAGTGGCATTCTAATCAAGTCACTCAGCAAAAGGAAGGAGTTAGGAGATGAATGAAAGCATAACCACCGGGACTGGGAGGAGGGATGGACCTTAGCTCAAAGCCCTGCTTCTCAGCTGGGACCCTCCAGCATTCCTCTGCAATAAGATGGAGTTGTGGAGGGAGGCAGCACCTTGCCTTCTGCAGTACCAGAGAGTGAGGCAGCCCCTACCTTCAGTAGGTGAAGTTCCAACAGGAAATCTGTTGTGGTTTGGCACTGAGCACGTTGCTGTCATGCACAGAACCACATCTGGCCCTTCCCTGCTCAGCCTGCATGGAGGAATGACCCTGGGAGGTCAGCACATCCCAGTCAGGCACTGGCAAGGATCCACCAGCACTCCAACAGCTGCAGCCTGGTGAAAGCAGCATCTTTTGGGAAGGTGACAGAACGTGTTAAGTTCGACCTCTGGTGCACAGGGCAGCATTACAAGAGCAAAGGAAAGTTCAGGAAGCCAACAGGACCAGCATAACTAGATTTGGGCCAATGGCTTTAGCAAATGCTGTGGCTGGCTTCCTCAGCGATGTGCGTGGCACACAGTGCTCCTAATTTGATCATTTGATTTCCTTTCCTTGGGAGACTGCTTTCATCAAGGAACCGACTGCCAAGATAGTGCACAGCGCCTGGGCTGACCCAGCACAGCCATCAGCTGCTCCTGCCAGGGGCACTGGAGCTAAAGGGAACCAAACTAAATGCCAGGGACCCGAAGAGAATGGAATATACTGGAGAAATGGGATCAGAATGACTGCCAAAGAAAGGAATATTTTAAAGGGAGAAAGCCTACAAATCTCCAGCAGCTGAAATGCAGCAAAAGAAAAACACTCGCTCTGCCTCTTTCTTTCCTTCTGTCCTGCTTACCAGGAGAGTAAAAATAGGTTTTTATTAACAGCTGAAACCTGAATCACTGTACTCCAGTCATAATGATCCCATCCTCTGGGAGGTGATTTCAAATACTTGCATATGCATACATGGTAATGAGGCTATAGAGTGAGCAGAGCAATTCATTGAAGTTCTAAGAAAATCAAAGTCCTCTTGGAAGGAGCCTGGAGCAATTCTTTATGGAGTAGCAGAGCATTTCCTGGCAAGCAATTTTCCAGCAGGGACAGAGATGCTGCTCTCTACACCAGCACTAAATGTAATTAGCGAAGATTTGCTGAGGACCACAGGCTCCCCCAAACGCCCTGCTCCTGCTCAAGGTGCTGCTGACTGGATGAGCCACAGAGCAGCTCCATCCCCATCGGTGCTGAGGATGGAACTGAGCACTGCCTCACTGCCTTCACCAACACAAGATCACAGCCTGGGTCTGAGCACTGCTGACAGTGTCTATTTCACTTATTCCCAAACAATTTTACTAGTGATTTCTGAGTCAATTGCACCAGTGCACACAGCAGCTTACCCAGTGTTACAGCAGGCTGCTGTTTGATCAGTTAGAGGAAAATAAGTTCCTGCAGATCTCAGAAGCACTGCCTGCACACAGCATCCTCTTTCAGGCTCCTTGCAGCCCATGAGGCTGTTTTAGCCGCTCCCAGGCCTTAAAACTGAGCAAAGGGAGCAGCAGCAGAGATCACCTCTCAAGCTTTGCAAGCTTGTTAAGAATGCCTGCAAAGCATGTGCTCTGGACAGCAGCACAGCATTAATTGTGAACCTGCCAGACAAGAAGCAGGGTCCAGACAGAGCTGCTATGATCTACAGGGAGCTAAGATAACAAGGGTCAAGGCTGAATGAAAAAAAGGATCTGGGTCAACCAGTGCTTATTGAGTCTGTCTGCTCTGCAGCCTCCCAGCTCGGATTTTGTATCAGAAGTCATCACACTGCTCTTCTCAAGTTCTGGTATAAGCAAGGTTAAAATAAGAACCAGTAAGCACAGCTGCCTCCTCTGAATACTTACAGCTAATTCACTTCCCATTCTAGGCCACAAATATTTCAGTTTGCTTGTTTTGGATATGGAGAGCCTTCTCTGCAAGCAGATGTTGGGCTGCAGATCGCTGTCCTGCCAGCGAGGAGCAGCTATGAAAGCTTTGCCACCTCCCATGGTGCTGCCTGAAGGCTCCAAGCTTACAGAAAGGTCACAGTCACCACAAGAAGCAGCCAAGTGCACGCCTGCCCTGCTCAGCAGGCACACAGCACGGCCCCTGCAGCCACTGCTCCAACTCCTGGGGCAGAAAGAGGTGCTCCGCTCCTCAGGTCAGTTGCATTAGAAAACAAACAAACAAAAACCAAACAGGTAAGAGAAGCAGCTCTCCCCTCACTGATGTAAGACCCAAAGGTCACAGTTCAGACTCCTACGGAGAGAGGTGTTCTGTGCACAGACGGAGACTCGCTTTCCTTTCACGCAGCAGACAGCCGCATTACGAAACTGAGCTGCAAAACGTGGGCAGAAGAACCAAAGCCTCCCTCCCTCCCATGTGCCTGCCACAGGGAAGCGAGACAGAGCCAGGTGCCTGTGCAGGAAAGGAAAGGAAGAGAGCTCACATCACCAACACACAGAGAGATCCCTGCATGGCACCACAGCAAAGGGGTGGAAGGGTCCAGCAGTACATGCACACACGTTAAGGGAAACCCCTCCAAGTCAGGCACAGAAGCCAAGGAGCAAACTCAGCATCTGGGAAGGAACCCAGAGAGACAGAGGGGGTTCCCCAGGGCTGCAGTGCACAGGTATGCAGCACAGCCCAGCAGCACCGTGTTCCCAACCTCTGAGGTGATCCCAGAGTTGGGAGCAGCACTGCATGTCAGCAAGCAGCGCCGCTAATGAGAGTTGGAGGTGCCTCCCCTGCCTTGCTATAAACTCTTGCAAACGTATCTATGACTGAACAAATTACGTGTGACACTTCTGGAGAAGGAAGGCAAGATGGTTGCCTTGGAAACAGGGGACAGAGGTAGAATTCTGCATCCACTTCATCACTTTAAGTGCTGCAGCAGGGTCAGTGAATTAGTTACAAACTGCAGTGTACAAGCATTAAGCCCTTCAGCAAAAGCACGAGGCAGAGAGGAGACCATGGATGATCTGCAGGGAGAGGGCTGCTGCTCCCTGGCTCTCAGCAGCACATCCTCACTGCTCCACACCCCCACCCAGGAGTACACAGCAGTCATGGAGGTGAACTAAAAGTGTCAGTTTTCATTGAGCATCATCCTCCCCAGATCCTTCTGGGAAAAGCAGGTTTCAAGGCTCATTCATTGTTATTCAGGGGTCAGCTTCTGGTGGTTCAGAAACTTGGATGACAGGCTGGGAGAGTTTTAATTCATTGCAGTTTACAAATCCTGGGCCAGTGCTGCATGCATTGCTTTGAAATGCTTTTCAAACCATCGAGAAATGGGCTGAGAGAAGTAATTCAGCAGGACCGAGCTAACAGGAAAATGCTGAAACATGAATTTGATGTGAGAATTCAGCTGCAGAAGTGAGGAGAGGAGGAAGGCAGCTGGCAGATGCAACACTGGGCAGATCCTTCCTACAGAATTCTTCAGATAGGGCTGCCACTGCAAGGGAAAAGCATTCAGAATAGCTCTGAGAACAAAGGGAGGAACTGACTGCTTTGCCCCATCAAGCTGCCTCCAGCAGCTACAGCGCTTCACCAAGCAGCACTCAACTCCTGCTCAGCATTCCCCACATCCACTGAGAAAGCCTCGTGCCCTCAGTGCTGCACCAGAAGAGAGGCATCACTGTACAGAAGGAGCAGCTTGGCCACTCGTGCAGCTCAAAAGGGACAAGAGGGTGTAGAAACCCAAAATCATTGAGCATCACTCCACTCCACCTCAACCAGATGTCTACAAGTTCTAGCCATCAAGGCACTTTCTACCAAAATGCTTTCCCCAAACCCTCTGACAGTACCTGAATGACTACCTGCTGTCCTTCCAATTGCTTTGTTTGGTTTTAAATAAAGCAGGGGCTGCTCGAGCTAAGGGCAAAGCTTGCTTCTATTTAAAGAAAAAATAATAAAAAGGAGAGAACCGAGCCGGATTCTTTAACACAGTGCTGCCCCACAAAAAGGAGATGGGCAGCCACATCGGAAGCCCAGGGCTGCAGGCTCTGCTGTGAGTGATGTAATTATTAGGATGCCACAGCAGGAAGAAGGAGGCAATTACTAACAGGGGAGAAAAGCCTGTTAAGAAGCACTGGCTAAGCTCACAGAAAACCAATAAGAGACTGAACCTTGGAAATGCTCCTGTGTTCACAGGTACAGTCTCTCTTCAGTCTCTATTGGTGCTATGAGATTAAAGGCTCACCAGGAGCAGCTGTGCCCAATTAGAAGGCAGGCTGTGCCCACACAGCACGGAGATGCTGCTGCCCCCCATGCCGTGAGCACGCTCTACTTCCTCCTGCTTCTTACCTCCAGGCAGGGCCTCTAGAGAAACCTCTTGGCTTCAGAGCTGATGCAAAAACTCCCTGCTAAAACCAGGTACATAAGGAGCTGGGTAAGTAGCTCAAATCCCGGCAGGCAGTAACACATGAGAGCCACCTACACTGGCCCAAGCTTAGGGGCAGCTCAGTGCAACACCTGCACCCACAGCACTGCTAAGGAACAAATGGCATTTCAATGTTTTCACTGACATACCTGCTGATCTGCTCCACAGAGTTAATTCCTGCCTGCTCCCTCGCTGTGCTCACTGACAAGGCATCACTTGGAGCTCGTGGCAGCTGCTCACCACTCAACATCACTGCAATGAGCAGAACTATTCCATTACAAAGCACCACAAAGGGATGCAGTGCTTTGCTGTCTAGCTTGAAGCTCTCTAGCCCTCAGAGGAAGATGGGAGGACTGTCACTAACAGCAAGAGCTATTGTTTCCAAGACCATCTCTATATAGAGTGGTGAGCAGTTTTTAAGTGCTGTGCAGCATTGAGGAGGCCAGCCCCAAGCAGTGTCTTTTGTAACCCACTGTTTTACTGGGAAGCATGTACATGGGGCAGGGCACTCCTGAAAAGCAAATGCCTGCTCCTGTCATCTCCCAGACCCAGTGAAACAACCAATGCACAGCACCTGGAGACGATTAGAAGACTCTGCCTGACTGCTTAATTAATTACCCAGGCAGCTACATGAGCTCTGCCCTCCCCAGCCCCTTTGATCTTTGCAGGGGCAATTGCAGCTGCTCCTCTGCAGAACACCAGTGCAATTCAAGCCTGTCTGCTTCTGTTCTGCAGCTCCTGCAGACATCTCCCATGCCATAACATCTACCAGGGATCCTCATCTGACAGCACACTGTTACCCACTGCCACTTCTTTTTTTTTCCCTCAGAGAAACAAACAGAAAAAACCAAAAATAGTGCTTTTCCTGCCTGCAGGCAGCACAAAGCAGGCCCACTGCCTTACAGGATCAGAGCCTTGTTTTTACAAGGCTCCCAGAAGCTTTCTGGGCAAGCTTGTAGGCAGGACCTCTGCTGAGCATCTGCGGTCCAGCAGGCAGCTCTGCATGTCCTCAGAAGCACTTCCTATTCAAACAGGAGATAAGCTAATGCAGCCTCCGCACTGAAGCATCCTTATGATGCTTTTTTGTTCTTGTACTTTTATCCGCCCAGGAAATCTCTGCTCAGAGGCAGCGTGTTCAAACAGATCCTTTAAAAAAGGGGAAAAAAAACCCTCAGATAACGACCTCTCCCCCCCTGTCCTCCCCCCCAGACAAAGGCAAGGATAAAGCAGAGGATTTGGGGGAAGGAGGAGGATGACATTAAAGAGAAAGAGGAAAAAAAACATCCCATTGTCCTGGAACATACTGATTCCATATGGAGCAAATATGAAGGGATATTTCTGTCACCAGGCTGTCCAGAAAACCAACATATTACTGAAACCAGCTTCAGGGAACCCCTGCTCCATCAGTGCTAGCTGGCTTCTGAAACAAATTACCCAGAACCCTTAATTATCAAGAACCAGTCGCACTAGGAACATATTTTCAACATATTCATTATTTACTGGTTAGCAATTCAAATGCTCTAACCGGATGCTCTAATAGGAGGGGGAAAAAAAGCCAAGTGGATGTTGCCAGAGCTCCAGCAGAGCTGGAGGAAGGTTATCTAGTGACTTCCATGTGTCTGCTGTCAAAAGGAAAAATGAGTTGAGAGCAATAGCATAGGTACATTAGCATAAGAAGCAGAAAGAGAATGACTAATAGGAAGAAGCTGAACACTCACTTGTGCTGCCTTATCTGCTGTATTGAAAATCTCTTGGCTGGGTCGTATTCAAGCATCCCTGAAAAGGAGAAAAAGTCCAGGTGTGATCACAGAGGCTCTGAGCCAAGCTGAAGACGAGAAGCATAAAGTGCTGCCCTTCCCTCCCACCCCCCTGCCCCTGTGCCTGGCCCTCCTGGCAGCTTTGGGCACTTTTACCTGCAGAAGCATTTCTTGCATCAGCCCCAGAGAGCTCAGCACAAACCCCAACCCCAGCGCTGACTCCTGATCCACCTGCGAGGTGGATACGACCTTTCCCTCCTTCACCCTGCAGGGACAGACTGGTGCAGCCCCAGATCACAGGCCCAAACGTGTCTCCAGGCAAGGAACTGCAAGACTTTGCATTTCACAGGTAACGCTATTGAACTTTCTCTGTGGAAGAGCCCAGGCCTCAGGCACGAAACATCGACCTGCTCAGCATCCCCAAAACTCAGTGATATTCTGATCTGGAAGAACAGCTGGGGAGAACTGACACAAACCATCCTGCTGCCCATCCCACCATCCATCCTTCTGCCTGAGCCAGTCTTGATTTCTGGCACCTGTTGCTGGGATTAGGGTGAGGAGAAGGGAATGGGGAGAAAATAGGAGAGGGGAATGTGGAGAAAATAGCTTATCTGGATCCTCCCTGGAAAAGAAGGAGGTGATTCCTTACAAAGCAGACTATGAGATGCCCGCTCTGCTCCACAATCTCAAAAAAGCTTCACAACTCCTCAGAAGTGACAGGAAATTCTGCTGTATTTTTCAGAGGCTGTTCAGTGGGACCTAACGAGCATCATCCAGCAGAACCCAAAATCCCTCCAACCGAGCTTCCAAGAAAATATTCATCTAATGGGCGTCAAACTCTCACTGCTATGCATTGCAAGCAGCTTTGCATCTGCTGGATAAAAGCCTCTCGCTGTTCTTGAAGCACCAGCAGAAGGGCTTTGGGAAGAGGGGAGAGAACACTGCAGGGAGCTGAGGGGAATGGAAACCAGGAGCAGAACAGATCTCTCAACAGGAGAGAAAGAGGATGGGACAACCGACTGGGGAGGGCTGCTGTAAGGACACAGTGGACACACAGGGACAGGAGGTGCCTTCAGATGAGCATTTGGGAACAGAGGGCTGGAATGAGAAACTGCCATTTAAATAAGAAGCTGCGAGGGCCTTGCAGGTGAGATTCTGCAGCGCTGCTGAACAAAGGTATTAGGAGAGAGAAATCAGTGTGTGATCAGAGCTGATCAGCAACACCTTCCTCATCAGATCAGTCTGCATCACATATCACTAACAGCAACGGCCCAGGGACGACTGTAATAGCACAAAACAAGCAGAACAAAACCAAAAACAGGAAGGCACTGTGAGTACCTCCTCTTTTGCAAGGCTTGAACACCCCAAACAAGTGCATGCTTAAGGAAACAAGCTTTTGATAGACATTTTTTCTTCCTTACAATGAGATTTTTCTTTTCCCCCAGCAGATCAAGAGCTTCCTTCAGTTCAGTTTTAGCCTGTATCCCCACATGCCCAACAAGGATGCAGAAGTCCACCCCCTGCTCCTAAAAGCACTGAGCTGAGTCTCGACTCCAAACCTGACAGCAGGTTCCTCACACGATGCTCTTGGAGCAGCCACTTCTGGAGATGACAGGAAAGGGTTGGGAAAACACCTTGTGAAAGCCTGGTCCACTGCACCACACCAAACCAAAGGGATTTGAGAAGAGTCATAGCTGGGGAACCAGCCCACTGCCATGTCTGCTAGCCTAAGAGATGTTCAAGACTAGAGCATATAGCAAGAAAAGGTACAGTGTGAAAGGACTGATGTTGTTTTCCCCTCAGAAACCAAAATGCTGTTTCCCACAGCAATCTGAGAAGATTTATCAGTGCTGATGACAGCAGGAATAGCTTCAAGCAGATGGCATCGCTATTGATCCACGCTGTATCACTGTGATGGAAGTTAAGAACAAGCAACCATGGGAAAACTTGCTGGGTGCACCACAAGCATCTGGTCACCTGAACTCGAGGCAGCAGAGCCTTCAGCATTCAAGGCTTTAAACAGAACTTAGCAGAAATGCACTCTTGCCTTGCTGAGACCACAAAACCCACCACAGGGCTGCGTCACACGGCTGAGCTGACAGCAATGCTCCTTGCTCAAGAACCCTCAGCCTTGAGAGCACTTCCCTACGCTGGGTATTTTCTCAAGCAGAACAAAGCCTTGTAAACAAGCAGACAAGGCTGCAACCGGACCAGAAGTGGGAGCACGTGGCAGGAGGTGGGTGGTGACAGTGCCAGAAGCTGAGGGGCTCAGTTGTGTCTGCTGTAAGGACCACCACCAGAAATGTCTTGGGATGGGCTTAAGGTAAGAGCGAGAGGCAGGGAAGGGACATTTGAGCTGATCCTGAATCTTGCTAGCCTGCAAAGTGCTGCAACGACGACAATACAACAGCAGTGTTGTTCCATAGGGCTAATGCCAACTTGTTTCCTCAGCTAAGCCATCATTCGTTCAACCACACTTCAGAAACTCCCCCAGTCCCAGGTAAAGAAAGGCTGGAAGGGACCCCAGGGATCCCAACGCTGCAGCCTCCTGCTCACAGCAGGCTCCCCTGAGCACATCACCCAGGACTGAGTCCAGTCAGGCTTCTAGTTTCTTCCTCCAAGGATGTCAGCCCCACTGCCCCCCCAGCACTCAACCAGTAAAGGAGTTCTCACATCCAGGTGAGATTCTCCCTCTTTGTTTTGCAATTTCTTTCTTCCCTTGTAAAGTGAGCAGAAAGTGGTTCAGAAGAAAAACAAACAACTCCTTTTAAACTAAATGGCCTATCGGTAAAATCATTGGTAATTTGACAGTAACTTCACAGCTGAGCTTCCAAGGGTTTCTGTTCATTTGTCTAGGAGACACCGGAGCTGGTCCTGGTAAGGTTACCTTATCAACACAACCAGGTCAGGACTGCTCCTCTGCACTGACTCTTCAGACCATATTTCAGAAAGGTGTTTTTGGAAGCCAGTTTCTCAAGCCTGGGATAAAATCCTGCACACTGCAGCAGATACAGCTACAAGTTCTTCCTAGAAGCATCCCATGCAGTGGTACTGCCCCAAGGCTCTGGTGATTAGTTTGTGCATTGCTCTGCAGGAGCTGGAACAGCCTTGCAAGCAGCTTGCAGTTGGAGGAAAAAATTGTGCATTCTTTCAAATGCTAAAGAACAACAAGGCTAAGAGAAATGTAAGGCACTGATCAGATGGAAGCGGTGCAAACAGGGTAAGGTTCCAGGGTAAGTTATTAACAGGGGTCTGATAGCACCAGTCACAAACTGCTCTGGCGTAGAGCTGCACTGTTATCTTACAATCAATTAAAAAGGCACAAATAAGGTAAATGAGCAACAAGAAAGCTTCCTTTAAGGAAAAAGACTGTAGTTGGGGCAGCGTCAGGAAGAAAAGACAGCATCCAATCATCAAAAACGTACATTGATGTGCTCAGCTGTGACTCACTTGCAGCAGGCCTGCGGCCGAAGTCCTGCGATTTCATCACGACAAAACATCACGTACTGCTCACCAGGCAGAGCATCACGAGCGCCTGCCCACAGCAACCACACGCACTCTCTACCATTTACGGTAAAGATCTCCATGCAGATGATCTGCGAGTGGAGAAGAGAGGCTGCAGTGGGGAGAATCTGTGGGAAGATGCCTGGCTTTCGGACCTCCAGCCCATGGGATTCCAGCAGGACCCACTGTGCCCATACGTGGGATGCCACGCTTGTGACAGCCTGTGACAGAGACAGGGGTCTCAAACCCCTTTCAAATTCTGCCAAGGGGCAACGTGAACACAGGGACCACAGTCCTGTTTGAGCTCCTTGTCACAGACGGCAGCTGAGGTGTTGGAATGATCCTGAGCAAGCATGGTGTTACATGGTGAGGAACGGCTGCTTACAAAGCAGGCAGCACAACCTGAAGCACGTTCATTCAGAGGCAGGAAGAAATCCAACAGCTCGAGTTTATCAAATTCAACCTGGGCTTTACTTCAGTCTTTAACTCGGCAACCACTTTAAGCCATCGATACAAAGCAGAACATCTGTGAAGTGAGATGGATTTTTCTCCTCTCCTTCATCCTCCTCAAGCACAACCAGGTGTCCTGACCAGAAACTCCTCTGCAGAGGAGCCTTGAAAAATGCAGGACACTTTGTGCTGGATGGTTACAGGCCCAGCTCAGGGGATTCCCTGTTACTACTGCATTAAAGCATCCCATTGCCATCAGAAACGCATCCCTGACAGTTAAGGTCACAGCAGTTGTACAGAAGTAAGAAAACAGAACGCTGAGAAGCCACCCAACTCATCTCCAGTCACAAAACCAGCTTGCAGCAGAGCCTGGACATAAACCCAGGTGTTTAATGCAGGGAGTGCAGTCTCAAAACTTCAGAGAAAGCACAGAGTCCATTAGAAGAGGAGAAAAGCTCACCCTCTGCATTTTTCTTGCTCAGAAGTGAAGTGGACAGGAGCCAGTAAGTCACATGCAGATGCAGACAGAAGGACCTCAAGGCTATTTGCAGATGCTTCCTGACTGCAGACACAGAAGGCAGAACAGTACCAAGCCCTTTCCCACCAGCAAAGAGCACAGCTAAAGCTTTGTTTCTGATTATGGGACAAGAAGAGGGGCAGCATCCCAACTGGTTGGTTGAAGTACGCTGCCACAAGTCAAATACCACTCAAGTTTTAGGTCCCCTAAATTCTGCTTTTTCTGCAAATTGGAACAAAGCAAGGGAAAAAAAGTTAAAACACTGCTTCAAAAGTGGTCAACTAAAGGACAGAAAGCCTTAAGAAGTAAATTCAAGCACTTGCTTCATGGGCAAACTGCCACAAAGGTCAACGTAACTCTTATAGCCAGAGAGCAAACAAGCACTTTGCAGCACACTGAATTCTCCTCACATTAAGGACAGGATGAATGCTTGCAGCACTGCAGAGTGCTCTAGAAGTTGTTTAGAAACAACACAAAGGCAAAACAGAATCTACTGTAAGACAGAGCTGAGCTCAGGGTGTCTGTGCTGCTATATGAAAGCATCAGCCTGCCTCTGATGCCTGATCTGCAGCCTACGATTCCATGGCACCTACCAGGAAATGCAGATGTTCTGGAGGAAAAGCATGAACCAAATGAAGCACTCCAGTTCTGCCACCACAGCTATGCAGCATCACCCCTGCAAGGCTCAGCCCTGGTGCTCAGTGCCATCAGGCTCTTTTGGGAGCTGGTTGATGCAGTTGCTGAGCCGCCCTCCATCGTACTGGAAAAGTTGTGGCTGTCAGATGAAGTCCCCACAGACTGGGAAAAGGGAAACATCACTCCCATTTACAAGAAAAGGAGGAAGGAGGACCCAGAGAACTCCAGGGCGTTGAGCCTCATCTCTGGGCCTGAGAAGATCGTGGAACAGACCCTCCTGAAGGATGTGTTAAGGCACACGTCAGATGGGGTGGTGATTTGAGCCAGGCAGCACAGCTTCACCAAGGGAAGGTCGTGCCTGACCCATCTGGTGGCTTCCTGTGATGGAGTGATGGCATCGGTGGACAAAGGAAGGGCACCTGATGTCACCTACCTGGACACAGAGGCAGGTAATCAGAAGGGAAATCAACTTTTTACATGGGTAGACAGTGAAAAGACAAGGGAGAATGACCTTAAATTAAAAGAGGGAAGGTTTAGATTACGTGCCAGGGGAAGTTTTTCACTGAGGGGAGGGCAAGATGCTGGGAACAGCTGCCCAGAGAGGCAGTGGATGCCTCCCATCCCTTGAGGTGCTCAAGGCCAGACTGGATGGGGCCATGAGCAGTACTTGAGCTAGCAGTCAGCAACCCTGCCTGTGGCAGTGGGGCTGGAACATGATGATCCTTGAGGTCCCTTCCAATCCAAGCCATTCTACAATCGCAGAGGAAAACGTATTACACCAGGCAAGAATAACAGCTTTTGTCAGCTTCACTGTGCAAATGCATACAATAAGAGGAGTGGGAGAATGTTCTGAGGTGGACTGGAGGGAGGACAGCAAAAGGAATCTTATTTCCTACTGTTCTGGAAGAGCCAAATTGGTAGAGACAGATGGCCATGTGCCTCAAGCGAGCTCCTCTGCTATCAGGTGCACTCAGCATGCATCCCTGCAGCACCCAAAGGCAGACAGCAGCTGGATGGAAGAAGTGACTCAGGCACATCTTGGACAGCAGCACCGGCTGCAAGGCTCCTTGTTTAAAGTGAGGCAGAAGGAAAAGTCAGAGAGTCTGACTGAGTCTCATCCAGGGGATGGAAAAGCAACAAAAAGGAGTTATTCTGCTAATGGAGCATAAAGCTTTGAAACTATCAATATGCTGAGGACAAGAAAAGAAAACACAACCACCCTTCCTCTGGGGATGATGCTAAGTGCAACAGTGAGGCTTACCACAAACTTCATCTGTTTCTGCTGGATGCTTCATAAGACTGCTACCAGGCTAGATGAACCTTTGGATTTACTCCATTTGGACAAATCCTGAGCTCATAAAGAGCTGCTGTGCTTTCAGCCAGCATTCTCAAAGCAAACACCACATGTAGACTGGGACACTGCTGCCTGGGGCACGGAGCACAGCAGCCAGAAGTGCTGGGCCTTCAGTTGTAGCCATATCTGTAGCTACACTTGATGCAACAGTTTCCAAAAGCTGCTCAGGCCACTCAATGCTTTGAAACACGTGCAGATTACTTATTTCATCACCAGTATAGGACCAGAGGAGCTAAATCAGCCTCAAACAAGGAGGCTCACAGGGATTCCGCACTGCAGAGGTAGAGAAGCCAACCATTTGTAGGGTAAATAAAGGCTGTGAGTGCTCTGAAACTCTTATGGCAAGCCACAAACTGCAGCAGCACTGTGCTGTCCTCAGTACAGTTACAGCAGACAGGTTTAGCAATGAACACCCATATCAGGAGCTGACCTGATGACACTGCGGACAGCAGGAAGCGAAGCTGACTCAGCTTCCTCAGCACCCCACAGCCACTCACCCACACTCATCCCCAACTGCTTGCAAGAATGAAACAAACACAAAAAAAAACACCATGTGAAACGACACAGCTTCATTTCATATTTGAAGCCAGACCCTTCTTGAATGGCTGAAGATGAAGGGAAGTGAGTAAACCTGTGCTGAGGAATGGGGAGCATACTGCACCTATATTCCTCTGGGGAGGCAGCAGGAATTCTGACCAGGATCTCCCATGTCCCACCTGCTGCTACACAACCAGTGACTGGGAGAAGAGCCCACAACCAGCCAATCCTCTCCTCCTACCCAAAAGGTGCTATTCCTGTCTCTACCACAGCTTCCAGCCACCTTTGCTCCAATATCTGCAACTGAAATTCCAGGGGAAGGGAGAAGACAACTGGGATTAAAGCACTTTAGAGCAGAGGCTGATGAGGAAGGACAGCAGAACCTGAGTACTCATTATTTCACAATACAGAATGCCTGGGCAAGGAATTTAATCAAGAGTCCTCACCTGTCATTTTAAATTTAACCTCGTGAGCTCTGTCTTCAGATTTAAAAGCTGCTTAGAGCACAAGAATCCACATGAGAACCAACCTTATAAAGTACAGTCCACCAAGGGTTCAGTGCAGCTCAGGAGAACACCAGTACTCCGGATCTTTGTCTTACCCCCAAATAAATTAGCCTGCCTCCCTTTCTCATAGGATCCTATACCATCACAGGATACTCAGAACAAAACTCCCCAGCCTTTATGAGCAGAGCATGTGCTGCACCTCTACATTTTACCCGTTCACTCTGAGCCACCTGGGAGACTCACCTCTCAACAAGTCTGAGAGTGGAGGACCACAATCCTCTGGAATTGTGAAGTCACCTTTCCCGATGTTTTCAAATAACTTATATATATTATCCCCTTCAAAGGGGTAGAGACCCGTTGTAATGTTGTATCTGTAAGGCAGAAGGAGAAGCTGCGTGAGATGAAGCACACAGAACAGGTGCTCAGCTCTCATGCGATAGCATAAACCAAAAGGAGGCAAGACAAACTAAGAGATGAATATCTGGCAGTATTTGGAATGCTTCTTCTAACTTTGCCTTTCTATATCACAGCCTCCTCATTCACATGAGTCAATACCACAAAGACAGGCTGGGATGGAAGAAACTTTTAAAAATAAATACTAGAGATACAAGCACTTTGTGGTTTCTATTATTACAGCAGCTGCGTATCTCAGATTCTGAGAAACGGCTGGCAGAGACTCACTGAGAGAGGAGATGACTTTATTCAGAACTGCAGGCACTTCAGGGAACATGCACACATCCCAAGGATGGGCCAAGCTGCACAAGCCCTCCCCAGCCCCCCCAACTCCATGCACAAGAGCAACGGTGACAACAGACTGCACAAGACTGCGCTGCGTGGGGACGTGTGATTTGTCACTGCAAGTCCTGGATGCTGCATGGGCACTTACAGCGTCACCCCTGCGGACCAGATGTCTACTTTAAAGCCTGAAAAGGTATCAAGGCCATTGGCAATTTCTGGTGGCTGGAATGCTGGCGACCCTTGGCTCGTTCGGCACGTGTCATCCTCTGCAAATGGATGCAATGCCTGCAGCAGAGAGAGCCATTAGTTTCAAACTTCCAAGGCATGCAAGCTGTAACTGCTCAGAACTTTCACAAAAGGGGGAAAACTACTGAATGTCTGCTCACATATCATGAGAACGTGCAACTGTAATTAAACACCATCAGTGACATTTCCTTCGCCAACCCTACCTAGCTAAGACAGCCTCCATATATTAAGAAGTACAAGGTTATGGTGCTTCACCACGCTTCTGGGCTTTTCTGGGCTTATCTGAGATTAACACCCTCCTCTAAAAGCTTCCTGGATGGAAGTTTGGTGCTGTTATCAACAATGAGATAGAAGTGTTTTGCCAGTTACAATGAATATTCAGCAGAGCCACTCCAGAGCGTTCTGCAAGTTCAGCAGAACAATCAATAAGTCAATCGACCCCCAGAGGTGATATGAATCCTGAAAGTCACACTTCCCACTTCACTGCAGCTCTCACGTACCTCTGCTACGCCTAGATCAGATATTTTCAGCGTCCCATTGGTGGTCAGCAGGAGGTTCCCAGGTTTTATATCCTTGTGGACAATCCCTTGGCTGTGCAAGTATTCTAAGCCATCTATAAGCTGACAGAAGTACCTAGAGGGACAGGTAAAGAAAACAAGAGTCCAGCGCTTCCAAAGATTAAAAGCGTGAACCATCAATAGTACAGAAAGTGTTGTACAGTGACAGCATGGCAACAACTGCTCACACACTTATTTCTAACCTCATGGCATGCAGAAATATTACCCATCTTAATGCACCTGCATTTCACTGAGGCCACCTGTAACCTCAGACATCCATCTCCAGAACTCTAAGGTTCCTTTACTTGCGTGGTGCAACGGGCTTCAGATCAGCCTGTCCACCAACAAGCTAACAACCATGCTGGATATTGACAATTCTTCACCTACTAGAGATCTTTCATCTCTTTTCCTGACACTGAGCTGCTTGCACCATCCTGTTTAGAGCAGGCAAGCCCTCACACCTTCCTCCACTGCACACATCCTAGCAGAATGACACAGGAAGGCCAGGAAAGGTTGTCATGCATCTCTTACAGCAAAAAGCAGCAAGAGTCAACAGAAAGATGCTTTTCTTCCCAGAATCAAAGGGTTCTCTCTGCCATGGCTTCGTTAGGCTGTCATTTTTTTCCCCCATGGCTGGAACAAACAGGCTCATTACACCAAGCCAGTTTCACTCAATGGGCAGCCAGCAGTGTAACAGAGCAGAGTGCACCCTTGAATTTAAGAGAGCAGCCATGAGAAGCTGATGCAGCCTAAGGAACAAACCTGTACTTACCCATGAGCCTGAAAAACTGGAAACCTCTTTTCTGGGACACTGTCCAGCATCTCCTGCATCCCACACACGCAGTACTCCATCACCATATACGTGCAGTCAGTGTTAAGGAAGCTTCAGGGTAAGCTGCTTTCCAGGTGCTGCACGAGGACTGCAGCTCCGTGCCCTCATAGCTGGGACTTCAGTGAGCTCCTGTGCCCTTCTTCATTTCCCATCCCCAAAACAGCTGCTGCTCATCCCATCCTCACAGCGGCATTTCACTGGTAGGAAAGGATCCCTAGAAAGTTGGGAAGCTTTTTGGAAAACACCCAGATTAAGAAAATCTACAGGAGTGCCAAGAGCTGGTGGCACTTTTTAGTATTTGTTCTTTTCCAGCACGTTCCAGTTTTCATCTCCTTGCATTTCAATATTGGGGCCAAACAATGGAAGTGACAGAAGTGCCCAGAGCAATCATTGCTCTGCTCCCCTCTCCCAGGGCTTGGAAAGGCACAGTGCACACCGAGGGGCTGCGACAGACCCTGAGACATCTGGTGGGTTGGCAAGGCAGTGCAGCTCTGAGATGCAGAGTGCAGGCAGCCCATGTTCTCCAGTAACAACACATTTCTTCAGTCACTAATTAATCCTGGCAGATGCCTTCTTAACCTAAGCCCAAAATAAGTTGTTTATCTCCCAGGATGCTCTCAAGGCAAGAGAGGCTAAAGAGATGACCTGCATTTTAAGTGGGATCCAAGCTAGAAACTGCTGCCCTTTTGTACAACATCCCACCCAGCTCCAAGGCCTGGGCAAACACTGCATTAATGCTCGTGCCCCCACATGAGCTGCTCTTCAGAGAGATGCTGAAGTGCTGTGGATTTTGTGATGGGCACAACGCCACCGGATTGATTTGCTTCTATTGGAAGCAAAAACAGCAGCAAGAACCTAAATTTCATTCCTACAGGTTCTTACCCCAGTAGAAGGGTAGGGACTACGTGTACCACAGTGACATGGAAGATGGCAACTCTCCCATCTTCAAGAAAACAATACTAACAATGGATTATACAGACTAGCAGTCAGGAAATCAAGCTCACCTCTCATTCTTTCTAGAAAGAACCACCTGGCTTTGCTTTCATCACCTGCTTCTCACCCCCTCCTCTACAGCTGCCCATTCCTGGCCAGTCAGCCAGATTCCAGCACAGACTTCCAGGCAGAGCAGATCTAGCACAGGTGCCCCAAGCACAGCTCTCATTCCTGCTCATCAATAGGGTTCAGCTCCCACACACAGCTGCACACACTGCTAACAGAAGCTGTCAAGTCAGGGTGCCAGCTGCAATGCTTCAACAGGGGTTATTTTCTGCCTGGATCAGCTCTCCATTCATCACCAGCTCTGCATTCCCAGCATCAGCAGGTCAGCAAATACCAAAGGTGTTGATATTTTCAATCCAGTCATCACAGCTTTCCTATTACCATGGAAATCTTTGAAGGCTTTGACTAGACAGACAGGCTGTTACAACACCACCTTCCTGAGAATAAGCACAGCTGAAGCCTGCACTCCTATTAGCAGCACAACACTCAGGCAAGAACAGAATCCTCCCTTCCTTTAAGGACCAGTTTCAAATGCCATGTTGTTCATTCTGGAAATAAGGATTTTCCTTTTCTTTTTTTCCTCCCCTAAGTAACAAGGAAGGAAGCAAAACCACCCCTTCTAGCTGAGAGAGGTCAAAACTTTTTTGAATGACCATTCTGGGTTGTCATCACCCACTACCAACACACGAGGTCTCTCTTGGGCTCTTTTTCGACATGCTTCTCCGTTTGCATCCCAGCTTCTTAATTAAATGGTATCTTTCTGCAGACAGTAATTGAATTACAGTCCCTTCAGTCCGTTAAGGCTACAAAATACAAGTGAAAGTTGTCATGCTTTTTATATCAATGATTTGGTGGCAGGGTATTCGATCTAATTAAAGCACAAAATTAAATTACCCGTTTTTCTGAAGTACTGCAATTGCAAGGCAGTATTTGGAAAACGCTGTCAAAAGAAGAGCAGCTATTTGTAACACAGGCGACAGCAGATCAGCTCAGTAAGCTCACAGCCTGGTCCAAGGGCACTCACTGGAAACCCTCCAGCCACCCACCTGCATTTCACTCGTGTGTTAAGGCACAGCAGCACATCAGTTGGTATCTGGGCACGTTTGTAAGACAAATTGGAGCAGCACACTGAAGTCTGAAAGACGTGCTGAGATCACAAGGCTCAGCTCAGCTCCCAGAGCTGCATGTCTCACAGGAGCAATACACCTCTTATCTCATTACAAGCTGCAGGTCACTGCAAGCACTTCACAAGGGACGTTCACACAGACAGCAGAGCAGCAGGGCAGCAGCCCATCTCATCTCATGCCACAGCACACAGCATGGCTGCCCCTGTGGAAGGCAGCACTGCTGGCGTCCAGATGCCACAACACATGGATTTGTATTTTTCATTTTCTCCAAAGGGTAAAATAATAATAATAATAATAACAATAATAATTTACTGATCATTGCTAAGGGCATAAAAGAAATAATAGACCAAAAAAATTGACTTTTTGCAAAACATAAACAGTAACAGGTCCATCCAACAGGTCCATTGAGCAGCAGCTCAAAGAGACAGATCTGCAGCTGCTTTCATGCCTGAGTAGGGAAGGTCACACAACAAAACAGCCCTGGAGGGGCAGTTCTGTACTGCAGTCCTGTATGTGTAACCTGGGGACAATATTCTACACTGAAGTTGGGGAACTTTAAGAAAGCACTAAGAGTGGAAGCACTCCAGGCATGCAACAGGTTTAATGCTAGTGAAAGCAACTGTAAGTTTAAGGAACATTCAGAAGAGCCTCAACAAAAGCAGAACTACGGTGATTCAGCACTACAGTGGAAAATAACAAGAATTCAAACCTTCAACTGCTGTGCTAAAAAGGATATATTTTCTGCTTCTCTTCATTGTACAACACATCCACCAACTGGATAACGTTTTTGTGCCGCAGTCGTCGCAGGAGCTGGATTTCCCTGCAGGAAAAGGAAAAACATCACATTTTCAAAGCTTATTTCCTTGCTGTGGAATGAAACTAATGTTTCTAAATCGCATGGGTCGATGCACTTCTGTATTAGTGACTGTGTATTAGGGACTGATTTAGCTTCAACTAAAGGTTACCTCTCTACACTCCTTGAGAGAAGGCTTTGCGTGCTCCTGAGCTCCAGGTTAGCCCATAGCAATGTTACCTGGGTACAAGGAGAACCCTCCCCACTAACACCACGCAGCCCCAGGTTCCCCAGCCAGGGATCCTGCTCAGCAGAAGGCAGAAGATAAACTGCAAAACCCAGGGAAGGTGCCTTGCTGCACCTTGGCAATGGAAACTGACCCCTGGCTGCCATCTCACATCCATTTGTTCCGATCTTTGTCTCCTGGGATTTTGCACTCTGCCCCAAACCACCAGATTTTGGTACCTTTTACATTCAAGTCACCCTGCAGAACCCCACTGCTGCCAGCTGTAAGGAGGAGAAACAGGAGGATCAGGCCAGGCAGGTCGGAGTGCTCTGGCTGGCAGTGCAGGCACTCAGTTCCGCTCTGCTGCTCCGCTCCAGGCAGCTGCTGAACCACACACCAGCCCCTCTTCCTTCCACTGCTAAGCCCCTTAGAAAAGCAGGGCCACGTTTACCAGCCTGCGCTGCTGGAAGCAGCACTGCAAGGAACTCAGAGCATGGCTTCAGAAGGCAGAGCTTCTGCCCAAGCACACTGTATGGAGCTCAGAAAGCTCTGCTTGCACAATTAGACCACGTCCAGTAACGAGCCACGACCAGCACAGGGACTTGGTGCTGCATCACGACTGATTAGCAAACCAGTAACAGCTCCTCCAAAGAGCTCATAAGATGCAGGACACAAGTTGGCTTGAAGAATTAGGATAGCTGAACGGAAACCTGGAATAACAAGGCAAAGCTCAGAAGAGTGTTTAGTTTAAATGGCAGACAGATTTGCAAAGTGATGCAGCCGCTCTAATTATAGTAATGACCAAAAGGCCGGAGTGGATTAAATTAGTATAGAGCTGCAGCCAGCATTAGCAGAGCTCTAAGAAGTTCCTGCATAATGAAGGGAGATGGCTGAGCTCAGAGCCAGCAAGGGGCAGAGCAAACACCCCTGTAAGTAGCACTGCTTCCTGCAAGGCAGAGAGCTTCTAATATTAGGAGCACAGTTAAAATCCTCATCCCAGAGGCTCATTCCCTGCAACGCTGCTTGAAAGCGCAAACACCGATTCCTCCCACCTTTAAAAGCCTGATATGTTTCATATTTCTGCCACTTCTTTCCCCCAGAAGGACACTGTGAACCACCAACCCCAAACAGCAGCAAAGCACAGCCACCTCTGGGGCAGGGGCCAAGCAGCCCGTTTCCCAGAGGAAAGATTACCTCTATTTTTAGTCCCTCTCGCATACTGGAAGGGCTGAGGGATGGAGGCAGCCCGGCCACAGCCACCTCCAATCCCATTTGGTTGCAGAATTTGTTGCTTAATTGGGACCTCGGTGCTTAATTTGCCAGAAGCTGCCTGTGTTTACCTCCCCCCCCAGCCAACCACAAAGAACAGCCCACCCTGCTGCTTTCTTTGCACTTTGCACTGTGATGTTTCAGTGACAGTGCAGGGAAGGAGACCTGTGTGCCTGCAGCTCATCCATGTTTTCAGGGCCTCTCCAGCTGTTGCAACTTCATCTCCTTGTACCTTCTGAAAAGCAACATGAAATTTCAATTGTAAGCCTTGTTTTTGCAGTCGTATCTCCCCCAGCAGAGGGAAGGGCTCTTGGTCTGAAGCAAAGCCAGGTGCTTGGGTGCTTCACCACTCTGCACAGAGCCAGGAGGATGGCAGAAGAAAAACCAAACCTAACACAACCGATGGACTTTGTCAGACCACTGTATTTTTTACTGAAAGGAATGAGAAATAAACCTGCTTCCCTAGCAGCTGTTATTAGATTGGTATTATCATGAGGACTGCAAGCTTTGCTACATTTTCATTATGTTTTAATGAATCTACCAGAAAGATTGAACAAGAGAGATGGCGAAATGAGTGCAGCAGTGCTCCCACAGTTACCTGCACCCACAAAAAGGAGCAAGCCCAACTCCTAGAGAGGCCTCTGCTTCGAGGCCATCATTGCTGTACCCACTCACCTCACACTACCGTGTGGCTGCAACAATCTGCAATCCATGCAACTTTCTTCTACTTCTCCAGAGCACGAAGCCCCCTGGCGTACAGCAGGACAGACTGCTGGAACACAGACCCTGATTCAAACCATGAGCATCCTGGAGCAGGGAGGAGAGATCCCCTACATGGAAGGCTTCTGCGCACTGCCAGATGCACTGAGCTCATCCAGACAGACGGAGCCTCACCTCCTTGCTTTGGCAAACAGCAGGGCCTGCTGCTGCCGCTGCCAGAACAAAGCTGCTGCTCATCCTGCATGCCTGGAAGGTGCTGAGAACCCAGCAGTGCCCCTGCATGGAAACCACTGAAGCATCAGGATTCAGCCTTTGTTCCACTGAAGGTTTTTTTTAACAACTTACAAACTCGTAAAGAAATCCTTATCCACAAAGGCAAGACAGCACTCACACCCTTTAGAACTACATTACCTACTCCCCAGTACAAGGTTTGCAGAAGAATTGCCTTCCAGAGGAAAGATGCAGCACAGCCCATCCGAGCTGACGGCCTGCCGGGCTCTGCCTCAAGGTACCTGAAGGTGCATTCCCTTCCTTGGTTCATCAGGCTCCTCCACAGGTGCAAGCTGGTAGGATTTCCACTGGTGGATCCTTTCCAGGCAAACCGAGCTTCCCAGAAGCACAGGCTCACAGCAGGTCTGAGCCAGGCAGCTCTCAGTGCTCACCTCAAGGCTCCACACCAAGCACTGCGCTCCTAAGCTGTGGGTGAGCACAGCGCTGTGCCACCTCCCCCGTTGGATGGGCAGGCTGGGATGAAGTCAGCCCCAGGCCATGCTGGCCTCCAGCACGCACCCTGCAGCTTGCAGCAAGCCCTTCCTTCAGCAGTGCTCTCAATTTGCAGGCCCACGTAGCGAATCCCCAAATTACAGGCCTGCTGCACATTTTCAGCCTCAGAAGAATTCTAATGAGCATATATTCAAATCTAAGTAATCACCGAGCAGGGTAAGTACAGTACAAGACACTTGGGATATGCACAGAAAGTCCCAAACACTTAATTAAAATGGGAGGCTATTAGCACGCAGTTTTATTAAATTTGTGCTGCTAGAGACAAACACTCCTCCAAATCTTCCTTTATCTTTTTGGCAATCCCACTGAACTCCTTCCTGGCATGGAGTGGAAGCAGCAACTAGCCACAGCACCAGCTGGTTGACCAAAGCACCCCAGCCTCCCTCTGCAGGGACTCAGAGCACGCAGAGCTCCCCACTCTGACTTAGGAGACGTGTCTCACTCCACTGTGAGCACTGAGGGCTTACAGAGCTCCTATGGGCCCACCTCCCAGGAGCAGAACTTGATTATCTGTGGGGCTGGAGAAGGATCATCCCACCTGCTAAGATCACCCTACCGTGCATTTCAGCCCCAACCCTGTCACTGCACAATGAGAGCCACATCTCCAGCCCAGGCTGCAATGCCTGCCCTGTGTGCCCAGTCTGGGTGCAGACCTGTCCCACCCCCAGGCTGCACATCACTCCCTGCTCATCACTGCTCCCTGTGTATTGCTTGTGTAATTACCCAAGAGCTGACAGTCCAGGAACTGTTTTCTAGGGAATTTCTTGGACAACACACTGTTAATAGGAGCTTCGCTTTCACTGCTGCAGCAGCACTGAGGCATCCTGTGATAACTGGATGGGGCACGAGGCCATTATTCTAAATCAATTACATCTCTGCCATACAAACCAAGCCACCACGCAGCAAAAAGCTACATCTGCTAGAAACCGAGGTGGGAGATCAGACTGCTGGAGGAACAAGCTCCATCTTCACAGTTAAGAAAGAAGAAGAAAAGGACAACGAGGTATTTTGAGACTGAAATAGCACAGCCACTCAGCCCCAGTGCCAGGGCGCTCCAACACGTTAGCAGCACGATGTGAAATGAACCACAGAGAGGAGGATCTGCTTCAGATGCGACTCTGGGACCTGCAGCAAAGCAAACGACTCGGCTGAGGGTTCAGGAGTCCCCTCTCATCCACCTCACACAGCCAGAGAGCAGCTGCCTGCACCCTGCCCTGGCAGAACCCCCTGCCTGCACGCAGCGCTGGGGTGCTGGCAAGGCAGCGAGCACGGAGCAGTGCTTCCATGCCAAGGATGGGAGAGGAGATTTCTCATCTCAAAGGACACCAGCTGAAGTCAGGACGTTTGCAAAGTTTACACAGCTCGTCACAATCGTATCTGACATGCACCGTGCTGCAGACACCCTGCTGCAGATAAGGACAGCAGCAGGACTGCAAGTATCACTCGCTAACAAGCATTACGTATTTACTAACGAGTGAAGTAATGAGGAACTTGTAATGAGGAACTTCCAACACAGAACGGGGACAGAATGGTGCTGTTTGGTTCTACGGTCTGGTTTTTATTTATTACACGCCAGCAGCTCGCAGGGTGTAAAGCACTCAGTAAAGCTGTTCAAATGCAGCTGAAGAAAGCCAAACACCAACAGTGTGTGGCCAAGCAGCGTGACATTAAAAGGGATCACACAGTGCTTTCCAGCACTACCTGGAAATCAAGCTTACCATGGTCACACGTGTTGTTAAATGCCACCATGTGCTCCCCCCACCCAACCGACAGGGCAGACCAGAAGGGTTTGATGCCTGATCAGCAGCTCCATTCAAACAGGAGATGGTTCTCCCTGCCTGTTGCAGCAGGGCTGGATGGTTCTGATTTGCTCAGAGTTGTGTTGCAGGGGGGTAATGGCAAAAATACAGCATTTTGTCTTTTAAAAATCACTACTGACCACGCAGATAATGAATGGGTGGCCTAAGAGAAGGGCAAGGTGACAAGAATAGGAACTTGAGCCCAAGTAAGCCCTCATTAGGAGGCAACACTGAAAACCTGCCTCCGTGCTTTGAAACAAGCAAGGCTGAGCCAGAAAAACATCCACAACCAAACAGAGCAAAACTCAGTCTGCTTCACTAACTAACCCTAATGAAGGCAAGTCAGACATTTTCAGACAGGCTCCAAAACTTTTACAGGGTTCACTTTGGGACTCAGCACCATCCCCACAGTTCTGCCATCTCCCCTGGTATCTGGGAGCCTGGCTTCGCTATCAGGGAGAAAAAAATTGAAGTAAAAAAGAAACCACCTCCCTCTTCTCAGCAGAGCTGTTGATAGAAGTGAAGGGGCAGGGATGGAGCAGGGCGCCCAAGCCTCTACCAGAAAAACAAGAAACATTTTTATTACACATTAACCAGCAGTTCACTCTTATTCTGAACTCGAGCCAGCAAAGGGAGGTCCCAGCACCGAGCCCTGCGCCTGTTTTGTCACCATGCCTGGCACTGAAGGTTAGAAGGCAAACCCCAGGAGCTGACACGAGGTACAGGACGTGAAGTATCTCACAGCTGAGCTCACGGACTCGAACCAAACTGAGACACAGAAACAAGACTCTGCTGGGTCAGGGCGCTGCGCTCAGCACGTCGCAGCTCAGGGCGCAACACAAGAGCCCTCTAAACACCCCCAGCCCTCCCTCCTGCGAGGAGATAAGCCCCGTGCAAACTGCTGTGGCTGCAGGAGGGCTCTCCCCTCCCAGCAGATAAACAGCCACCTCTCGGGGCTGTAACAAACAGCTTGCTGTGGGAAAAAGGCTGCGAGGTCTTGGAGTGCAGGGCACAATGCTGCTGAAAGGGAAAGTTCCACCTAACGAGTCCCGCAAATGAAGCATAACGCTAGGCTGCTCCCCACAGAATGTTTTAATTAGTTACTTGTGCCCTGATTAATCAGTATGTAACCGGCACTTGGAAAACCTTCCAAGCACAGATCTTGAGTCACTGAAAAGAGGTTGACAGCCCTTGTCTCTATTTTACAGCTGCAGAAATGAACTGAAAAGAGCCTTGAATTGCTTCCTAAAGTCATTAGCCAGAAGAGAATCCAAGAATAAAACCCAAGGCTTGCTATGCCCCCAACGCACGGGATCGCATCCCAGCACTGACGTGGGTGGCAGCAATCACTGCCTGAAGAGTTTGAGAGCACACAGCCACGGCCCAGTGCTGCTGCACTCCCATTCAGCTGAAGGAGCCCTTGAAGCTGAGCTCTCTGCCCCTGTCCCAGCCAGGACAAGGTTAGGAGCTCTACAGCCACACAGCTGAGGATGGAGAGCATTCCTTAATACCTACACCTTGCCAAGCATTTCCAAAACACAAAGCTACGTGGTTAGTTCAAACGATGCAGAACTTCAGCTGGAAAATAAAGACCAAAGTTTAACCCCCTCGCTTCCCAGCTACCAGAAGCATTTACTCACTTTTTCACGTTTGCCTCCCCGTTGGGAATTCTGCGTAGCTTCTTCTTCTTCAGAATTTTCACAGCTCTCCTACAGAGGGTTTCAGAGTCCAGCATCTCCTTCACTTTGCCATAAGATCCTTCTCCAAGCAAGTCTCCCATCAAGTACTTGCCGATGAGCTTGGCCCTTTTCCGCCGTGGCTGGTAGATGACTTCAGTAGAGTCGATGCGATGGATAAAAGTGTCCATCCCCACAGACATCAGCTCGCTCTCTCCAAACATACCCAGCTGCTGAGGCTCCTGCATATCCATCCTGGATTAAGTTCCTTAACCTGTCTTCCTTAAGCGCTCAGGGTTTTAATCCTGTTTGTTTGTTTCCAACACTCCCTTTTACTCCTTCTTGAAAAAAAACATCCAGAAGATTGTACAAACATTAATTAAAAAAAAAACAAAACAAGAAAACAAAACAAACTACGAGCTGCTTCCAGCTCAAGTGGATGCTAAAAGATCCAGGTCTGCTCCAGTAACGCGTCTCTTAAGAAGAATATATAGCTCTGACCAGACACAATCAGGTTGGGACTCGCTTTTGCTCCTGGCCTGGTCCCACCTCTAGGGTTCTTTCAAGTCACCTCGGCCTTCCGCTTGGCCCAGTTTGTGAAGGTAAGTGCTAGGTCATCCTGGGGACCTCAGATCATCACATAAAACAGACCACTGCCAAGTCTCGTTCGTGGCTTTCCATTCCCAGCACAGCACAGGCACCAGCTCCCAGCAGGATGGCGGGGGAAGCACTCCTGCCCTGCAGCCTTCACCTTCCAAGCACTAGAGCAGACGTTGGGGCTTTTTTCAGCCGTTTGGAAGCTGGAACCAGGTTTCTTTGAAAGAGTTTTCAGAAACAATTCTAATTTCTTCACTTTTCACGCCTACAAAAGTTTGAGGCCTTCGGTGCCTATTGAGATCTCCCAGGGGCATCCTTCAGCCACCTGGATTGCGCCTGGCACATGATGTGTCACCGCTGCTGTTCCCAGGCTCAGCGGGCGTTGGACAGCCAAACCCCACCGGTAGAAAGCCAAACCCCGGAGCTGCGCGGGCACAACGAGGTGCGGGACGGCTCAAGAGGCAGCAAACCTCTGCGCCAGGTGCTCCCAGCGCCCCATTCCCTGCCCAAAGGAAGGAGATGCGGGTAGAGGGACGGACTCTTCACGGGCCACTCCACAGGTATCGGTAGGGCCGGAGGAACAGAGCAGAGCCTCCGAGAACAGGGAAGGAGGGAGGCGGGAGCCGAACGCTCGGCACGCTGCCGGGCCGCGGGGCTGAGGGGACGCTGCCGCCGGGGACCGGGCCCCGCGAGCGGCCCAGGGAAGGCCCTTCCCCGTGCGCCGGGGCCGCTCCCTCAGCGCCGGGCCCCGCGCTGCGCCGCCGACACGGGGAACGGAGCGGGGAGCCCGGCGGCCTCGTCCTCCCTCCCCGCTCCCGGGCCTCGGACCGGGCCGGGCCCCGGCGCCGCGCTCCCCAGGCGTCCACCCGTCTCAGAGGAATCCCCAACGGCCACCGTCCCCGCTCTGCCCTCGCGGACTCGCCTCAGGGCCCACTCTAGCCGAACCGCGCCCCTTTACCCCCTCCGCCGCCGCCGCAGCGCGCACGCCGCCGCCATTTTGTTTACCTCCCGCCCCCGCCCGGCCCCGCCGCGCTCCCGCCGTTGCCCCCCCCCCCGGGCCTTGCGCCTCCCTGGCGACCGACGTCCGCGCCGATTGGCCTCCGCGCCGGCCCCGCCCCCGAGAGCTGGCTTTCTGATTGGCTGCGGTCCTGCCACGAGGAGGCGGGGCCGGCCCAGCGGCTTTCGCTTCCGGTTGGCTCGCGGAGTTTCCAGCCCGCCCTTTCACTCGGGTAGAGGGAAGCGCGCCGTGATAGGCTGAGGGAGCTGTCCGTCAGTGCTGTCGGCAGTAGGGGGCAAAGGGCAAAGGGCGAAGGGCGAAGGGAAGTGGTTGCCATGGAGACGGGTGGAGGAGGGAGTGGCGCCGCGCATTGGGCCTGGGCCTGGACCGCCGCGCCCTGGTCGTTCCGGGCGGGGCCTGCTGTGCAGCCCGTCCTTAGCGCTGCACAAACGCTCCGGAACCACAGCCCGTCTTTTCTCCTGATCCCTACGTTCGGTGCTAAACGTAACGCGCTAAACCCCTGCCGTGCGTGCAGGAATTCTGTCAGCAGAAGAGGCCCCTCCTCCCCCGCCGTGCCGCCCTCACGCACTGCCGCCATCGGCCGCCACGGGCCGTTCTGCCAACTCCTGGTGAGCACCGAGGAGTCCGGCACCCATCAGGCAGTCTCAACGTGGACTCTGTGCTCTTGGACATTAACAAATAGCAGATGGTAAACAGCTCAGTGCTGCCTTTATCTGTAGCCCTCAGAGGTGAAGCAGGGAATCAGCAGCCCTGAAATGAGGCCAGCATTGGGCTGGAGGGCAGCAGCTGCTTTCTGCTGTGTGCTGTCACTGTGCTACAGTCCTCTGCTTCTGGCCAGAAACAAAGACAGGAGAGGTTTGGATGAGTCAGAGGAGGTTCATGTGCATGGCAGCGTCCTCCAGGTGTCCACCTGGCTGCTGGAGGAGGACCCAGCCAATGAGTCTCCCACACTGTTAAACCACGCAGTTCACCACATGTCTGTCCTCCCCAACTGTCTGTCCTGACATTCTTGGGACAGAGGTGCTGTTAGTGCTGCTGTGCCTGGCTGTGTTCTCATTGCATCACTCCTTCACACCCTATCCTGACCTTTTGGCCATTTTCTCCTCTTGCAATGATGTTACTGCCTTTCTCCTTGCTGGATCCCAGCAGCAGCATCTCAAGAGCACCACAGAGCGGCAAGAGCTGCCACCTCCTGGCCGAGCTCGTGGGCCTGCAGGGCCCAGTGAGTCCAGCTTCAGCTTCCTCATGCCTGTGTCCCCACCTGTCCTTGCTCTGAGGCCCCTCGCATCCAAGAGCCATACAGAGCCTACCTTCACTCAGTTGCTCCCAGAGGCTCTGTCCTGGAAATGGCATCACCTCCAGCTGTTGCCATCTGCTTTTGGACAGTGTTAGAAAAAAAGTGCAGAAACCATTGGAAAAAGCTTTTCCAATATGACCCGTATAGTGGTTCCCTTGGGGTAAGTTGAGATTTTTGTTTGTTGGTAGAAGTTGACATTTTTGTTCTTCTGAGATTTGCACTATGGGGTATTTTAACCCCTTCTTGTGGAAGTGATTAAGCTCCATAGAAATCTCTATTTTTATTTAAAAAATAAGAGCAGCCTGCCAGCATACATGGCCATACACACAAGCGAGCTCAGTGAACACCAAAAGAAGAACAAAGAGAGAAACCAGCAAGGTAGCACTGGGCTCCATGAGCCCCTCTCCATCTCTGGGCAGCAGGAGCTCAGGACTGAGGACAAGAGACTGAGACAGGATCAGAGAACGCCTGCACAGAAGGAGGCACAGCTGCCCCAGGACCAACAGCTCTGCGTTCTCCCTGCCTCAGGGCCCTGTAACACTGTGTTTGTCTCTGCTCCCTTATAGGCTTCTCTCATGATAGTGCCTGGCCACATGTGATTTACTTCGATCTTGGCACAGAGTCCAAAGTGCTGGAAAGCGATCACCCAAATTCTGGTAAGTGCTGTGCTTCCCCTTCCCAAGAGGGCCGGGTTCCCAGCAGCACAAGGGCAGGATTGATTGGAAAACATCCACACAAAAGAACCCCAGATAGGAGCAGCTCCCACTGCCTCCTTTGCAGCTCCTACCGGGCTGCATCAGCTGCGCTCTGCTCCCAGGAGGTGACACTCCAGGAAGGGGCTCCTCAGGACTGAGGGGGCTTTACAGATCCCTCTGATGGTCTGGCACACACCAGCCCACACCCCCAGAGCTGTGGCTCCATTCTCCCCCTCTGTGCTGTCCCTTGTTAAAGCTGTAGGGCAGCATGGGCCCAGCTGGGTCCAGGGTACCCCAACCCAGTGGAAAGTCAGGGGATTTCCAGGCTGTGGGAAGAAACAGGAACTCAGTGCACGTAATGTGTCCAAACACCCTGACATGGCCGCAGCAACGACCCTGTAGCATGCTTGCAAGCCAGCACTTCTGGATCAGGGCCCTGATGTTTGTGTCTCTGATCCTGCTCCCCCAGGACCTGCTGTCCCCCAGAGGTCCAGCTGCCTGGGAAAGGCTTCTTCTGGGGAAGGCAGAGCACTTCCCAGGGATGCTGCTTGGGATCACAGATAAAGGTGCTTGGCACAAAGCCCATCACTGACTGCAGCAGGGGCTGTGCTGCAGCCTCAAGCTCACGGGGGGCTTTCCTTTGTGGTGCTGCTGTCTTCTCGTGCAGCAACAATACTCACCCCAGCACAACCTCATGGAGGCATGTGCGAATCCTTCCCTTCCTAATCCAGAGGCGGTCATTAGGATAGAGGCTTTCAATGCTCCCTTGCTCCTGAGGAAGCTTTTAGGGGTTGGGAGGGGTCTGCAGGGTCATCAGGTTCATGTCTGAAGTGGGAACTGGGGTGAGAAGTGGAAAGGAGGCGAGCGCTGTGTCATGGCCCCGACTGCTGGGATGGCACTGATCACAGGAGGAGGCTGGAGGGATCTGTGCTGGTTCTTCCTGTGTTTGCTTTGTTCACAGTTGTATCATACTAAACAAATAATTCTAGGGGATTTTAAGACATAGAAATGCATGACTGTAGGGCAATTGTTGAGTCCCAGCCTGAACCATTGATTGAGCACCCAGGGAAAAGACCCAGTCAGCCCTGAGAGCACAGGTGAAGGCAATTCATCTGTGCAACCCAGAAGGGCTGGAGCCTGACTGTACCTCTCTTAGACCCCATTTAAGGGCTGACTGCCCCAGGAAAGGATTTCTTCCTAGAGATCCCTTCTTGGTGAAGTTTTCCCCTATGAACCTAGAATCTCGTCATGCAGGTAAGCAATTTTCTTCCCGTTCTTTATGGTACCTTTCTGTTTTGCTGGTCCTTTCATCATCACACCTTTGTTGTAATGCCTTTCCTGTTGTACTGATCTGTCCAATTGCTACAGCAACTAATGGAGCTACAGCAGTTGTTCTCATGGAGCCCATGTCCTCAAGGGAACAAGCAGAGCACTGCAGGGCAGTGCTACCTGTAGGAGGTACTTTGGTGCTACTTTGGTGCCTGCGGCAGCATGGGATGAGTCAGAGCAGGAGGAGGTGTTCAAGGTGTGACTTGAGAGTCAGAATCTCTCATGTTAAGCTCTGGAGAATGGATATTTAAAAACAAAACAAAACAACACAAATGTGACACAACTGCCTTGATTAATGCACACAGGTGAATGAAGTGTTCTGAGAGCAGTGCATGTTAACAACAAGAGCCCAAATGCGACATTTAGGTCTGAGCAGAACAAAGAGAACTGCCGCTGGGCTGGGCAAGGCTACGGCCACATCCCCAGCTGTGGTGTCTCAGGGTGCAGTGCTCAGGGGCTGCTCTGCTCCCCCTGTGGCAGGAGCACAGCACTCAGAGGCTGCAGATAGAGGCGGCTCTGCTCTGCTGGCAGCTCCCTTCTGGGAATCAGCCGGACACAGCCCTGCTCTGCTGAAGATGCCAACACAAAAATAGCCTTATCTGGAGTGTTTCTTTACGTGACCCCGTAGGGACTTTTGTTCTCGTTGTCCTGGGACTGAACCGGGGCAAAGATCCAACAGAAACAATTAAAAAAAGCTTTAGGAACGGGCGGGAGGCGTCAGGCAGCCTGGGGGAGTCGGGGGGGGGCGCAGAGCCGCTCCTCCCTCGGGGCTGCGGCGCTCCCGGGGTTCAGCACTTCACCTCTCCGCTGTCCCACAGCGCGCGACAGCCGCCCCCATCCCCACCTCGCAGGTGGGAGTAGCGGGGCGAAGGAGGAAGACCCCCGCGGTCTCCGGGAGGCGGCCGGCCGGCCCGCAGCCGCTCCACGTGCCCGGCCATGCCTGCGCAGCCCGGCACCGCCGCCTCGCCCTGCGGAACTTCCGCCTTCCAGGGGTGGCGCCCTCCGCCCACTTCCGCCCGGAAGTCCGTGTCCCTCCCCCAAAATGGCGGCCTCTGAGGGCGAGCCAGAAGGCGGCGGTGGTCGCCGGGCGGGAGCCTGAGCCCCCGCGCAGGTAAGGGCTGGGGGCACGGGGCGGGGGCTCGCTCTTTGTGGAGCTCCGGTTCTCGGCGAGTGGAGGCCTCCGGTATTGAGGGGCACTGCGGGAGTGCGGGCTGCTTCCTCCGCTCCCTTCTGGCGGGCGCTGGTCCGTGTCCGGCGGGTCGGATGTGAGGGGAAAGTCCTCTCCTGGGAGCTGGTGAGGTTCCGACACCGCCCGGAGCTGCGCTGTCCCATCCCTGGCGGTGCCCAAGGCCGTGGGTGGGGCCTGGGCAGCCCGAGCTGGTAGGGAGCGCCCAGCCCACGGCTGAGGGGGTCTGCAGGGGCCCTTCCGACCGCTCCTCGGTTCTGTGAGAGGCGAAGGGGCCTCGGAGTGCTTTGTGGGTCGGTGTTTTGCAGTAGCAGTCTCCCTTCCAAAGCGAAAGCCGGCCCTGTCACTTTATGCAGCCCAGTGCTGAGGATCGAGCTGTGCTGTGCGGAGGCTGAGTTCTCACTTCTACACTTTGTTCAGACACTTTTGAGTCGATACTTAAAAACCATCAGCACAGCCTCGAAGCCCGTGTCTGCCTGTTGTGGTGCGGTTCTTAATGGCCCTATTAAGAGCCTTTGAAGGGTAGAACTTGACTCTTAACTCCGGTGCTGTTAGCAGTCACCTGCAGTACCCAGTTCTTAACATAATTAATTACTGATGCAGTGTTGGAGAAGGGATGCTTTCAGGCATTCCCAAATGTCCCTGGTGGGCAGTGCTGGAGCTAGTGGAGCCATCGTTGGCACCTGAAGGTTGCTGTCTAGTTTGGAGTGGTGTTTTTTATCTGATTGTTTCATGCAATGGCTGGGATGGCTGACTGGTGCTGATAAAGAGGAATGCATTTCCCCACCTGTTTTCTCTGGTAGTGTTTTTCCTCCTCTAGGAATTGCTTGTGCAGGGCTTTCGGGTGGGTGAAAGTGAAACTATGCAGATGTGATGGTAAACCCACAGAGCCGGACAGAAGATAGCAGAGCCAGGGAATTCTACAACACTTTTCTTTCATGTTCTTAATTTGATTCTTTACCCTGGAACAGGAACGGTGCAGCCAAGTGTCACACTTCATCACGTGTCACACATGGGACAGATGCATCTGCCAAGCTGGGTGCTCCATGAAAAGCACAGCCTTGCTCACTGCAGACTGTTGTTTTTTTTAACACTGAAGCATACATGGACTGAATTTTCCTTTTAATTTATTTATTTTACTTTTAATTTTGTGTTTAAAATAGCGACCCCGTGGTTTGTTTGAGGGTTGTGTTTCCTGACTGAATGGGCCTTTTTAATGTTTAAGTTACAGAGCTCTGAAATGGGGGGTTTATAATGAAAATGCTGACACAGGTTTCAAGCTTTTTGAACAGTGACACTGTATTAAAGAGCCAACTGTGCAGCCACTGAATGCTGCACTGTGACTCTCGGTCGTGAGAGTCTGGATCTCTCTGGAAAGCAGTATAGGCTTAATTAGGAGTTTTATATTCTCCTGAAACACTTTCTCAGCTTGAAACTCTTCAGTCATTTTTGGTAACACGATCAAGATTTGTAAACATAGAGCTATGAAAGAGGCCAACACATGCCTCTTTCACAGCGTGCTGAGCCTGCCTGAAGGCTGTCTGGTTAGGACTGCTGCTATGGGCTTGTGATCAGTAGAGAAGCAGGCTTTGATGTCCTGGGGTGTTTTCTCAGCAGTGTGTGAAGCAGAATACTCATAGCCTGTGTGGTAACACTGCACAGGGTCTCAGGACCTGCTCAGCTCATGCAAAGTGTTTCTTGCAGAGCTTCTCTTGGGATTATCTCAAAAACAGTGGGCAGAGGCAAAGCGTAGAGGATCCTGGAGGTCGCGTTCCTTGGCTTTAAACCTTAGTCAGCTGTGTGCTTTCTGCTCTTCTTTCCCTTTAATTAACCAGCATTATGGCACAGTTTTGCCTTGCAGGTGTGTTCTGAGGCTGACTCCAGGAGCCTGGTGCTGCTCTGTGTGCTCCTGTCTGAGCTGCTCCAGCCTCAGCTCTGGCACGTTCTCAGTCTGGGAACTTTCAACTGCCTAATATTAATCCACGAAAATAGAAGGAACGGCACACTGGGGCAAATGCCAGCATCAGGGCTCCCAATTGACTTTTTCCTCCTCTTTCATTAGTTAGGTTTATGTTTCTGTGCTTTTCTTTTGAGGATTAAGGCCATCGTGACTCTTGCCGGTATCCAAACAGCGCCGAGGAGCATCTGAACGATGGGCAGCGTGAGCCTGGAGCCACGGCCTCGGCTGCTGGGAGTGCTGTGTGGCACTGACCCTCCTCCTGGGAGTGAGGGGGGCTCCGTGGAGCTGGGTGGGAGCCCCTGTCAGTGCAGTTCCCCTCTCTGTACATGGAGGCCCTCAGAGCTATGAGGCACTTCCTCACTCGTGGGGCGACTGTTTCCATGGCAGACCCGTGTGGCATAAATATTGCTACCGTGCTCTTCTCTTCACACCCACTGTAACGACACTTTTGCTCTGGAGAGTTCCTGATAGGGCTTAATTTCACAGGCATCTCAGATAAACTCCCTGGTTGCAGGCTGCGTGTGGGGAAATAGCAGAGCTTTGTCTGGCTGCAGGCTGTCAGCACGGCTTTTGGTGTGGATTAATGTGAAGTGCTGCAGAGCCACGAGGAGGATGTTATTTTTTTGCAAGAAGCTTGTGCTGATTTTACTTGATGTTTGTGTATTGTGATTGCAAACAACTAAACTGTTGCTTTGTGTGCAGTGAGAATGGTGCATCTTTTGGAGAGGGATTCCTTCAGTGTCCTCCAGCAAGTCAGATTCTATCCTGACTTTATTGGCTGCTCTTCTTGTTCTGAGTGCCTGTGCTGCAGCCTGTGCCCCTGACTGGTTTGTATGCTGGTTTTCAGCTTTTATTTTTTCCCTGGTACTTGTAATAAAGGTTTCCTATGTGCTAATTCAAACCTGCCTTCAGCCTACCTACACAGGACAGTCTGTACTCTGCTGAGAATGCTTCCTGCCCAAAAGTGTCTTTGATTTGTAGTTTTTCTCTGCGTGGCCTTAACTTGAAACAAGGAGGGCCTGGCACTGCTGGGAAGGCAGAGCTCTTGCTGATCTGGGAGGACAATTTATCTCCTTTGCGTGCACCACTGTGTATCTTGGATGGATCTGGCAAGAAGCTTCAGAATGATCTCAGCTCTTCTCTTTGTTTACAGACGATGTAACTCCAGCAGTTAATCTGTCCGTTTGTTTTCAGTCACCGCAGTTTGCTGTTGGCTGGCATAGCCCTGCTGAGCAGTGAGCTTATCCCTGTTCCCTTCTGTCTCACTCCCAAGCCTGGTGGTGCTGTGTGCACAGGATGTGGAGCTCAGTCTGTGCAGAGCAGATGCACCCAACGTGCGTTCTTTCTAGCTGAAAGCATTCAGGAGATGAAGGTGACTGAAGTGCTGGGTTAGCATGCCCTCGAGTGGCTCCACTTTCATCACAGATGTGTATTATTGTTATTACTTATATCTAGATTGATGTTATCCTGTGCTGTTGTATCTGAACTGAGCTGTGCTCCTCACCAGCCTGAGGATAAATTTTTCTTTCTTCTCCTGTAACTTCCTAATGTTACTTGGAAGATGTTTGCATCAGGCTCATTTTCTTTCATGCTTTCTAATGCGTGAGGTTGAAGACGTGCTGGGCTGACCCTGACTTTTCCTCCTTGGTTTTCCATAGTGTGAGTCCCTGCTGGGGACGGGGCTCTGATTCAAAGCCTCCTTCCTCATTGCTCAAGGCAAAATGTTCAGCCTAAACTCTGTCCAAAAATATGGCAAGAAGAAGTGCTAAAGAGGAACTTGAAGCTGGCTCAGTCATTGAGACCTACAATCACTTTTTGGTGTTGCGTGGTGCTCAGTTCCCATTTCTGAGGGCAGTTTGTGTTCCAGCTGTGCTCCTGTATGCTCCACACAGGTGGAGCAGAGCGCTGGGCTCTGTGTGCATCAGGAGAGGAGCAGGATTGTGTTTCAGAGCCCTCTCTCTCGTTACAGATACACGGTAACTCAATGCTCGGCAGGTTCAGCTCTGACTGTTCAGGACCTGCCTGTGGTTTCCTAGCTGTCGTCTTTTAAAAGAGAACGATTTGGAGTGAGTAACAAAGGCTGAAACACAACCAGAAGGAAGTGCTCACCTGTCCCAAGCGTGCTGTGGGCTCCCACCTCTCCTGGATGCAGCTATGTGAGCTGAGCCTGCACCACAGTGCTGCTGGCGCTGACTGCTGCAGGACAGGTCCTTGTGTTCTTCTGACCTGGAATTGCTGCAGCAATTCCACACTTGTACAGAGATCAGGCTGTTAACATTTGAAATATGCTCTTTGTAACAGCTGGGCAGGAAGGTTTCCATAGGAATTCCTGCCTATTGTGACCTGGGCTGAATGGCAAACCTGTAAGCAAACTTAGTAATGTCTGAATTATTGCTGTGGCTTCATCAGGGTGACTCACGGTTGCTCGCGGGGCTTTGTCACGCTCGGCAGCAGTTTCACTATGAGCCCCAGCTGCTTGGCCAAGCAGCAGCCAACCCAGCTTTGATTCCCTGGTTGTGTAAGCACAGCTGAGTGCCATCACCCCACATCAGGAGGGGCACGTTGCTGCTTCTCAGCAGTGCAAGCAGGGCTTTACCTGCCTGTTGTTGGGGCTCAGCTCTGGCCCTGCTGCTGCTTACACCAGGCACTGGCGTTTTCCTTTTCCTTTGCCTTCCTTATTGTGGCAGGAACCTCATCCTCAATGGTTCCTGAGCACTTTTGCTGGGTTGGAAGCTGTTACAGCGACCAGCTTTGTGGCTTATGCTCTTCATTCATTTTTTACAGCTATTTTTTAATACGTTTTGCGGTGGTGAATGAAGAAGCAAATTTAATGTGCAAAGCAAGATTCATTCCAGCAGTATTTAGGAATTCATCCTTCTGCTATTTGGTTGTTCTTTTGGTGGTTTTTAGTTGCTTACTTCCTGTGCTGCAGCTAATTCTTGACGACAAATAACACAGCCATCCAGAAATTAGCCTGATTACTTAGCAGTTCTATTTAGGAGCATGTTGCATGTGAGGAGCTTTTGGATGCCACCAGCTTTACCTCCTGGCACCCAGGACCCACGCAGGGCTGCACTGTGGCCAGAGCAGCTTCATCCCCAGCAGCTCTGCCCTGGAATTTGAGGTCACTGCTTTCTGTGATCCTGCATTTTCTTTTCTGGTTCTATAAAAAGCTTCAGCCAGTTTGTGGTTCCTGAACTCAGTGGTGCCGCGCTGCTTCTTCAGGCTTACGGAGTCAAGATTCTAAAAACCTAACAGTCAGCAAACATCCATTTTTACCGTTAGGATGTGGAAATGAGAGAGCTCTGGCTTGCAAGGAATTGCTGATATTTGTGGCTTTCTGTGGCTGCCCAAAGGATGCCAACACCGCCGTGCACTGGGGCCGTTCCCACTTCTAGCATTCATGCAGCAGGCAGCTGCCGTGCTTCTGCTTGTGTTCAGACTTGCACAAGTGCTTTTTGCACACCTGCTGGCTGGGTGCTGGCTGTGTGGCTGCGTCCATCAGTCTGGTGTGGAGCTGCTGCCCTCACACACAGCACTGCAGCTCTCCAGCAGTGCACTGCTCCATTGGGGATGTATTGAGAGGATCCGTCCCTTACAGTGTGACCGTGATGGGGAGCCCATGAGGTCTGGGTGTCACTCGCTGTCACTGCATTCCTTGGGGCTCCCAACCCATGCATCCAGCCCTTGAGACGTGCTGCTGAGGCACAGAGATGCAGGCAGGCAGAAATGCTGTTATCGATTTTCCCCTTTATAAGATCCTTTGGCTGTAGAAGTAAAGCTGTATATTTACAGTTATGGGAATATAACTGCTGCTGATTTCCTATCGAAAGCTGTTACAAACTGGAAGAAAGAGAAGTAAAAAAAATCCCTGAGCTTTCTGCTGAGACCAGGGCTGGTGTTTTAGAGGCACCAGAGGATGTCAATATCTCTGAAGTGTCTGTGATGCTGACCCTGGGGTTGGTGCTCCTCACCGCCTCTGCTCAGCAGCAGCCAAGCTTTATTTGAAGCCATCTCCAAGGGGAAACTATCTGTGCCATTTGCAGCTCTATGTATTTGAATAAGGTCTCAGGTTTTCTGTTGCTTTGTGTGCCTTTCAGTCTGCCTGGAAGGCTGGGGGACTTTGAACAGGTCGGTGGAGGTGGCAAGCAATCCTAGCTCACCACTGCTTGGTGGGGGGGATCTGGGTGTCTCAGCACGGGCTTCCCTGTCAGCATGGGTCCTCTTGTCACACACATGGAGTGGGAAGAGCAGCAGGGAGGGCTGTGGCTGAGGAGGGCTGAGGCAGAGCTGTTCTTTAAGCCAACCCTTTAGTTCCACCTGTGGTGCGGAGCTGTGATAAACCTTTGTGTTGAAGCCTTTCTCTCACCACTTCCTTCCTAAGATGTAAATTAAAACTTCGTAGGATCTCTTGTCAACCACCCAGTGGCATCAGGGAAAAACATAAAGCCAAAGAAGAAAGCAACCTGAAAAGTGTGAGGAAAAAAGCATCTCCTGGGGTGGCTCTGCTGGAGCTCGGGCTGCTTTGCTACGTGCTGACTGAGCCTTTTTTCTGCCTGTCTTCACTATGGGCTGGAGGTCAAAGTCTACATTTATGCAGCGCTGTTTGCAAGCTGCATTGCAATAGATGGTGTGCTTTGGGAGGGAGAATTCCTTGAATATTTCAACATCTCTGCAGTCTTTTCTGTGCAGAGCTGCTCAATAGGTGGGACAGGAGCGTGGCTCTGCCCGAGGAATCCATCTGCAGCCCTTTGTGTTTGGGAGATGTGGCATCAAGCAGCTTTTGCTTCAGCATCAGCACTCTGTGATGTGTCAGAGGGGTTCCCACTGCTGAACGGGCTGCTGTTGGGGATGGCAGTGTGTGTGCAGCCCCTCACGAGGCTCCAGGGCTGCACATGGTGGGCAGGCTGCTTTTTGGGAACCCTGGTGCTGATGTTCGACTAATGAATCAAGAGGCCTGAGGTCAGTATATTGATTAGGGTGCCAGGGTGTTAGCTGACTGTTTTTAACTGCTTTTGCTCCCGGGCTTATGGACTGTAAAGCCCAAGTGTGGATTTTATAACACAATAGAAAGAAACGCTTCTGGGAGTAAAAGAATGAGATCGCAGCAAATCTGTGGTCAGCAAGAAGGATCCTGGCATTTCAGGGCCTTGGTAAAGAGTATTTATTTGTTTAGCAATTAATTAAAATCCACTGTGCTTTTTTTCTGTAGTGGAATGAGCATCGTTCTTTGGAGGCCGTGTCCCACTGTGCCTTCCCAGGCTCCTGCATCGCCACATTCCAGGTGCTGCAGCATCCACATGTGAGCCCTGCTCCCACAGCTGTCCTGCCATGGCTGCCCAGGGACAGGAGCAAACAGTCACTTCAATTTTGCTTTCTGTTACAAATGCAGGGATAATGTTGTTGGCTGAAAGGTCACTTTATTTTCATAGGGACTTTGACTCAGAGGTGACTTCACAAAGTCCTGCGATCCCGTCGGTGCCAGGGCTGTTTTGGAGAGGTGCTGCCCCACCATGGGTTGCATTAATCTGGCTGTGAGAACTCGGCCTGCCATTCACTGGGCTGAATTAAGCGCCTGCGTGCTAATAGGTGCTGATTGCTGGTGGCATGTGGGTATCTTGCAGGCCTTTGTCTGGTGTTTCAGCTGCTTCCTAACAGCTCAAGCCTGCCAAGTTACTCAGTAAGCCAGCGTGAGTTGCTGTGCAAATGAGCGGTCTTGGGAAATGGATCATTTTCAGTGAGGACTTTGCTCAGAAGTGCAAAATCTTTTTGTGTGTGGAAAAGGAAAATTCTTCAAGCTAAAATCCAGCACTTTACCTACTGCAGGAATCACAGGCGTGCAACGATCTGCCAGATCTGTGCACAGTGTGTGTGGTGAGGCAGGAGAGGTGCTCAATGCAAGTTCACTGTCTGGGTGAATTCCAGGTGTGGTGATATTTGAGAGCTCAGATTTCCTGGTAAAACACCTCTCTGTTCTGGCAGGCGTTCTGCAGTCTATTTACTGATGTCTTAGTTGGGTTTGCACTCAGACCTGCTTTCTTCCCCTTCCCAAACCATAACTGTGTGTTTCTTTTCCATCGCAGGACATGGTACAGGGTGAAGAGCACAGATAAAGAGCCTCCTGCCGCTCTGCAGCCTGCACCCCTGGCCCTGAGGACTTCATGCAGGACGCAGGCTGATGCCCTCAGCACACGTGGCCATGGATGGGGGGAAGAGCTGCCCTCAGCACGAGCAGCAGCTCGCAGCCGATGCTCTCTGCAGCATCCCTGGCTTCTGCTCCCCGCTCGCCGTGCCGCCCATGGAGGTGAGGCTGCAGGGTGACCCTGGGGAGGGAGATGCTCAGGGTTGTCCCCATGTCCCCAGGAGGAGTGTGGGCAGGGCTACCAGTCCCCCACTGCATCCCGGGAGTCCTTGTGTGTGTGTGTGAATACAGGAGCTGTGTACCAGACTTCCTAGGCAGCCATCCGGGGGCATGAAGTATTGATTGCTAATGCTGGAAGGTTGTGCTGATGGCTGTCAAATGCTTTTGAAATGTGAGGGGAAGAACAGAACCGTGACTAAAATGATCCCTCTTCACATGCTGGGAGATGCTTGGCTGCTGGAGAAAGGGCTGCAGACTTTGTGCAAGATCATAAACTTTGTTTCCATGGTGCTCCTCTCTGAGAGATGCTAAAGCTGTGGTTTGGGCCACCTGTGTCTCTTTTGAGAGTGGCAGAGGTGAATAGAGTTGTGCTTTAGAAGCCATTCTGGGACAGACAAGACCGAATCACTGATGTGTTCTGAACAAGGCAGGAAGCAATCCTCTGCCCATGAAGAGCCTCCACATCCCCACAGTTCTGTTCAGAAATCACATTTGATTTATAAACCATGGTCAGAAATAGGAAAAAAGAGGCCCATCTCCCCAGGTGCCTGGTTCTTCAGATGTGGGCACTGCAGAGGGGTTGGGAAGATGAAGAAGCATTGGAGGAAAGTTGTGCTGGTCCTCTGCTCTGACCATTCTGTGCTCTGCTTTCAGAGTTCCATGTTGGCTGCCGACTCGTGGAGTGACTGCTATCCTGCTCCTTTCCCAACCTCATCTTTCCCAAGTGAAAACCAGTGAGTGCTGTTCTCCTTTATATAATTCTCCTCCGCTCTTGCACACCCTGTGATTCAACTGTTTCTGAGTGCTTTCCTTGTTTGTTTCTCGAACTGATGGGGAAATAATTGCATCACGGTCATCTTGTGGCATTTCACAAACTGCTGCATCTTGGAAAAAGCAGCAAACAACTAAAAAAAAAAAAGACAAAACACAAAGACAGCAAAGCTTTGATTTCTGGTAAACCTGGTGGCTGTGGTGAGGGAGAAAGCCTTGTTTCTGCCTGGGTTTGTTACACTAATGGAGTTCTTAAAAACACCCCGTTGTGCATCTGTAGCTTTTTGCAGATAGAGAGGACAAGAAGGAACAAACTACTGGTGCTGGAGACAGGTGTGTGAGGTGACATGAAGATCTATTGCTGTGTAGGTGACTGGAGACTGGGTGAATGCTAGAATCTCTTTGTTGGAAGGCTCTGTACAACTCCTTACTGTGCAGTGCAGAGTTTGTGAGTGTTTTCCTTCAGGTTGTAACTGATACTCTTCACTGATAAGCTCACCTCCGTGTGAAGTGATGAGTATGGGCTCGTGTGAGAAACTGTGACTTCCTCCTAAGCTGCCCTGTGCAGAAAATCACCTAGATTACATGCTGCAAATAGCATTTTGGGGGGGTCTGTGTACAGCAGTAAGTGATGTTCTCATCCTTTGTCACGTACCTCTGTCCTGGGGCAGAAGGTTGAACGCTAGGGATGGCAGGAGGTTAAATGGCCTGGTGCCACTGGGGCACTGCTGGGACTGGGCTGCTCTGGTTTCTTTTGTGAATGCAGGGAGTGGCACAGAGATGCAGGATGTGTTTTTATTTAGGTCAGAGGTGGAAGGAAGGAAAGTAGTAGAGGGAGCGTTTGATATCGTGAGTTACTAACTGTGTTCATAGTGCTTGAGGATTTAGCTTAACCTCCTTCCTGGGTGGATTTCTGCATGGTGCTGCAGAACAGAGATTCATCCTCATGGGTGTCCGAGTTCCAGCCTGGCTGTCAGTAGTGACACTCAGCTTCTGTGCTCAGAGGGGTGCGAGTCCTTTTGGTTCTGAATTCTGCCTGTTTCTCCTGTGCCCAGTCCTGCTCAGCCAGCAGTGATAGGTGGGGTGTAACAGGATGCTCCTGATGTGTAATTACCTGGGAGCTGCCCCATAGGTGCTGAGTGGAACTTTGTCAGCTACTCCAAAAGTGAGAATTCAGGAGGACTTAGCTGCTAAGTTCAGTATCTGCTTTTAGCTGGCCTGTCTCTGATTGGAAGAGAGGATACTTTTTGATTCCTGTAAATTACAGTTTGTGAATTCCCGAGAGAGCTGTAACACAATTTCTGTTTTGCTGTATCAAACCACAGGATCAGATTGTTTTTGTCTATTGTGTTGGGTTTTTTTTTCCTTTGACCATTTGTTCTGGTTTTGCCCTTCACTTTCCTCTTCCCCAGTGCTGCTCTTTGCTGTTTGTGTCAAATCTACTGGAAATGTTGCAGCCTTTATCCTGCAGAGACATGCCTGCTTTTAATGCAAATAGATACTTATTGACTTTGTTACTATTTCTTTACAAAGTGAGGCTCAATGTAGCCTTTATTTGCTGGAGAATTCAGCCAAGGCTGCACTTCAGCTTCCTGTTTTTCATACCTTGGTAACTGTAAAAATCACCTTTCAGGTGAAATTTTCCTTATCTGTGTTTCATGGAGAAATAAAGAACTGTCCTTTCATACCTAAAACTGCTGGATCTGTTTTGGGTGGGATACAGGGCTGGGATGTCATAGGTAGAAATCCTGGAATCTCATTTGTGAGTGGCTGTGTTTGAACATGGCTTACTCTCATGGCAACAGCTTTGTCCCAAAGCTGGTTTTTCCTGTTTCTTTTCACTAGTTTCATGCTAGAGAATTTGCTTAAAAGATACCGAAGCTTGCTTCTTTCTTTCAGGCTTTCTTAAGCAGTGCATTAAAGGTTTGTGGAAGAACAAAAGGTGTTCAAGCCTCCCTTAGGGGAGAGCTGGAGCTCAGTGAATTTCTAGGTTAACTGTCCCTGAAGAGCTGGGCTTTTTGCAGCAGTCAGCTCAGTGCTTCCCTTCCTTCAAGGAATTCTAGGTCAGCCCACTCGGTGCTGTTGCAGGCGGTGTCACACGTGTGCAAAACATATTTCTCCAAAACTGGAGCAAAGATTTCTTCCGTGGCTTCTAAAACAGGCAACCCCTTTCTTTTCCTGCTGGTTTTCATGCACTTCTCCACTTTACCACCTGTGAGTGGAGTGCTGCTAGCTGTGATGATAGAGCAGGTTCTGAAATGCCCGAGTTGGGGCACTGACAGTGAAGAAGAGGTCAGTGCCTGGGCAGCCTGTGAACTCTGCTCATTTGCTTCCTGGAAACGTGGAGCTTGCATCTCCAGAAGTGGGGCTGTACCACCAGAGCATAAAGCCTTGCCAGAGTCCCCAGAGCAGGTGGAGCCAAAAGGGATTCAGATGCATCAATGAGCAGCTGATGTGAGGTTATGGCAAGCTTAAGTTGTCAAGGGATGGAAACCCAGCTCCTGGGAGGGATGTGGATTGCTCTGGCTCACCTGAGGTGTGGATTCCAGTAAGAGCCTGCCTGCAGCGCGTTCCTCTGGTTCCTGCTATTGAAAATGCAAATTGCTGTTTAATTATTATATTTAAAGAGCAAGCAAACAAAATGCCCAAGAACTTTCCTTAGCAGTATGTGAAACAGCCTTACCCAGAGACCCACTGGCTGGACTGACATCAAATGGCTGGGGTGAGTCAGATGTCAGTTCAGGTTTGCTTTGTACCAGACTGTTCCACTGCTTCTATATTTAGAGTGGGTGGCAGCAAAAAGGCAGCCTTGCTCTTTAAAGCAATTGTCTGACATGGATATAATCCCAAGATGCTCCCTGCTCAGCTCACAAAGTCCCACAGCTTGGGGATGAAAGGAATTCTCTACTTTATTCCTTACAGAAAGGTAGGAAGCGTGTGTGCAGTAGGGCTTTTTGGGTTCTGAACGCTGTATGCCTTTGTGTGCTTCCCTTCGTGTTTTCCTACAGGGAGATGCCCCTTGGGTTATGTTCCTAGGTGTTCTTTTTCTTACAGATGACTGAGTTCAGCCTTGTTGCCTTGCTTTGCACGTGGGGCAGAAAGCAGAGCCCCTAGCTGCTGGTGTCGTTGTGTTGGCACATGGAACCTGATTGAAACTGAGCTCTTGAGGCAGATTCTCTGTGACGGAGGGAAGGAGCAGCATTCCTTCCTTTTGGCTGTGTGGTTTCACTGGAGGGGCTGGCTTCCCATGGGATGCAGTGGGGTGGGAGCACTGAGCTGCTGCAAAGCATCGTCCTTCTGGGGGCTCAAAGCAGGGCCCTGCATTGCTGCAGATGCAGCACTCTCTGCCTGCAGAGCGCAGTGCTTCTCCAGGCCAAGCTTTATCTCAGTGCAAGAAGAAAGTGCATCTCACAGATTTCAAAGCCAAGGTTAAAGGAAACAAAACAGCATGCCAGAGCTGCTCGTTCTACAGCAGTTCAGGCCAAGGAGGTTGGGGCTGTCTTGGTTTCCTTCCTGTTACCTTGGCTGACTCCTGTGCAACCCATGAGGCACTGCGGAGGTAGGAGGCAGTGCTCACTTCTCTCTTAAAATAGTTTCTCTGGTTAGGTTGTTAAGCCAGGCTCTGTTCTTGGGCAGGGGAGAGAGGGTGAGAGCACAGCAGTTCCAGCTGGAAAGCATTTTAAACAAACCCTTCGCTGGTCATAAATACTTCACTTCCCAGAAGCTGCACACAGATTTTTAATTGGGCTGAATGGATTGAGGACACTGTCTTCAATGATGCAAAAAGGAGGGAAAATGAGCAGATAAGTGTGCTTGTATGTAAATATGTCAGTGTGGCCTATGGGTGAGGTGTTAGCCACACGTGGGGTCCCGATTGCTCCACAACACTTCAGCAGCACAGCCATCCCCAGCTCTGTTCCTGGATGGTATTTCTTCTAAAGTTTTGCTTCTCCTTCCCCTTGCTGAAGTTTATTGCTCTGAGTTCTGTAACCTTGGCACTGCAGAGAGCACACAACTGGCTGCAAGAGGAAACGGTCTGATGGGGTGAAACGTTTCAGTGATTCCAGCATGAAAACATGTTGGGTGGCGATTGCCCAAGCAGCACTGAGTGCACAGCCCTTACGGGAAAGATTACAGAGCACATTCCTGCTGCTGCAGGAGAGAGAAAGGGCTCGTGTGTGTAACAGCAGAGCAGAGGACAGCCGTGGGATGCAGAGCAGAGGCTGCTCCTGGGGAGAAGGAGGGGAATTGGTCTTTTGCTGGTCTTCCCTCCTTTCTGCTCAGAGGAAGCTGGAGCTTGGGGCAGGGAGGCAGGAGGAGATGGCGAGTGCCCTCCCCAGCAGGGACTGATCAGAAGACCTTTCTTTTCTCTCTTGTGTTAGGTCAGTAGAGATTTTGCCTTGTAATGAGGTATAATCGATTGCATCTGAAATCCATCTCCATCTGGACTAATGGTTTTGTCTGGGCTTGCATGTTCCTAACCCTTCAGTTTCTATCTGTCTCTGCTCTGTGGCTGTACTCCCTGCAGGGGTACAAAGGGGCTGTTAGCTGTCCCAGCCTGCAGGCTTGCTGTGCTGATTGCAGGAAGGGCTGCCTTGTTTTTATGACCTGAGCAGAGGTTCGGCTATGATATTTCCATGCAACTCGATGCTTGTCCTTATGTAGCATGACTGTCAGGTTCCATCATGCTGTCACACATTAGGCCATGGGACATCTCAGATTCTCAATTTTGCTTTGTTGTCAGGGCTGAAACATCCAGCCCTGCAGACTCTTCTTTTCTGTGATGTCCTTCTCAGTTTACACAGCTTTCTGAGAACTCGATTCTTGGTCTTAAGGCAGACCCTGTAGGTGTCTGATTTTGCCTCACAGATCTCTCATCTGGATCAACTTAGCTTTTCTAAATCAACTTCCTATGTGTGTCATCCCATAATTGCCCCTTCGCTGCTGCTGCCGGAGTCTGAAGCGACCTGAGGAATGCTAAGGACCCACAGGAAGTAACTGCTTTTCCCATTTCCTTACAGGCAATATTTTAATTCCTCTCACGATTTTTATATGAATCCCATCAGCAGACCACATTTCTTGGATACAAACTATGCATCTGTGGACCCCACTGACTTCTTACCAAAAAATGGTGATTTTCCTCAGGTAAGTACGTTGCTACTGATGGCTTTGGGGAAAACAGTGCTTTATGATGGGTGTTGGCTTTTTAGGATTGTGGTGTACAGGGGAAAGGAAGAGTGTTGCAAATTTGTCCAGTGAATTTGTTTGGAGGTGTGTGTAATTGGGATGAATTCTCAGCAATAAAGAAGGTATCCGTTGGCTTGGTAGGAGCTTATCTGTGATGCAGTCGCTTGTCTTTTAAAATGATATTAAATACAAACACAAAGTACACAGCAGAATCATTTTGCAAGAGGGTGTAGGTAAGTGTGAATTTGAAGATGCTTCAGTCAGTTAAATCGTTTGCCTCCTAAGCTTCCTTTGCTTGTGAACGTTGCCTGTGCTCTCACTCATTACAAGTGGTGGTTCCTGACCAGTGGCTCTTGAAGGATCGTGTTGGTGCCCAACAGAGATCCCAAGCAGCTGGTTTCTGCAGTGTGGAAGGAGCAGTCTCCCCAGTTCATCTGGCATCCCACGGGAGGACCCACAGGCATCCTCACCTCGTGGATCCTTCTGGGCTGGAAGATGTTTTTCTGTAGTGTTTCACTTGCTTTTGGCAACATCTTGCAGTAAAATTAGCTAATAATGACTGGAAAGCAGTGCTGTGAATATAGAAGGAACCGACTACGTCCCTTCTAGGAGCAGATGCAGATATTAGCAGTGTCTGGCTGTTCTTTGCTGTAGTTCTTGTTTGTGTTGTTCTGTTTTAACCCAGCATCTGAAGATAGTAAATGTGCAGAAAGTTACCTTGCTGTGACCTACCAGTGCAACAGCCGAGCTGAGTGACCCTGTAATCCCAGCCCTTCTCTCTCAGTAAGTTGCTGCACTGATTACCAGGGGAGCAGATAACAGGCAGATGGAGTCTGCCATCCCCCCTCAGGCAGAGCTGTGCTTCAGACACTGCAGAGAAGCAGCCAGGTAGGAGGAGTGCAGATGGAGATGCAGGGCACCCACTGACTTCCAGCCCCTGCCTTGTGTCCTGAGCTGTTGTGTGACTGTCTGACAAAGGACGAGAAGGGCTGGAACTGCAGCAGTGCTGTGGGGCTGGAGTGTGCTGTAAGCCACGTGCAGGAGAGTCATTTGGAGTAGATGATGCTGCAAGGAACTTATGCTAGAAATTTCAGAGTAATTAATTTGGTTACTTAACATCTCTTAATGTAACCTGATTAGCAGGTTTGCTGGGGGCTCCGTAACTGGTGACAGATTGGACCTCATAGCCTCTGAGGTGCCCAGAGATTCTCAAAGGAAACTTTAAGGTGTGAAGAGTCGTGGTTTATGTTCAGAATCTTCATCCACACCGTCTGTAAGTCAGACTTTTTTTTCTGGTCACAAAGGAGCTTACTGGCAGAGCCAGGCTTCCTCTGAGTGTGGGAACCAGCTAATCTGCACATTGCAGCTGATCAGCCTCAGGTTTGTGAGTTGGTGTGACAGATAAGCACACGGGCAGCGTTTGGGCGTGTGTGAAATGGAGCTGAGTTTGTTTCCCTTTCCTCTTCTGCATTAAGGTGAAGGTTGACCTTCGCAGACGTTTCACGATGAATTCTAAGCGTGCCCTGCAAGGTGGCCCAGAGGTGCTGAGAACAGCATGAGGGTAAATGGGGCAGTATGGGAGCACTTGTGCTGAAGCACAGTGCCAGCACTATCTCAAAAACACTCCAGTAAACCCTGGTGAGCTGTTGTGAACTTTTGGATGGTCGTTTCTGTAATGCTGAATGCCAGCACACGTGTGCAGACAACCTCTTTCCTTTGTAATCTGCCTCTTCTTCCTGCATGATTCAGTAGAGATGCCTCAGCTTCTCGCTCTGCAGTGGATGTGGTGGTGTGAGCACTGAAGCACAGGCTGACTTGGTTCAGCAGGGAAGAGCAGTTTGACTGTAAAGAGAACTTTATTCAGAAGCATGATGTGAAGTTTATTTATAGCAGTAGGAAACAGCAAACTGATGCGTGTCTTCTTGAGGGAGATCTGGTAATTCCTGCTAACTGCACTTCTGTTTTACTGGGGGAGAGGGGATTTGAACCTCTGTGAGACTCTGATTTCTGCAGGTTTGGATTTATGTAAGCTGGGGTTTGAGCCCTTGAAGGTGAGCCCCTGGCGTTGGCCCAAATTGAGCTTCCTGAGCAAAGCTGCTGGGAGTGCTTTGTGTTGGTGGCTCATCTGCTGCACCAGTCGATCACCAGTGCTGGTGGTGCAGTTCTACTCTGGACCAGAGTCTTCTGCTTGGATAAAACCAGATAAGTAGATGAATTATAGCGGCATTGATCTTTGCCTCCTGCAGAATTAATTGTGGGAGGAATGAGACAGAAATGTGATCTCATCAACTTGTGGAAACCATTTTAGAGACCGTGATGGGAAGAGGGAGATGGGTCTTCTTCACAGGTCTCAGCTTGCAGGTCTGTGTAGTTTGGCTGATGGGTTTAACGGGAAAGAGGCTTAATTATTTCTTTAACTTATGTATTTTCTAGTATGTGAGTGGTCAGTCTGCTTCCTTCCCCTGCTGTGTGCAGAAATTGATCTCGGCCAGCTTGGCAAGAGCAAGTTTTGGAAATTGTTTCTGAAAAGGAGCTGCTGCTTTATGGTGGCTGTGTGATGGAAGAGCAGAAGGGCTCTGAAACAAACAGGACATAAAACAACCTCAGGTGATTTCCACAAAACTGCCAAGATCTTTTGCTGCTCTCTTCCTTCTGGGGAGGAAGCTGCAGAACGGAACGAGGTGACTGCAGGCAGGTGTGTTTTTGCTTTGACCTTTTCCAAGGCGATGCTGGGAGACTGCACCTATGACAGCATACTTGCAAGAGTTCTTCAGCTTCACGTATGGCAACAGGGAAGTGTTGTCCACTGAATCTGTCGCAGCCAAACCAGCAAACAGCAAACTTTTGCTCAGACATTGTACTGTATAGCAGCTGGTAGCGCCATGTTTGTTCCCATTAGAAGCAGCATTTCTGGAAGTTTTTGTGTTCTGTCTGGTAGTTCTCATTAAGCCTGTGTGCCAAGCTGTGCTGCTTGGGTCGTTCTGGATAACCCATGGCAGTAGTCTATCAGCCTTTGTGCTCTGAAACTGAGACACACTGAAAAAGACTTTTGTTAGAGCTTTGTTTTCCGACATGAAGCTGAGGCAGCGCCTTGGAGATGTGCTGTCTGCCCAGAGCTGCTGCAGCGTGGATGGATGCACGTCACCAGGTGTCTGTGTGCCTGTGCCCTGATGTGCAACAGCACTTGTTTTGTGCTCTCCTGCCTCTCGGAGGCGTTGGGTCTTCATTTATCCTCTGCTCTGCTGAGGTACGGCACCAGCTCAGCCGTTCTGAACGCTCAGCTCTTGACTTCCTTCAGCTTTCTACAGGGCTTACTCTGAGTGCTCTGACACTGGTGCTAACTCATTGATAAAACACAGTGCTTTCTACCCAAAGGAAAGCTGATATTTATTTATTTTTTTTTAGCTAGGAGCCAAAATTGGAGCCTGAATCTCAAAGAGAGCAGGCAATTGACTGGAGGCAGTGACATTCATGTGGAGTCATCCGGGAACATCCTGGAGGCTTTCCATCCCTTGCTTCAGCAGTGTTTTCCATTTTACTGATTTCATGCTGTCCCTGCTGCCAAACTGTTAATATTTAACAATTTGCCTGGAAAGCTGAAGCATTCAGAAGGTGAGGGAGCAGCTTGGCTGATTGTCTTTCCTGGTGACTGTGCAGGAAAGTACCTGTCTTCTCCTTGCTTTCCTGCTGTGGCAGGAGTGGCAAGAGCTGTTAAGCCTTGTGCTGTTCCAACCATGCCAGACAGAGGACTGAAAGCCAAGAGAGAACATGAAGAGTTTGCTGCATGCTTTGGTAAGAGGTTCTTGATTAAATCTGTGGTCTCTAGGCAGCCGAGATAGATTGGGTGCTTATGTGAGAGCTGTCTTCATACTGACTGCAGATTATCCTCTCATCTTTGTTACCAGAACGTTACCATCATTCTTTGATACCAAGAATGCAGTCTGTGGTTGTTCAGCAGTGCAGAGAGCTCGCTGTACCCTGGGGTTATGGTGCTCTTATGGTGTCTTAGCAGCCTGCCAGTGCTGGGCTTTGAGTGCTGTGCAGGGGGACAGAGGGAGAGAGAGGTGGAAATGCCATCTCTGATCTGAGGCCGTTCCTTTGTGTGATCTGACAGTGCTGAGTGCTGCATCCCTCACACGACCCTGCAGCAGAACCCCAGCCTGATCTTGAGCTGCATTTAGGCAATTTCTCTTCAGAGTTTTCCAGCCATGCCCAGGATACTGAAAGCGGATTGAAAAGGTCTAAAGAGCAAATGCCTGATAATTCTGTCAAGATGTTTGTGCTGTAAATGCTTCCTGTTGCCAATAGTGATCTGAGAATTATTCCTGTGCCCTTGGGTTTGAGGAACCCAGGGTGCACAAAATGGGAAGGCTGACGTTCTTTCAGTGCTAGCATTTGGTTCCCCATCTTCTCTCTGTTTTGTTCCAGGGCTCCTCAGGCCCACCTTCAGAATGCAAAGCCTTTGCTGGGCTGAGGATGCCGTGAGTGGGAGCTGCCGCACATCCTAATTGCTCTGGGAATTTCTTCTTAGTTCAGTCACTCCCTGCTGCCACTCGGGTCTGGCAAGAAGCAATTTGTGTGATCACAGCAGCCTCACTGAATGCCTTCTGCATATTGGAAAAGATGCTTCATTTGCACGGTCAGAGCAGCCTAATGTGAACTTGAACTTCTTTCCTCCTCAGTATTTTAGTTTTTTTGGCTTGCCATTGGGTGATTCATCCTTGCCGCTCTGTTGGCATTCTTTTTATAAACAAGTGGCTTAAATTAAGGTTTAGAAAATAGTTGTGTGAGACCATATTGGAGTCTGATAGCATTTCTCGATCCTGGGAACTGCTGTCTTAAGCCAAAGTCTTGCACAGACACCCTGTGTGTCATCTTAAAGGAAAATATCCCCTGAAGGCACGCACAGCCTTAGAAGTCAAGGTCCTGAAGAGAAGAACTTTGGTTTCCATGGCTTTCCACCCTCTCTGCTCTTTATTCTCTGACCTCAAAGCCCGAAGTGCTCAGGAGCCTGAAACCTGTATACAGTAATTCTGTTGCAAAGGCCTTGCAGTGCTTCGTTCTGCCTGTGCTAGCTTTTGTCACTGCTGGTAGGAGCTGTTAACTGTCCCAACAAAGCACTCGATGCAGAAGGTTTTAATTTATACTCTGGTATCTGATGTCCCCAGGCTGGTGTGCATGTTAAGCTGCCGTGTGTGCCCTGGGCCTTATCTTAAAAGCAGAGGAACATCTGTTTCCCTTTGCTTAACTTGATTCAGCTTGTTCCTTATGTCTATCCAGCATAGCATTTCCCTGCTCACAGAACCTCCTCTGCTGGCTGCACGTGTCATAGAGCTACGCTGAGAATTGGAGATCTGTGCAGAGGGGCTGAGCAGCATTGCAAAGCAGTTCTGAAACGAGCTGTGCTGCAACTCGTTCCTTTCCTCCTGCAGCTGGAGGTGCACGTGGCTGCAGAGGAAGCTCAGGTACCCTCTGGGATCTGCACTGTGCCTGGGCAGGAGGAAGGGAGGAAGGCTGTGGGAGCAGTGGTGGCGCAGCCATTCACAGCAGTGCTGTAGGGATGCATTCATGCTGTTTGATCTCTGCTCGGTGTAGTGGTGCTCATAAACCAGCCCTCTCCTTGCCACCAGCCCTTGCAGTTCCCTGTCAGTCTTGTTAAAATGGGGGAATTAACCTACTCTTAAAAAAGGTATTAATTTTTAGAAGCACTGCAGTGCACGGAGCTGTAGTGATTTAAGAGAAATCAATGTAGCAGTTATTAAATTATATGAAGGATTTGGTTCTGACTGGTATGAAGAATTTCCTGGAACAAGAAACAACCTGAAATTTCCTATTGCTGTCCTGTACTTACATCTACAGGGAACACAGATAGCAAAATCAATTAAGGACAATTAATGGCTCTGAGGCACTTGGAACATGCTGTTTAACAGCCCACATCTTTATTTTTTGCACTGCAGGGGCAAGTTTTTGGCCTGACTTAATGACACCTTCCAAACCCTTTTGGTGAGGTGCTGCACATCCAAGGCTTCGTGGAGCAAAGTGTGATCGCAGCAGCGCGTCCCACCTGACTGCAGTCACTGCAGATCTCCTGCTTTGTGGCCACCTTCCCCATCACTGCCTGTGTGTGTGCCCACCTTGCTTGCTCAGTGCCTCCTCCCCTCCAGCCTTGTTGGTTTTCATCTGTTTTGTTGGCTTCGAATGCTGTGTCCCCTCCTCAATAGGAGAGGAAGCATGGAAGCAGCTGGACTGCCTGCTGAAGTTCTTGCAAGTGCTCTTCTCTGCTTCCTCCCCTTCATAAAGCTAGCAAAAATGGGGAAAGCACTGGTCTGAAATGTGGATTGCTCTCCAAAAAATAAAAAAAAAAAAAAGCTGGTCATATAATTTAATAGCAAACCACTGAGAGATGTATTAAAATAGATGCTTTAATTCAAAGCAGAGTTGGGCTCAGTCAGTGTGATGGCGTTGCCCTGCCTGCAGTTCTGCTGGTGGTGACAGCCCTCCATGGCAGTGCTGTGCTTCCATCCCAGGGGCTGTCAAACACCCCTCGCCTCTGCTGCTTGTCCCAAGCGTTGGTGCTCCAACCACAGCCATCACTGGGAGTGTACAGGAACACAGGAGCACTCTTTTCTTTCCCTATCTCGTGTTGTTATGAATCCCTGAATTGCTGCAGCTCACTGCCTGCATGTAGTGCCTTCCAGCTGCACAAAATGTACCCCAACTCTTACAGAGGGCGATGAGCTGTCAGGTCCCCTCCTGCACGGCTGTATTGGTCTGTATCATTTGTGCTTCTGCAAAGTCCAGAGAGCATGTGCTGGCAACCATCAGCACAGTCAGGCTGCTGTCCTGTAGATCCGTGATTCAAAGGCTGTGGATGAAGATTTACCTGTGAAGATCACCTGCCAGAGCAGCTAAGGGGGTTTTACATTTCAAGTTTTGGTGGAAGATGAGACGAATCGCTGCTGTGAACACTGGAGTTACTCTGCTTTCCTTTCCCCATTTGTCAGCCCTCTGTTCATGAATTAATTGTGGAGAACGGAAATGCTGTGGCAAACCTCCTCCCTTAGGATGGGATCTTAAAATATCAGGTGGTGGTTTTCCAGTTGGTTACCTTATCTTCTGTGATTATAGCACTGCGGTATTGCAAAATCAATTCAGCACTCCTGCTATCTGAGGTGATGTCGTGTGTCTTCTTTCCTTTTGGTGTTCCAGCTTTCTTGCCTGTATTTTGCCCCATTTGTCAGCTAAGAGAAAAGGAAGAGGAAATAAACCACCTGCTTTTTAAAGGCTGTGTAAATAGCCAGACCTTGGTAGTCTTAGGTAAGAGCTGCTGGTTTAATCAGTTGCCCAGCAGGCCGGTCAGCAGCGAGTCACTAATTAAAACATTTCAGAAATACATTTGGTCTCTTTACTTCAAATGTATCATTAAAGCCCCTATCCCAACTCCAGGGCTGCTACTGGCTAATTAAAACCAATCACATTCAGATAAAAGCAGCTGTAGAAACCTGCTGCCTTTCTCCACCTGGGGCCAACTGCCCACAGAAACCAAAGGCTTTGCTTTCACTGCGGCTCCTGCAGTGTGCGCCCTGATGGCAGTGCTCTGAGTCCTGCTGCAGCACCAGAAACGTGGGCTCCTTGTGTGCAGGGGCTGCTTTTCTTTCCCTTTCTGCTTAATGCAAACCTGGAGCAGGTATTCTGCCACTGGGCCCTGGGTTCCGTGCACACAAGGCGAGGTTGCAGCCCTTGGGTGGTTTTGCAGCCCTGGGATGCAGTGTCTCTTGCTGCTCTGGGGGCAGCACTTCCTCCTCTGATGGCACAAAGCACAGTCAACCCCCACCATGCTTCCCTGGAGCTCAGCTGTGCAGCCCCGTGCCGTCAGCTCAGAAGCTGTTCCCATCTCTTGCAGGGCTGCCAAAGGCTTCTCTACCACTGCCTGCTCCAAGTCTGTGGTACAGAGAAATGCCTCCTGTGTGGGATTTCCCAGCAGCTCTGGGCACGAGGCCCCAGCACCCCATGTCACAGCTCACTCAGGGCAGCCCAGGAGGCTGGAGCCATGCGGGCTGGGGCCACCTGTGCCGAAGCCAGGCAGAAAAGTTCTGCTTTTTCTTTAGTCTGTTGCTTTGTTTCATTTTGCAGGGGCGTACTCTGCCCAATTCACTCCTTTGCCCTCTGCCTGCTTTGGGACAGCCTCCCCTTAAACTCACCATGGCTGAGTCCCTTTCAGATGCCCCTTCCTATGTCTTCTTAACTTCCTCACCAGAAACGCTGCTTTATTCTGTTATAAAAAATAAAGTTAACAGGGGAAGCCTTCAGAAGAAAGAAAAAGAAGCCCAGTGTTCCTGGATGCAGAAAAAGAACAATGAGTTAGAACAGAAAGGCTGCTCCTTTTTATGTTTAATTGCAATGCGTGGGGTGGGGCAGATCTTGGAGACAAAAGAAAGCGTGTGGCTCTTCAAAAGTAAGAAGAAAAGGAGTCCTGCTGGTTACCTTTGGGGTCTGGTTGCATCACCTGAGCCCCCCAGCACTGGGGGGGTGGTGGGCAGGAGCCCCAGCCCTGGGCCGGGTCCCCGCAGCCGTGCGGCGCAGCTTTGTTTACAGCCTATCTGTGGTTGAATTACACCACATACAGTAATTCTCCTCGCACTGCCAGTAATTTCACTGACTTACCAAGCAGGCATCATTTCCTGAAAGTCAGCCCTCGTACTTAGAGGAAGTAAGAGCACTCTCCTTCATGACTAAACACTATATGCAAATCTCGCCGGGCTCAGGACAGGCGCGCTGCATGGCTGTCCTTTTTTGCTCCATTTTCACTCCTTTCTTCTGCATGTCCAAAAAAAGCCTTGGTCAGCTCTCTTGCTGCTGTTGCTGTCATGAATGAAGATCTTTCTCCGGTATATATTGAGAAGTTCACCTTCCTGCCTGGTCTGCATCCTGCTCTGCTCTCAGCAAACTGAATGCTGCTTTAAAATGTCCCAAATGCAGTTCTGGCTGAAGTTCCCGTCTCTCTTCAAGGTAACGCTTGGTTTTTATATTCTTTTCTCTTCCTTGGAGTTGCTGTTGTTTGTGAGGGGGGAACTTCAGCCTTTCCTCTGGGCTCGGGTGCTCCTGTCTGTGCTGCAGAGGGGGGGCTTCAGGGCAGCAGGAAAGCAAAGTGCTGCAGGCAGTTGCCACTGCAGATGGCTTTGTGCAGCGCAGACCCTGCTGCCATCGCTGTGAGCGTGGTGAGCAAAGCAGGGAGGAAAAGGAGCTGTGCACAGAACTGATCTGTGTTTGTGGAGCTGTAACGGCTTTCAGGGGGGTTTGATTTTTAAACCAGAAACGCGAGGGAAGTGCTTGCAAAGCAGAGCACAGAACCCTTGAGACTGCAAGTTTATTGCTCTGTTTTTAGAAAGACTTTGGGTTTTGGCAGTGAAAAGATTTCCTTTGAGCGATCGATGGTTTGCATTGCAGCTGTTAGTTTCCTTATTCCAGCTTACCTGAAACAGCCCCGGCGTTGTGACTGCTGGGAAAACACACCTCCCTCACCTGGCAGCACCACACTGTTCATGTATGCACATCTGCCTGTGCTTATGTGGGGCTTTTCTGAAGTCCCTACAGCGTGCTGTGCCAAAAGGATGTTTGTTTCCTCTGCGTCTGGATTGCGAGCAAATAAATCATTTCTGTACCGACATCTCTTATTTTTAGGACACATTGCTTCTGGGTTTAGGCTTCACCTGCTCTTGCAGTATTTTTAACAAAGGCTTTGCTTTGGTCGAAGGAGCTGTGAGTGAGGAGAAAGAGGTCGATGTCTGCGTTGCTTTCTTACCCTGCTTTCCTCTGGTCTTTCGTGGCAGTTTGTTCTTGGCTTTTCCCAGCCCTGGGGTGGGATGATGATGGAAATGTTGTGTGCCAGACTGGATCCCTTTGTGCTCAGTTTCAAAGTCCTGCACGTGAGTGCTATCATTGATTTATCAAACTGCTCACTGGAGCATCTTCTGATACAGACATCAGACAGTGATTTCAGTTCATCTGTCTCCCATGCTGGTACATTGATGTTGTTTGATCTCCAGTGTGAAAAAAGCTGCCAAGACCGATGCCCAGCAGCTGTACCTCTGCGTTGGCCGCTCTTAAACCCTTACAGAACTCCCCATTGAGGGCTCAGCCCGCTGTCAGGGAATCGTCCTTTCCCTGTTTTATGATGTGCCCCCTTTTGCTCCATCCCTGACACAAGCAGTTCCTTCTGAACTGTTTCCACAAGTGCAGATGTCAGAGCTTCCATGTCCATCCCCCTCTAACTACTGTAAGATCCTATTTTCAACGAGAGCAGCACAAAGTTCTCACTGATCAGTGTTAAACAGAGACAAAATAACTCCCTCAAAATGCAGTAATCTGTCCTCTGTGGGCTCTTGGGTTCTCCCCATAACATCCTCCTTTGGTTTTTGGTGCTGGTGGCACTATCCCAATTGGTGCTGTTCCATCTGCTGTTGGATCAGAGCATGTTTCTTCCTCTGCTTCAGGGCCCAGAGGTTTAGGTAACTCCTCCATATAAACTAGTGGAGTAACTAGTCAAAGCATGGCTGATAATGATGCACATTGTAGTTATCAGTACGGCTTTAAGTTAAATAATTACAGAGCATTCTGTGTTTACGTGGTGCTGTTTCTTGGGGCTGTGCTATAAGCAGCACGCTGTGTCTGTGCTCTCTGGATAGCACAGCTAGGTAAGGCAGACCAGGGGACTTTGTGTCTAATGCCTTGGAATGCCATGAGAGGATGGACCAGCTCCTTCCAGAGCTGATACTGTTGATTCCCCCTCTGATTTGAGGGCTGATCTCCTTATTTCAGGGTGCAGCAGCCGTGGGGCTCACGCTGGGCAGGCAGTGAGCTGGCTGGGCTTCTGCACACCTTTTAATGCTCCAGCTGGGCACCTTCCTCTTTTCAAGACCCTAAGAGGCAGCGAAGTTAATGGAAAAAAGTAAATCTCAGTGTCACAGTCTGAATCTTACTCACATGATTTGCTCTCGGTGAGAGGCTGAAGGTTGCTTGGGAGGCAGCTGTGGCTTCAGAGCTGTCTTCTCCAGGGCCAAGCAGGACATGGGTGGCAAGATGGGGAAGGGCACGTCCTGTTGGTTGTAAGTGCTGCAAAAAGGCAACTCCTGATAGCAGTCGGGAGGGAGCCTGGCCCAGCTGTTGGCCAGGAGCCCATAGGAATAATACAGGCAGGCTCAGCTGTTCCTGGTTTTGTCAGGCGGGGCGAAGTGACTTTTAAAATTGTTGGCTGCCTTTCTGCTTTGTAGTACGGAATTGGCCTTTAACTGGAAATAAGCAGTGATTTCTCCTCCTGTCTGATGCTGCGGCTCTCCTGGCAGCCGTGCTGCAGTATCATCACACTGATTTTGTTATCTGACGTAGCACAGAGCTTGAGCCAGCCGTGTGCTGGCAGTCCCAACCTCTGGGAAGAGCTGCAGGGCTGATGTGTGTCGGCTGAACATGGTGGGGTGGGAGGAAGGACCTGTGGGTCTGTCTGTGTGTCGCTCTGGGGTGCAGCCACATCCCCAGCGAGGGACTTTGTGCTCTGATGTGGCTTCAAAGTGCATCGCTCTTCATTGAGCTGCAGACAAATCTTTCTGCCAGCTGAAGTAGCATCTCACAGAGTCACTGAATCACATAGGTTGGAAGGGACCTTAAAGATCATCTAGTTCAACCCCCTGCCATGGCAGGGTTACTATCCACTAGGTCAGGCTGCTCAGGATCCCAACCAGATCTGCCTCCAGAGATGGGGCATCCACAGCTTCTACAACCATCCAACCAACTCCTCATCCACCATATAGTCCACCCCTCAAATCCATATCTCTGCACTTTAGAGATAAGGATGTGGTGGGGGACCGTGTCTGAGCCCTTGCCCAGGTCCAGGTAGATGACATCAGGTGCCTTTCCTTTGCCCACCGATGCTGTCACTCCATCACAGAAAGCCACCAGATGCATCAGGCATGGCCTTCCCTTGCTAAAGCCTTGCTGCTTGGCTCAAATCACCTCCACATTTTGCACGTGCCTTAATGCGTCCTCCAAGAGGATCTGTTCCATGATCTTCCCAGGCACAGAGGTGAGGCTCACTGGAGTTCCCTGGGTCCTCCTTCCTCCCTTTCTTGAATATGTTTCCCTTTTTCCAGTCACCAGGGCTTTGCCTGACAGCCACGAGCGAGGAGAGCTGGGTTGGTGCAGTGAGGTCAGGAGAGGTGCAGTGATCTGCACCAGGGTTGCAAACAGGTTTTTGCCTATCAGTTCTTGTCATTTGGCATTTGAAAAATCAAACATGGAATTAATGATTGGGCGCTTTGTGATCTGGAGGCCGCATGACTCAAACTGACATCATCACTGGGTCAGCACAGAATAAAACAAGTGTAAGCCGTCATGGTGCTAGCACCAGAAAATGGGCAAGGGCAGAGCCTGATCCTCATCACTGAAGCACGTTCACTTCTTGCCCAGGTCGAGGCATGTCCCAGGAAGAGTGGATTTGCTGCAGTTTATCTGGGTACAGATGCAGGTGTCCCCACTCCACGCAGCCTGCTTTGCACACATCAGTGGCTGTCATTTTATCCCAAGCCTCTGGCTGCTGTTGTGTTATGAGTTGCAATTAAACAGCTCTGTCATTATGGGCTCTGGCTGGTTCTCTGTTGGATGATTGGAACGCTTGAGTCTTTCTTGTGTCAAACTGAAACGTTTTCACCCCCCAGGGGCCATTCTAATCAAACCCAGAAGTGCGGTGTCTGACGCCTTGGTGAATGCTCTGTATGTGCAGGTGTGCACAGACTGAGTTTTGAACATTTACCAACGCTGCTGCCCAAATCAGTGCTTCCTACTCCATCGAGAAACCACGATTTTAAACCAGTGGCTAAGAGCACGTCTTCATTGACAAGTTAATTTCTGAGTTTGTGGAGTGCAAAGCAACTGAGTGCCTGGTTAACAGCAAAAAATTAAAGCTTCCTGGCCGAGCAGATGTGAGAAGGGAGCTCTCTGCTCCTCTCCCTCCTGCTCTAACTGTGGTCGTTTCTTTCATTTCAGGACTCTTCATACCTCGATGAGCTCTCCAACAATAACTCTCTCTTCTCATCTCCTGCGGATTCCCTCTCTGACATCGTGGATGCAAAGGACTGCTTGCCTGCTGACAGCCTGAACCACGTGCCAACCATATGGGATGTAAACACGTCACAGCAGAACCAAACAGAGGTACGGGTGCTCCTCTCCCATCCTCCCCATCAGACACTGAATATCTCAGCCATGGTGTTTGCCCCACGGAATTAGGAAACACAACTCCCTGCAGGGCTGAAGTTGCAGTGTGTTGATGTTGATGCCAGGAGGTGTATCCCTGAAACGCTCAGCATGAGCAGGGTGGCCTGCAGCAGGAGCTCAGGAGCACTGAAGAGACGGACTTGAGGAAAAACATGACGTAGATCATTAACTGTCCCCAGCAACATCCACCGTATGTTTATTTTCCATGGCAAATGTTTTACTAATGATGACTAAAACCCAAACTGTTTCAATTTAAGACTGATCGTTGGTGTTTGCTTTGTGAGTCCAAATCCCTGTAAACTTTCACATGCCTGAGTTTTCCTGGGCATGTGATTTCTTGGCAGTCTGAGAGCAACATGCAGTCCTGTGCGTTTTCACCAGCTTTCTGCTGTCTGTTTTCCCTCATCTGCTCGCTCACTGTTGCACAACCTGACATCAGTCCCTTCTAGCAGCCTCCAGCTGTGGTTGTTGGTGGAACTGATACCATGCACATCTGCTATCTCAGCTGTCATGGTGAATATCCAGCCCTGCAGCAGGTTCCTTTTGTGGATCGTTGTCTCACAGAGATGGTAGAGGCAAAAAATGAAAGTGAATGCTCCAGAATGCAGTCTAACACACTTGTGCTTTAGTCACTGTTGCATTTTGAGATTCAGTTGTGTTTTTAGAGGCTGCATTTTGCTGTTAGTAATGTGTCAGACTCTGTATTTCCATGATGAAAGCTGCCTGTGTGTCAGAGCCTGGCAGTAAGAGACTTGGCAGCAGTTCTGCTCTGAACTGATCCCAGCGTGTCTCAGTGACTGGTTGAGCGCTGAAGAAGTGTGGGTTGGTGGTGAGGTTCTGGCCTGAGGTTTGGGAAATCAAAGCTCCTATCTGCCTTAGACTTTGTGAGATCTTAGGTGAGCCATGACAAGGCAGATCTTCACATCAGATGCCTGAGCCCTTGCTGAACCTGATGAGATCTGATGACCTCTGTAGACCTTTGCAGCATCCTCTTGACCCTCAGGGTGCCTGCAGTTGGTGGCAGGCAGTAACCCTGCCTTCCTTCCTGTCATAAACGTGCTGAAGACCAACGGTGCATGGCTGTGCAGGCAGCCAACGTGTGGTCTGGTAGCTTTGAACCAGGCTGAACGTGGAGATGGTCAGGAGGAGGAGGGCTGAGCTGTTTGAACCAAGGAAATGGCCAAGGAGTCCCTGGTCCCATTGCGTGCTGCTCTCCACATCCTCCTTGAAGCCCTCCTGGTGCCCCTTGCTGTCCTTCAGAGCACTGGCATCCAGTTAAGGCCAATTAACTCCTTTGAATTCCATTTATAAACGACTTCCTTTTGAAAAGAACCTCTGGCTATTTTAAACACTGTGTTATCTGTGTTCTCTGCATACAGAGGTGGTGGTTTGTGTTTTGTTTTTGGCCTGTTTTTGCTAAGCCTGATATTTCCTGACAAGATGTAAGTGAAGTGCAGCCCAGTCGGGAGATTTCAGTTTCATTTTTCCATGGGAGGTGTTAACTTGCAGGATGCTGGATAAATGTTTTCTTGGATTGACTGATGATGGGCAGCTGATTTATTGCCTTTTTCTAATACTCTTTTGGTTTGGTTGGAGGTGAGCTGAGCAAATGGTTGGTTGCAAAATCCTGAGTCAGTGCTTAAGTGAGAGGCTCCTTTCTGTAACACTCAGTGCAAGACTGCTTGGCTGACATCTTGCACCAGTATATACAAGCTGTTTAAACTATCCTTCCCTATCTGTCCTTACATCATCCTGCCACCATAACATTCCATGAAATTGCAGGGATTTTGGCTTTTGCATACCCAGAGTTAAGCTGCAGTGCAGAACTGAGCATCGGTCGGGCTACACAGTTCAAACTTGGGTGGATGTGGCCCCAATGCATTGGGATGCAGTGCACCTGATCAGCTGTAGCTGTGTGGTCAGCTCCCTGCCCAGGGACGAGGAGCAGCCCTGCACTCTGCTGTCAGCGTGGCAGTTTGTTTCCTGAGACAGCACTTCAGTCCCAGATTTGTGCTGAGCAGGAGGAGCAACCCCCAAAGAGCTCTGGTGATGGGGACATGGCAAATGGGAAGCATCCCGGAAAGTGAGAGCCCCAAAGAGCTCTGTGTGGGTGCAGGTTGCTCTCTTTAAAAAACCAAACCTCTGTGTGCCATGCAGGGAGAACTGCTGCCATAAAGAAGAGACGTGTCCACGTGTTGGCTTTGTGCATCGTTTCTGAAGCGGGCATGGAGGGAAGAGCTGCTCCATACTTAAATATTTGCAGGGGTTAGCATGCAAAATGCATACAAAACTTGCTTAATTTACAATGAAGTTGTGAAGTACCTTTAAAAAATAGTTTGTGTCATCCGCTGTGCTTTCTCATGAGAACTCAGAGCCCTTTGTAAGAGTGAGGAAGCAAAGAGCTCCTGAGAGATCACTGCTGGAACTTTGGTGACATGCTGCTGCCCTTTTCCTCCATTGAATTCATTCAAAGCACTTCCAAAAAGGGAACCCCCCCCCCCTCCCAGCTCAGAGGAGGTCGTAGTTATGCTGAAGGAGGTTGGCTGGTCAGCCAGAAGTGACTGCTGCTTCCCCACAGAAGTCACGGCAAGATGAGGCATAAAGGGTGAATGCAAAGAGGGAAGAAGTGGAGTCAGATCCAAATCTCTGTGCAGTTGTCGGTGGCTTTGCTGAATGCATGCATGATGTGTGTGCCTCTTAATGCTTCCAGAGAAAGGAGAAGATCAAACAGAGAGGAGAGCAGGAATAGAGAAAGGAACTGAGCTCAGCCTGGAGCAGGATGATGTGCCGCCCAGCAGAGCTCCTGGTCCCACCTGGCTTGGTGCTCACAGCTCGCTCTCAGCTCTGGGGTTACTCCTCGGTGCTCTGAAGCACTGGGGGTTCTGTCCCTTCCTTTGTGATAGCCGAGGTGAAAAGCTGCGTGCCAGGGCTGCACTGCTGCATTTGGATGGTAGGGATTTAAGTTTTGAAGATAAGACACTGCAAAACCAGAGCTCCGTTCCCTTCCCACAGAGCTGTGTGCCCCTGCACTGCAGCGGGATCAGAGCTTTTTTCTTGCCTAAGAAGCAGCTTTTGTACTGAGCTCAGATTTGTAGGTGGAGATGTTTCACCTGCTCTCCAGATTTGTTGGCACTGAAAATAGCTCTTCCGTCCAGCTTCCTTCTGGTAATTCTGACTCAGGCTTCCAGTAATGGAGGGTGGTTTTTTCTTTCTTTTTTTTTTTTTTCTCTTTCTTTTTAATGTAGGGGGAAAAAAAAAAGAAAAAAAAAAAAGGAAATAATAAGAGTGTTTATGCTGAAGAACTTCCATATTTCACTTCTGCCTGTGGAGCAGGGTCTCTGAGGCTGGCGCTCCCAACAGCCTATAGACTTGAAGCAGTGCCACTGCTGGAGCTGCTGATTACTTTGGATGCCACGAGCTGCTGCCTTGACCTTGCTCACTGTCGGGAAATTCCAGTGGGATTTTGTTTGTCAGGGCAGACAAAGGCTCTCCTCAGTTGTGCCTCCCAGCTCCCAGGGCACGGCATGGGCCAGGCAGGCTGGAGCAGCCATTGCCTGGTGCAGCAGCTGGCACCCAGCACCACCAGGGCCTGGCAGATCTCTGGGTGCTCTGGGCTCCTGGGCTCGGCTGCTGGCAGTGCTGGGTGGGCCTGAGGTAAAGGCATGCAGGCACTGCCTGTCTGGGCAGCCGATAGCAGTCCTGAACCACAGACAGGTATTAGTCAGTGCTGAGCCATGTTTGCATTCTGGTGCAATTTAATTTCCTTGAACGGTGTTTTAAATGCTGAAAGCGAGATTGCAGGATCGTTCAGTAAAGGCAAGCCTCAAGGGAAGTTTGTGAGAGGATCGTAAAAGGTCACAGTCTGTAATGCTCAGTCCTTTCCCAGGGATGGCTTTGCTTGCAGCTTTCCTAGTTCTCCCACTTGGGTCTCTTCTCCTGTACCAGGCTTTCTGCTTCTCAGAGCAGTGCCTTTCTCTCTTCTACCAGCAAGCCCAACCCTGAGCTCTCGCTTAGACTCAATAATTCAGAATAAAACCTGTGAACTGTCAGCGAGAATCTGCACAGCTCCTGCTATCCAGGCAAAACAGAGTGTTTGGGGATGACCTGTCTTAACATTGTGTGGTTATTACTTGGCAGAAAGACTCCTGCCCTGCAGTTGTGTTTGTGCTGTGGGAGGACACGTGTCCCTGCAGCTTCCATCAGACGTGGGGATGCACACACTTGTTGCAGGAATGCATTTCCCCGGGTCAGTTATTCCCTGTGTTTGCGTTGAGGAAGGCATGTATGGCATTGGCAGGATTTATTAGTTTTCAGAATTACTCCCCAGGGCTTGACGTGGAGGAGCAGAAAGTATTAAAGCCCACTGACGCCATCAGAGCATAAGGTCTGAGTACAAAGCACAAATGCCTTCACAGTTGTGTTTCCATCCTTTAATTTGCTGGAGCTGAGGTTGGAGGGCGGAGGATTACAGCTGCTTTCTGACCTGCCTCCTTTCTGTTGCAGCTGTTCTCAGCCAGCAGATCATTCAGTGGCTTAAACAGTTCGGACGACCGCATTCCTGCTGTCCCCAACACCCCCCTCCTCATAAGCTACCAGGTGAGAATGACATCTGCTCCAGCAGAGCCCAGCGTGAGGCTCTCAGCTTCATAACGTCACAACGCAGAGAAGAACAATTTTGGCTGTTGTCCCCTCAGAGGGAATGAGGCAAGAAAGTCAGCCAGGTCACCACGTGCATTTCAGGTCACTGCCCTTTCCCAGAAGTGTCTTACATTTCCTGTGGTGGAACCTTGCTCTGCTAGAGAATTCTCCATGCTTTCCTTGCAGCTAAATCAGCACAGTCAGTAGAGGCTGTTCTTCCAGGAATCGCGTGACTTTGCTTTATGCTGCTGAGTTCCTGCTGAGTTGAGAGCTTGTCTGGGTCCTTCTTCAGGGTCAGATTAGAGCGCAGTTGGGCACAATTGATTGTAGCCCACAGCTTGCCTGAAATTCCCTAGTTCATGATGGACTGCATGTTGAAAGTAGATCTTAAAGCACTTGCTGGGCCCCTGGGATGGTCTCTCACAGGGTGGTTTTCCTTGTGTTGCTGTAAGTCTGTAAATGAGATTAATTGTGTTGGGTTGGAATAAATAATAGTTGTCTGGTGCCACGTCCATACTGCAGTGAGAATGTTAACATTCGATCGATGCTGTGTTTCTTTTCAGTCTCAAGTTCCTGCAGAAGAGGAGGATGAAGGTGATGAGGAAGAAACAGAAGAGTTGGGGCAAACAGAAACCTATGCAGAATATGTACCTTCAAAATGTGAGTGTCCTGCTATCACGTGTGTATGAGAAATGCTCTTAACTGCACTGTGGACCAACCAAGCTCACTGCTCCCTTATCTTTGTGCAGGCAGGATGTGGTGTTTGCCAAGTTTGTGACTTTGTGGGATAACTCTACTGATCCTTTGTTGGTGCTACACTGATTTCACAGGACACTTTTGTTGTCTGCTTTTAGGGGAAGCTTGGCTTGTTTTTGGCAGTCTGAAATGTCAGTGAAATGAAAGAGAGTAAAGAGCAGGCACTGAGCTTGTCTCTTGTGTAGTCTGAGGCTACGGAGCAGATGAGGAAGTCTGCAGTCCTTCGTGAGGTGCTCCATGGGGATGGAGAAGTTACGTTCTGTCTCTTATGTGTCTGTGTGTGTCATTTAGCCAAGATTGGGAAGCACCACCCTGACCTCGTGGTTGAAACGAGCACCCTGTCCAGCGTTCCCCCACCCAACATCACCTACAGCCTTTCTCTGCCAAGCTCCGTTGCTGACAAAGGGTCACTCTCTGCACTACAGCTGGAAGCAATCATTTATGCCTGCCAGGTATGGGAGTGAAACCGATAAGATGGAGAGTTGTAAGGGTGGGTGGGAAAGCTTTAAAAAAAAATAAAAATAGTTGTGGAGATATATAAGTGATGTGAGCACTTGTAATAAAGGACTTGGATCGTTCACATCTGAGTCCATGCATCAGATGTTGCAAATGCTGCCCAATGTGGGGCAGATCTTTGGCTGGAACTCAAGAACAAAAGGAAAGTTTATGGTCTCTGGAAGAGTGGGCAAGCTACTTATGATGATTACAAGTATGTAGTGAAGCTGTGCAGGGAGAGACATTGTGGTGCTGGAGCAGGCCCAAAGAAGGGCAACAGGGTTTGTGAAGGGCTTGGAGAATATGTCCTACGAGGAGAGACTGAAGGGACTGGAGCTGTTTAGTCGGGGGAAGAGGTGGCTGAGGGGAGACCTTATTGCTCTCTTCCAATATCTGAAAGGTGCTCACAGTGAGAGTCGGGTTGCTCCCTTCTCACTGGTGACAGGATGAGGGGAAATGGCCTTAAGTTGCTCCAGGGTAAGTTTAGGTTGGATATCAGGAAACACTTCTTTACAGAAAGGGTTGTTAAGCACTGGAATGGGCTCCCCAGGGTGTGGTTGAGACACCATTCCTGGGTGTGTGCTTTGGATGTGATGCTCAGGGACATGATTTAGCAGAGGGTGGTTAGAGTTAGGGTAATATGGTTAAGTTGTGGTTGGACTTGATGATCTTTAAGGTCTTTTCCAGCCTGAGCAATCCTATGATTTTATTTATGACTCCACAGGAGGAGTTGCAGGAGGGTGTGCTTAAAGTTTCTGGGGCCTGGGGGCTTTTTCTACAAACTGCCTTGTGAGCTCAACCACAGTACTCTGCCATTCCTGGCATTGCTTATCTGAGCAGGAAATGCATATCTATGAGATACATGAAAGGGTTAAGTGGGGCTCTTAAAAGATCACATGAAAACAGTTTGATTTCCAATTCTGCTCTCGATTTTGCAGCAACATGAAGTTTTATTACCCAATGGGCAGCGAGCTGGCTTCCTCATTGGGGACGGCGCCGGAGTTGGAAAGGGCAGGACAGTTGCAGGCATCATCTTTGAAAATTATCTTAAAGGGAGGAAAAAAGCTCTTTGGTAAGTTGGGGTTTTTTTCCCCTCTTTTCCCGTAAGACCTCGGAGTTGGTGTGAATCTGGGAGTAAGGAATTCCTTCATGCTGATGTTGGCTTGCTAGTTGACTCATGCTGTGGCCTTGGGTAAAGTCTTTTCCACCTCTTTGTGCCTGTTTGCTCTCTGTGAGATGGGAATATTTCCCCTGCAGCGGTGATGGAGAATGAATCACTGTGAAACAGCAAATTGTGTACTCCTCAGAGTGCAGTGTGAAGCCTCTTCCTACTCTTCTGAAGTCGGTGGAGGGATATTCGTGGACTTCCCAGGTGCAGACTCGAGCCCCTAGAGTATGGGGCTTTACTGCAGAATAGACTGAGCTTGTCATAAGTGCCAGACCAGAGTCTGCTGTAGGATCTTACGTTGAGGTGTGTGGGCAGTGGGAAATGTGACAGTTTTGTACACCTACAATTGCTTTAGTCAGAGCTGTTAATCACTGTGCTTGCCCCGACTCTCCTTAGCAGATAACCAGGCCCACGTCTTGCTTTGCAGGTTCAGCGTTTCCAATGATCTCAAGTACGATGCTGAGAGAGACCTGAAGGACATTGAAGCCTCCCACATTCCTGTGCATGCTTTGAATAAGGTAGAGGAGAGAAGCAATGCTGTTCTAGAAAATCAACCTACGGTAGCAGTTAGATGGATCTGCTGCAGAGTGCAGAGCAGCACAGGCAATAGCAGACAGCGAGCTGCTTGCTGTTTCCTTCTCTCAGCATGTTCTTCCCACTCTGGACTCTTCTATTTTTATACACTCTCCAGAGCTGCTCTGTGAGTACAGAGCTGTTTCCTGCAGGGAGCACAATATGTCTCCATCCAAGTGCAAAGTTCTGCAGGGCTCAAATGCTCTTCCCCATTTCTGAAGAGTCCTACTGAGGGAACAGCCCCCGTCGGAGGTGGCTGTGCTGTGCCCACATGCTAGTTTTTACTAGCTCTGGCTTCAGGCACCCTGTTTTCACAACATGCAAATAAAGGGAGAGCATACAAACGGGCAGATCAGTGCCTGCCAGCGGACTGCAGCACAGTGCTGTGCACACAGGCATTTCCTCTGAGCTGGGTGAAGCAGAGACTTTTCAAACTTCCTTCCAGTCATCAGTGGTGAGGATGAATTATTTTTCAGAAGAAATGACCGGCAGCTGCGTGGTGGTTGGTTGCTCATGGAGCTCTGCTCAGCCTGTCTTTCAGTCTCTTGTCCAGGCCTGTGTTTGCCACGCTGCTGGCCAGCCTGCTGAAGCACTCTCCTCTGGTTTTAAACAGCACTGAACAACCAGCTCTTACAAAGTCAATGGAAACCACATGTGTTTGACACCTCTGAATGCAGTCCACGAGGAGACTGAAAGAGATATTTGTATTCAGATGGAAAGGCTTTAAATACGACGCTCTTCACATCAGGACCCCGTTTTGTTTTGTTTTCCCTTATACGTTTTATTTTGTTATAGGTAGGATCCATGGCAGTGAGGCAGTGGTTTCACTTGGCCAAAGAGAAAATTATTTTCTGGAAGTAATTAAAATAGATAGGAGGGATTCAGAATAATTAAACATTCCAAACTGTTGCTTAAAAAAGGAAGCAAATTCAGTTGGCCAGAAAATGGAAGGCCTGGTGCGGTCTCCACATTTCTCTACATGCATCCAGATGTGCTGACACATTGGCAAAGGAACCTAGCCAGGCATTTAAGACCCCTGTCATCACCGTATGTCAGTGCCAAGGAGAAGTGCTAAAGATGTCAGCTGCTAGTGGCCTTTTGTCTGCTCTACTCTCATACTGGGTTTTGTTCTTGAAGGCAGGAGCGTGGGCCCTCTGCAGCCACAGCAGAATCTGAAGTAGGGGCTGTGGGCTTAGAACGGGTGCAGTGCACTGTGGACAATTGTCATGAGCCCCTCTGCTCTTTGTCTTCCTCTTTCTGCAGATTAGATATGGAGACACAGCTACCTCAGAAGGAGTCCTCTTTGCCACTTACTCTGCTCTCATTGGTGAGAGCCAGGCAGGAGGGCAGCATAGGACGCGCTTAAAACAAATTCTGGATTGGTGCAGGGAAAACTTTGATGGAGTTGTATCCTTTAAAAAAGAAAACAGAGAAAAGTGGAGGGTTGGAACTGTGCTTCAAAAGGAGAGGAAGAGCCTGGGGCCAGCCGAGGTCACCAGGAGCAACTGTGTGGGACAGCCTTGTGCCCAGCGTCCGTATTTATGAACATATGTCCTCCCCGTGCCCTTCTGTCCTCCTCCACAGTGCAGTGGAATTGAAGGAGGGGGGAGAGCACAGCTGGGATTGATCTTTTCAGCTAGGACTGGCTGTTCAGTAAGCTGGAGGAGTCTGGGTTGTATTTTCTGCCATCCTCGTAATGAAAAGATGTCCTTTCTCCTTAACTGACATTCACTTTCAGATTGTATTTGATGAATGCCACAAAGCCAAAAATGCCAGCTCTACTAAAATGGGCAAAGCAGTGTTGGACCTTCAGAACAAACTGCCTCAAGCGAGGGTTGTTTACGCCAGTGCCACAGGTGAGCTTCTGTCAGCACGGAGGGGCACCGTGTGAACACATGCCTTGGAAAGGTCCCTGGTGAGACGTGATGGCAAGCGAGCCTCCTTCTAGGCATTCACTTTGCTGGAATCAATGCTATTTACAACTGCTGTGGTTTTGCTGAGAGTGAATTCTGTTCAAACAGGTGCCTCTGAGCCAAAAAACATGATCTATATGAGCCGCCTGGGAATCTGGGGGGAAGGCACCCCATTCCATGCATTTGATGAGTTCCTGCACGCAATTGAGAAGAGGTAAGTCACGTCCAGCATCCCTCTTTATCTGGCTTAACTTTTGTGGCAGTCTTTGTTTGTCCCTGAAAGGGAAGTGCTGGCCAATCGATATCTTCTTGGGAATTCCTGTTTGCTCATGAAAACAAGAAAAGTCCAAGCAATCCCAGCAGTCTCATGGCTGAGCACTCTGTACCTGCACAGTGCCAGCCTCTAAAGAGTGGAAGAGATATGCTCAGAGACAGGGCATGCTCAGAGAAAGGGCAGAGACCACAAGCTGGACACTGTCCTCTCAGTTTCTAGAGGAAGTCAAATGGAAGGGCAGCTGCAGGAGTTGTTTTCTCCTTTAGGAAATGGGTGTAATGCGTGCTTGAGGACAGGTAGAGCCATGGGAAGTTGTTCTGCAGAATCACTCACCCGTGTTGCCCTGTGGAATAGGAAGGGCTCTCACAACTGCCTCCCTCTTCCAGGGGAGTTGGTGCAATGGAGATCGTGGCAATGGACATGAAGGTCAGCGGAATGTACATTGCCAGGCAGCTCAGCTTCACTGGAGTGACCTTCAGGATCGAGGAGATCCCGCTGGATCAGCAGTACAAGATTGTCTATGACAAAGCAGCAAAGTTGGTGAGCTGGTCCCACTGCAGTGGGGAGACCAGTGTTTAATTGTGATTGGGGCATTGTCACTTGTTATGTGGGAGGGACTGAAGTCTCTGGACAGGGCCATGAGCACAAACTTTGGGGGTTTTTAATGAGAAAAAGGGTGTTATGAGAAAAAGAGGCCGTTAGCTCTCATAAGATGAAGTAGTCTTGTACTTTTTTTTACTTCTATTTACAAGTTCTGTGTTTGCAAACCAGAGCTTGCAGCATCATGCTAACGCAGAAAGAAGAGCAGACTGTCTGCTCAGCCTAACACAGCAGCATCAACACTGAAGCTAAATCAGATTATCAAACCCCAGCCTGTTCTAACAGTTGCACGTACAACAGTAATGAGCAACAAGGTATTAACTCAGCCTTTCTCGGTACTGTCTGCAGTGGGCAGAGGCCTTGATGGTGTTCCAGCAGGCAGCTGACCTGATCGGCTTGGAGTCTCGGAAATCCCTGTGGGGTCAGTTCTGGTCAGCTCACCAACGCTTCTTCAAGTATCTCTGCATTGCTGCTAAAGTCCGGCGCCTCGTTGAGCTTGCCAAGGAGGAGCTGGCAAAGGACAAGGTGTGGTATTGGAGGCTGGCTGTGTGGGCAGCAGCTGGCAGTCTTAGATTCCAAGGGAAGTCTTGTTGTCTGTAACCAAAGAGAGTTAATTGTTTCTGGGAACATTGGCAGCAATCTCTACTGGGGAGGTAATATCAGCTTTTCTTCTGAGGCTGTTTGCTTCTGGTGAACACGAGCAAGGTGATTTGAAACAGCATTTTGGGCCATGTTCAAGCTAGAAGCGGTTCCAAGTGTTTCACCTTTAGCACAGCCCTATCCTTGCATTTATCAGGATGTGATTTAGAAATTCCTGACAGAAACTACTTAGCAAAAGCAGCTTCTGAAAGCAAGTCGTCCCCTCAGTGGTGTGCAGAGAGGTTTGAAAGATGGTTCTTGATCTGCAGCCTTGCTACAGCCCAACATCCTTTGGACAGGGCCGAAGGAAGATGAGCCTGGAACCATGAGATGCGATCTCTTGAGGCTGTAGGTGCTTGCCCTGACCCCAGCTGTGCCATCCTTGTGTTTCCCTGCAGTGCATCGTCATCGGCCTGCAGTCCACGGGGGAGGCTCGCACCCGAGAAGTCCTGGATGAGAATGATGGGCACCTCAATTGTTTTGTTTCTGCTGCAGAGTGAGTTCAAACTCCTTGCTTTTCTTTCTGTGGAGGGGATGCATGGGAGGCTGGAGGCATGCGAGAGAAAGTGACCTTGGGGCCACTTAGAGCCTGCAGTTCCACAAACTCACTCTCATAAAGGCCTCACCTCACACGAGCTGTAAATGGAGAGGACTCTGTTGTGTTCTTGAGGCGCTGTTTCTTTAGTGTGACTTTGAGTTCTGGATTGTTGAGGTCTCCTGTGGTCCAAACTTGCATGAACAGCCTCATCTGTCTGCACACAGAAAGGAAACAGCAGGTATAGGAGGGTCAGAAACGTGGGCTCAGGTCTGGTTTGTGGGAGTCTGACTCAGGAAAACGGCGCTGTTGACAGTGAAGAAACAAGGGAGGGAATCCCATGTCATGGCAGAGGCTGCGATGGTGATACAAGGCAGCATTGCTGGAGTGGTGGGAGGGGGCAGAGACCCAAGGAGTTCAGGTTCTGTGGTGCTGGCTTTCATGGCAAGCACAGGGCAGGAGAGGTGGTGGGGTTCTACAGTTCTTCCCAGCTGAGGAGAGCTGGGAGTAAAGGCAGCATTTCAGCACCTCTCACATTGCCAGCCTGTCCCCTGGCTGCTCCTATACAGTGAGGTGATGGATTGAGCTGAGCGTCCTCTGCAGGCAGCAGAGCTATTGCTGTTGTCTTTTGAAATAGGTTTTAATGCCAGTGAAAGCAGTGAGTGATGTTATGAACAGTGCATGTGCAGTTCAGACCGAGCTGCCTCCCTTCCTACAGGAGGCTCTGTGTTAGCCTGTGTCAGTCTCTGCTGTCTCCAATCCACCCCTGAAATACAAACACAGCTTGGTGACAGCATGCAAGGAAAATCTGTCAACTGCTTGAATCGATTTGGTCTCTTGAACTGATTTCTGCATCTCCAAATTCAGAGGAGCTCAGTGAGAGAACCATGTGGTCCCTTTGAGCCTCTCTCAGCTTCCCAAAGAGAAAATCTCTGTTACTGATCACATTCACTGCTCAGCTCTGTCCCTGCTTCCAGGAGCAGGAGCAATTGGCTCAGCAGCATTGCTCAGATAACTGGATGTCTGCTGGCATCCACGGAGCCTCTAATTGCAGCGTCCTGGTTTTACAGCACTTCAGGGGATTTCTTGAGGGGAGTGTGCTGGGAAGAAGCAGTTGCTAAAAGATGCCGAGAAACAGAGTTAAAAGCTGATTGCTCAGTGAGTGAATACCAGCCCAGCCCTTTGTTCACAGGGAAAGCGGGGGAGGAAAATGAGCAAGGTCAGTGGCAGAGAGGCTCCGGATCTGAGAGTGAGCTTTGCATTGTGTACCAAGGCTCACATCAGCCAGCACGCGAGGCAGAAGGGCCGTGCCTGGTCACTGCAGTCCCTCAGCAACCAGCCCAGGGCTCTGCCCCTTCAGGGAGCAGGGCTGTGTCCTTCCACCCCTCACGCCGAGGGTCTTACAGCCCTTTCCCAGTTCCCAGCACAGCCTCCTTGTCCCACAGGCGAGTTGTCATGTCCACACCTCTCAGCTTTTGCTTTCAGCATATATATATTTTTTTCAGCCTTCTCTGCCTTCTCATTGCGCTGGGGGTTCATCCCCATCCAACGTGATCAGCATTTAAGCATTAGTTCTTTTGTTTGCAGAGCAGACCACAGAAACATTTAATTCCCACACCTTCTGATTGCCCCGTTCACCCGACACCACCATTTTCCCCATGTCTGTGTCACTTTTCTCTATTCTGTGGGGAAGCAGGCCCATGTCCAGTTAACCAAAGGACCTGGTGGAGTGCATTTGTTGGACAGCCCGACAGTGGTCTCTGCTGTCAGAACACACAGAGGGCCTGGGACTGAGTGCATTTTTCACTAGTGATGTAACAGCTTCCCAGGATCTGTTTCCTGTTTCAAACTCCCTCCTAGTTGCTGCATAAAGGTCTCCGAACTTTGGCGTGCCACACGGCAGCACGGAACCCAGGGTCTGCTCTGCTTTTGTCACAGCATCTCCCAGGAGTGGCCCAGCTCCAGCAGGAAGGCTGCAGCAGAGCATTCCCAGCACTGAGTGCACAGCCTGCCCTCAGCACGCCTGTGCCACAGCTGGGGATCTGCTGTGCAGGCTGTGCTCCCAAGGCTGAGTTGCGTGTCTCCTGCGGAGCCCTTTGGTGCAACTCACTCTGCAGAGCCACGCCATAGCAGTGGCTGGCTGACCACATGCTGTAGTTGTGATGCTGGATTTACCCTCCTTAGATGAAATGTGCTGCTATCTCAGGTAACGTTGCTACGTGATGACCAGCGATGTTCCTGGTGGCTAGAATAAATTTTGCATCTTACTTTCAGAGGCGTCTTTCTATCACTAATTCAGAAGCACTTTCCTTCAACCAAAAGAAAGAGAGAAAAAGGAACTGGCATTAAAAGAAAACGTAAGAGCACACTCCACTGCCCAGCATTTGACCTCCTGCCTTGCTGCTTCACCCCAGCCACTCAGCTTTTTCTTTTCCTTTTTCCCCTTTCCCTACTTCATGCATTCGCTGCTCTGCCCTGGTTTCGGTTTGCCCTCCCGCACATCTCCTGTCACCTCCTCTCTCTTGGAGGACAGCAATCCTGTAGGTCACCTCCCCCTCCTCCCCTCACCCACTCCCTGCCACCAGCGTAGGGCTGAGCCTCCACCACTTGCCCAGCAGCTGCTCCCCTTCCCATGGCTGTTTCTTTCCCTGGACTGGTGGGCAGGCAGCGCCGCAGTCCTGGCTGCACGTTTCCCTCTTGCAGCAGGGGCTCCTCCACTGCCCCGTATACGTAGCATGGCAGGTGTCCTGGGGGAAGAAAAGACTTCCCTGCCAATGCGTTGGCTGTGGCTGCAGGTAAGAGAAGTTTGGGAATTTCTCCTCCAGTGGGATGGGAAGAAGGGTGGACAGCAGCACAGGCAGACTGTGGAGGTTTTGCTGGCAGGTTGCTGTTGCAAAGAAGCCTGTGCAAGCTGATTTTTAGTGAACCCTCTCACATGGCAGGGGCATGTCTTACTGTGCTTGGAAGTAAACAACGTCCCATCTGCAAACACCAAAACACTCTCACCTTCCCACTGCTTGCTCATTCCTCTGAAGGCAGCCAGACCTGCGGGCTCCTTCTGCTGAAGAGTCAGCACTGCTTATCACCAGATGTGTGCTATCCTGACGTGTGCAATCAGCTGCAGCCCTGATACGAATTGCCTTGTTCTTCCTTTCTCTCTCTTCCTTTCTCCTTCTCTCTCCTTCCCCCTCTCTCCCTTCCTTCCTAACTGTCCTGCCATGCTCGGGAGGCTTTCTCTCTCTGAGATAAGCCTTTCGCTGGGGGCAGGCTCAGCTGTGTTGTGATCTCTTTTCCTCTTTCTGAGCTGGCACTTGCTGTTTTTGCACAAGGCTGACCCTGCTCTCTCTCCCATGCAGGCAAGCAGAGGGGCCGCTGCGCCAAGGCTCTGAAGGGCATCTGTGACCCCGTGGGGGTGATCAAGATCAGCGATGACAGCAGCACCGACTCTGACATGGGGCTCGACAGTGACTTCAACTCCTCCCCAGAGTCTGTGCTTGAGACCGACGATGTCATCTTCATTGAGCACGCCTTCAATGGCTTTGTGACCGAGAGCAGAAGTAAGCAGAGCCAGCAGCAGGGATTGGCTCCCTTCTCACTGATGGCAGCTCCTCCGATTTGCAATTTCCAGGTGACTCTAAACTTTTGCATTTCATTTGCAGGTAATTTTCACATGCTGCCTTCACATAAAGAGATGCATGGCCTGAGAGAACTGGAGCATGTGGAAAAGATGAAGCAGGACCTACTAGCAAAAGTAAAAGCACTGGGCAAAGAGCTACCTCTCAATACCTTGGATGAACTGATCAATCACTTTGGGGGACCGGAGCACGTGGCTGAGGTACCCCTTCACAGTGGAGTATATTTGGGTGGCACTAGTTAACAGGAAGAAGGCCAGCAGAGGGAGTTGCAGCTGGAAGAGAGCTTGCTTTCCTTCCTGGCTGTCTGAAAATCCTGTTGTGGATTGACCTCCTGAACACCCCGTACTGGTGCCCTTTGTATGTCTGCCCTCTCTGATAACAGCCCCTCTCTTTTCTGTGCAGATGACTGGGCGAAAGGGCCGGGTGGTTTGCAGGCCAGATGGCTCTGTCATGTTTGAGTCTCGTGCAGAGCAAGGCCTCTCTATTGACCACGTCAACCTGAAGGAGAAGGAGCGTTTTATGAGTGGGGAGAAGGTGAGTTAGGTGTGAGCCAAGGAAACCTCCAAACCTCTGCATGGAGCGTGCAGAGGTGAGGGAAGGGAAAGGTGTCTGCATGCTTTTGCCTTGCCAGCCTTACATCAGCAAAGCTCTGCACCTTCTGTCTGCCTGTGCCTGTCCTGCTGGGAGGTGACAAGGAGGCCTGTGGGCTGCCATCGTCCTTTGGGCTGTTCTTCCTAACAGTTCTGCAAACATACAGGGACCTCACACCCCTTTCTCATATATTCTCTCTCTTTCAGCTTGTAGCAATAATCTCGGAGGCCTCCAGCTCAGGAATCTCTCTCCAAGCAGACAGACGGGTGAAAAACCAGAAGCGCCGGGTCCACATGACACTGGAGCTGCCCTGGAGTGCAGACCGCGCCATTCAGCAGTTCGGTGAGGGCTGAGGCTCTCTGGTCACTGCCCCCTTCCCCCGAGCACAGTGCAGATGGTGAAACCTTGGGCAGCCCTGAAATGGAAAGGCGTGTGTGGCCTCCTGTGCCAGGCTGGTGCTGCAGTCCTCCAGCTTTCTGAGAGATGTCAGCTTTCGGAGCACAGTGCTCCTCTGCTTTGCTTTGGGGGCAATCCAGACACACAGCAGTGGTGTCTGACTGAATCTGTGGAGAGGGTTTGTGTTGACTTCGGAAGTGGTTTGCAGTATGGAAAGGGAAAAGCCTTCCTATCTATACGTGGGAGCAGAGGGCATCTCCATAAACATGCTTGAAGGTTTCTGTTCCATCCTGTAGGCTCTGTAGGATGAGAAGAGCAAGTTCCTCAGTAGGTGAGCACAAAAGAATCAGTGCATTCTGTAGCTCAAACCTGGAGCATGAGGGCTGTAAACTCAACTCTGACAAGGTCTCAGCAGCAATAGTGATGAATGCTGTACCTGTGGGAGGGCAAACTGAAACCAGAGCTGTACCTCTGTCCTTTTACCCCAAAGGAAAGACCTGTTTTGAAACCAGCATGACATGGAAAGTTGTTCTGCCTCTCACCTGCTCAGCTTCTCTTCATTACCAAACAGGCTGCACCAACCTCTCCTTTCCCTTCTCTTCTCGTGTCCCTGTAGGTCGGACGCACCGATCAAACCAAGTTTCTGCTCCAGAGTATGTCTTCCTTATCTCTGAGCTTGCTGGAGAGAGGAGGTTTGCCTCCATCGTGGCAAAACGTCTGGAGAGCCTAGTAGGTGCCCTGCAGCAAATAAATTACTGCTTTAACTCCACTTCTTTCTGACTGGCTTCCATTCCAATATGCTTACTGGCATGGCCACTGTAAGTAGGGGGAGGGATTGCATCACCCCCTGACTTGAAAGCTGAGGAATGCAGAAGGCCTTTAACATCCTCCTAAGATTTTAAAAAGGAAGTAAAGAATAACCAAGGCAACAGGAGGATACTGGAGGAAGCAGAATTTCAGATGCTGGAATTCCCCCCATACTGTTACAGGAGTGCACACCCACCTATTTCCAGAAAGCCAATGAAATAACATATTAGACTCTTTCATTTTCATTCCCTTCTGATAAATCCCCAAATGCTTTGGTAAACTCCCAGTGCTCCAGAAAATCACTGCCTGCCTGTAGCACATTCAGTATCAGAGTCTCCTGATACGGCCTGGACTTGGTGTCCTGGTTTCTGCTGGGACAGAGGAGTGGGTTTTTTCTTTCATACTGTCTGGCATGATGCTGTGTTTTGGCTTTGAGAGAAATACAGTGTTGATAACACTGATGCTTTGGCTGTTGCTGAGCAGTGCTGCACGGAGCCAAGGACATTTCAGCTCGTCATAATGTCCTACCAGCGAGGGGAGCTGAGGTGGGGGGTCAGACCCAGGGCAGCTGACCTACACTCACAGAGGGCGACTCCAAAGCATATGAGATCATGTGAAAGAACTTTAGGAACTGTGAGGTGTTGGCCAGGGGGCAGCTGCTGCTCAGGGACTGTGGTGACACTGCGGTGCTGAGCAGCTGCCCAGTTAAACCACGGCATTCGGCCGTCCTTGGCAGGTGTTTTGTAGCAGCTAAAAGCAAGAATTTTTTGCTTGGTCTGTCTTCCAGGGTGCCTTAACTCACGGAGACCGGAGGGCCACTGAATCCCGAGACCTCAGCAAGTACAACTTTGAGAATAAGGTAACTTGCAGCTGTTCTCAAGGCAGCTCAGCCAAGGAGGGGTCAAAGCAGTAAGCGAGTGCCTTCAGTAGGAGCCAGGGACAGGCAGATCATTGCTGGCATCTACAGGCAGGATCTGGCCTAGCAGCATCAGCACCCAGCACCCCAAGTGTGGCATCCAGAACTGAGTTGCTCCTCAAGGGAACAGCCCCTGTCCCCAGGGGAGCTAATGTCACTGCTGGATGAGGGTGTGCAGGGTCCTGCACTCTGGGCCCTGGGGACAGGGTACGTCCCTGACCCACAGCATCCCTCAGCACAGCCCTCTCTTAGTGGGGTTTCTTTTCCTTTTGGGGTCATTTCCTCCCATGCATTACTCTCGTCTCCTTTCGCAGTATGGGGCTAAAGCACTAGACAGAGTTCTCTCCACCATCCTCAACTACACGGAGAACAGAGTTCCTGTGCCCAAGAGCTATGAGAGAGGAGAGGCTGCATTTTTCCAGGGTAAGAACATCATCATCAGCCCCAGGGTTCCTGCTGCATCTTTCTGGCCAGGTCGATTTCAGGGTTGGGATGTCTGAAGAAAGAAAACAGCAGCTGGGAGTAAAAACTCAGAGGGAATGCTGCCACTGACCTAAAGGCTCAGTGCTCATGCAGATACGTGTCATCCTGCCAAGCAGAGGGGAAAATGGATGTGGGGCAGACTTAACTGTGAAATAATGGGTACTGAAGGGGAAGTGTTACTGTTAGGGATGGGGTGACCCTAAAATACTCAAGCTGCTTTCTCTTTTTCCAGAAATGAAGCAAGGTCTTATCTCTGTGGGGATCTGCTGCAATCAGTTGAAGTATGGCACTGTCTCAGTAGAGAAAGGTACGTGTCTTATTTTTCCTGGCCAATGTAAGGGAGAAATGGAAGAGGCCTTGCTGTGGCCCTCCCACGCCATCTGCACCAGAACACAGCCTCAAGGAGCTTGCTGTGCAGGCAGGGCAGAACATGGCACTGCTGCTGTGAGGGCAGAGTCCAGTAGGGTATAATCCAGGCTGCAGATTGCATTTCCCTGCAGCAACCTGGCAGCTGGCAGCCTGGAGGAGCAGCCCTTGGGCTGCTCTCTTATGCATTGCTACTGTGCTGCTCTGAAGAAGGGTGGGGATTCTCTTTTTGGATGTCTTTGGGAATGTGCTGGTCAGCCAGCTACTCAGTCTTCCCTGCCCTGCTGCCCTCTTGCAGACTGCTCCATCACCAAGTTCCTCAACCGGATCCTGGGCCTGGAGGTGGACAAGCAGAACATGCTGTTCCAGTATTTCTCTGATACCTTTGACTATCTGATTGAAAAGGACAAGAAAGAGGGCAAATATGACATGGGCATCCTAGGTAAGGAGAAAAGGGGTGATCACTGCACCTCTGAGGTTCCCTGCTCCTCCCTGTGCTGACCACTGGCTATTCCTCTGTTCCCATCGCCTACTCAGGTGCTGGAGGGTCCCAGCTCCACATGGCACAGATCCTAAGACTCCTGTGCAGGAAGGGGAGGTGGCACAGGGAGATGGATCTTACACCTGGGCATGTGTTTTGGTCTTTCTTTGTGCTACAGATTTAGCTCCAGGAATTGATGAGATCTACGAGGAAAGCAAGGAGGTCTTTCTGACCCCTGGGCACCCGCAGGATGGGCAGGTGGTGTTTTATAAGGTAGGCAGCCTGCACTGCTGTTTCTGCAGTCCACTTTTCTCTGTTGCTTTCCATGCTGGAGCTGTGAGCTGCTGGATCTCTCCCCCTGCCCCATGGCTGTTTGTCATGCTTGTGTCATGTTTGCTGTGGTCGTGAGTAGGTCACTGATGCTGGGAATCACAGAGGAGGCAAGGAGAGGCCCTGTGCTGCCTAGGGGCTCTCTGGGCTGTAATGCCCTGGAGCGTAGCCTGGTAGAGCCTATTTCCTCCTGAGGTGGGAGTGTTTTGTGAGACAGACATTGGTGCTTTTGTCCCATGCTCTGAAGTTACAGAATCCGTGTTTGTCCTCATTTAGATCAGTGTTGACAGAGGACTGAAGTGGGAGGAAGCTTATGAGAAGTCACTGAAACTGACGGGATCTTATGATGGGTTCTACCTCTCCTACAAGGTAGGTTCTGGGGCTCTGCCAGGATGGCACCCCAGCTGAGAGGATGGCTCCTCACTGGAGCTCTGTCATGGCCCTTGGGCTGTGTCTGACCTCGTGCTGGGGGCTGGGAGATGCTTCCAAGAGCTGCATCACAGAGAAGGGTCGGTTCAGACAAGGGCCTGGGGGAGGAAACCCATGTGACTGTAACCATCAGCTCTGCCCCAACAGACACGAGGCAACAAATACACCTGTCTGCTGGCAGAGCAGGGCCGTGGCAAGAACTTCATCCTCTACAAGCCAAATATTGGGAAGCAGAGCCAGCCTGAGAGCTTGGACAGTCTGCACAAGAAGTACCGGCAGGTAGGCGGGAGCTGCAGTGCTGCAGCATGGGGAGAGGGACGAGCATCCTTCTCTGAGCAGGGCTTGCTGAAGGACATTCATGTAACCCCTTTACACCTTCTCCTATCCCTGTTGTGTGTCAGGCAGAAGCAGTGGTAGCACCTGGGTGTGCTGCCTCCCAGTCCTGGATTTCAGGTGTCAGCTGTATGTCAGACAGTGGAAAATCCTGACCCTCTGCCTGTAATTTCTTCTTCTGCAGGTGACACCGGATGAAGCCAAGGAGCACTGGGAGAGCTGTTATCACTTCTCCTTGAAGAAGTGCAACCATGCTGTCTGGTAAGGGATGCACACCCCAAACCTGCCCAGCTCTCAGGGTGGGGGGCTTATCCTGTGCTTCCCAACAGTGCTGTTGGGGCCTGGGCTGTAGCAGTGAATGGGGGACATGCTATGGAGGCAGTGGATGTAACAATCTGCCGTGCTGATTCAGGTCATTTTCTCCCATTTGAAGGAACAGGAGCTGCAAGCTGATCCAGGAGGGGAAAGAATGTTTCCAGGGCATGCGCCTGCGTCACTACTACATGCTGTGCGGAGCCCTGCTGAGGGTGTGGAGCAGGATTGCCAGCATCATGGCAGACATCACTAACACCAGCTACCTGCAGATCGTCCGCCTCAAGACCAAGGAGAAGAAGAAACAAGTCGGTAGGTGAAATGTGGGGAAGGGAGCGGGGGCATGAGCGGGCCCTGAAGGCTCTCCCTCCCTTCCTGAAGTGCTGTGGGGACTGAGGCACGTTCCTCCCTTAGGGATAAAGATCCCCGAGAGCTGCGTTCGGAAGGTGCTGGAGGAGCTGAAGCAGATGGATGAGAACGTGAAGCGGAAGCACAACCGACTCCTCCAGGCACAAGAGCAGAGCCTGCAGTTCTCCCTCCCCCTGCACGGGAGGCAGCAGCCCCTGGACCTCACGCACGCAGCGCCTGGGCTCTCCTTACCACAGCACTCCCTGCGCCAGGACGAGATCCTGGACCTGACCTACAGCCCTCCCAGCGACAGCATTTCTGACATGATGAACCCGGAGCCCAGCCCTCTGTGCTTCCCCCCAGAGCCTGTGCTCCAGCCCCACCAGCAGCACGGATCTCCCTTTGGCTTCGGCCACCTTTCTGCCTTCAAAAGCCCGGACACCATCCTGGAGGGCAGCGTGCCTCTGAGCTCTTCCCTGCAAGAACATCAGCCCCTGCCTCACCCTGAGCCCTCACAGACTCTGCAGCAGCAGGAAGATTTTGTTCAACAGGATGGAAATATCAATTTCAGAGAGATCCTGGAGGACATGCTGAGGACGTTCAATGGGGCCCCTCAAGAGAACATTCTCCCCCAGGAGCGCCAGAGTGTGATCCAGTTCAGTGGGCTTTTCCCAAACTTCTGAGAGCCTCTGGGTGCACGGGGTGACTCTCAGCCACTGCAAATCCATATCCTTTGGTGCAGAGATGAGGGCTAGGGAGCCCTGGCTTTTCTACTGGTTTGGACTGATCCGTCTCTTTTATTGAGGGAAGAAGAAAAAAAAATTATAGTTCCTTAAAGCAAAGTTTATTTATATATAATATACAGTCAGGCATGTATAGATTTGTATATAACGTGCTTGGGGGTTCAGCTGATCTGGACTGATGGTCTCTGCTGTGTTCAAGTCCTGCTCACGGGTCAGTGCTGTGTGAGACCAAGGAGAGACACCCATCCCCTGCAGACTACTGAGTTTCCAAGCCAAGTCGTGCCTCTCTCAGCCCAGAGCACTGCAGCTGCAGCCCCTGAAGCTGCCTCAGCTTTGCAGCAGTTGCAGGAACTGACTGCACCAGCACCTAATTAGCCGGGATCGTGGCAGAGCTGCTGAGTTTGGCACAGCTCAGCCAGGCTGGGACCACGCAGGGATTGCCTGGAGCCTGGGGGCCGTGAGTCCCACTGACCTCTCCTGAGCCTGCAGGGCTGCTGCAGCTGGCCGTGCTTTTCCCACATTTTGCTGTCGTGTGCTTTTTGTCCTGGCCTTCTCCCCAGCCCTGTGCTGCTGGGTTTCTTGGCTGGGACAGGGACGGCCCGGCTGTGTCACCCAGCACTGCTCTCAGCCCCAGGTCCCTGGCGAGCACAGGGATGTGCAGTATTGCTGCTCATGCTGCATATCCAACCTCCAATACCAAAGAGCAAACGTCTGCTTTGCACTGCACTGCCCCACATCCCCACCTGTCCCAGCAGCAAGGTGGGCGGCTGCCCCCCAGCACAGAGGGCATCGCTGCCAGCCCTGCTCCACACCTCGCACCTCGGCAGGTCCCGGGGACTCAGCTTTTGTTTTCTCTGCTTAACCTGAGGAGTGTGGCAGGGAACTGGCAGCGTTGCCCTGGGGCAGCTGCTCTGCATCCTCCCCTCTGCATCTGTTCTCTGCATTCAGTCACCTGGGCGTCCCTGGAAGCAGCACCGGGATGCTTTCAGGGGAAGGATGTGAGCCTCTCCCCAGCTGGCCCAGCTCTCAGCGAGGACCCCTGCCCAGAAGGTCTGTCTTGAGGGGCTGCAGCTCTACATGAGCTCCTGAGCCCCTCCAGGCACAGAAGCCCCAGCTTTGGGAAGCACCATGGGTTGCTGCAACCCCAGAGACTGAGGGCTGCCTGCCCCACTGCGCTGAGAGCAGGGGCAGCCGTGGGCTCCCTGCCCCCCCCCCCCAGCCTCACTGTTTGCCCCTGTCCAAGGAACCCTCCTTACCTCACAGCCCACACCAAAGATGGGAGCTCCTGCCCCCAGGCTCCCAGCAGGGCAGGGCTCTCCTCTTCCCCTCCTATTGAAAGTATTTCCCAGCTCACAACACTCACTTTCACTCACTTGGCACTTGCTGAATTCTCAGCAACCAGGGAAAAGGGTACCAAGAAAACCCATTTCAGAGAGACTCAAACTCAGGAATCACGAGGTATTCCCACCTGGTGCCCTTTGCCCACCCCTGTGCCACGTTAGCAGAGTCCCACGTGGCAGCTTTGACACACGATGTTAAAATATATGCAATTATCCCTCCCCCAGCTCTGGAAGACAGAGAGCACCTTCAAGGAAACCCCTCCCTGCCCTGATCCTGTGTTTTTGTCAGGGTTAATAATATGTAACGATATCTTTTAACTAAATTATTATGCCGTTGTCCTACTGATTGTATGTATTTTTAAATGAGTCCCTCTTTTTCTTCCCTTACACCTTTTTGTTAGCACTTTTTAATCTGCTTGTCGTTGGCCTTTGTTTTTTTTTTCTATGTGTATTTATAATTAATTGAGATGTATATATGTAAAGAGATTTGTTTTTTTTTTTTTAGAACATGTGCCTTGGACTAATAATTCCTGAATTTTCTACTTGCCTCAGAAGGATCATTTTTCAATCTGCTCAGTAAAAAGGAGCCACACGTGAGGTCTCTGTAAGTCCCACCTCTGTCTGTTCAGCCTTCCCCAGGCTCGCACCAGGCCTGGGGTCAACGTCCCAGCTGCTCCCCACACACCCCATGGCACTGGGCCACCGCTGGGAGGATCCTGCCTACACTGTGCCCTCCAAGTCAGATGCCAACAGCTTTGTTTTTTCCCCCAGCTTTGCTGCAGAAAACACAGATAAAAACACTCTTGTTGACACAGATGACTCCGCCAAGAGCTGCTGAGCAGGCGCAGCTCAGCCCCACGCGCTGCTCCTTAGCCCAGAAAGCGACAGCCAGCCCTGCTGTGCTCCCAGCTTCACCCTTACCCCACATCGGGGGCAGGGCTGAAACCCACAGCCCCGGCTCAGCTCCACATGCTGCGTCACCGCGCTGTTTCACCACAGCACAGCTTGCAGTGGTTGCATCCTGCACCACTGAACAGCTCAGGAGGCGCTGGGCATTGCTGCGTGCTGCAGCTCCTCCAGGCAGGGAATCTAATTCAGGCAGACGCTGCATTGTTGTGCAGCACAGCACACAGGGTGCAGGGTCGCTTCTCCCAATGGGACGTGCAGACGTGCTCCTCTACTTCAGCTTTTCCTCGGGACAGCAGCTGACCCGGGATTTGGTGTAATTTCCCGGTCAGCACTAATGAGGATTATCCCTGCCGGCTCTGTGAAAGCTCCCAGCTGCCCCACTGAGCCCCGCTTGCCCCCCCAAGGCGCAGTGGAGCGGCGCATGCAGCTCCATCCCCATCCACACACGCAGATATCACTCATTTCCAGTGGATTTATTGCAGGTGGACAGTAGACACTACGTTATGGCTACGGGACAGGGCTGCCCAGCAGAGCCCCCCGGCCCTGGGACGCCTTCCTCCAGCAGGTGCACGCCAAATCTTCAGGTCTGCCTCACCAGCAGGCTGGCTTCAAGGCAGACCGTCATGGTGCTGGAGGACGGCGCCCACGGGGAGCCGGGAGCGGTGCTGGGCAGCAGCTCGGCAGGCAGCTCTACAGGTAGGCGGGCAGCTCCTTCTCGATCACCTTCGAGATGAAGGGGAGCATCACCTTGAGAGCATCACTGCCCTCAGCACACGCCAGGAGCCCTCAGCTGGGGCTGGGGGTCGGGCAGAGCGCGGGCAGCACTTACATAAGGATCCTCCATTGGGCTGTACCTCTTCACCACTTGGCCCTCGCGGTTGATAAGAAACTGTGGGAGTGAAGCAGGAGCCAAATGAGCGAGTCCAGCTGCAGCATGGGAACGGCTGAGCAGCACAGGGCTCTGCTCCGGGGCTGGGACTGCCCTAAAGCAGAGCTGTACCCTGCAGAGCTGCTCCCCCACAGCCCAGCACAGCGCCCGGATGGCAGGGCTTCTCCCCCCACCTCAAAGCTGAAGGTCTGACCCACACACAGCCCCGAAGAAGGCAGCACAGCCCCTACCTTAGTGAAGTTCCACTTGATGGCACTGAGAGAGAGGAAAACCGGGGGTGAGAGGCACAGAACTGCGCTGCAGCACCGCCCCATTGCCCCCTCCCCATCCAGCACTCACTTCCCCAGCGTGCCCCGGCCCTTGGGCTGTTCCTTCATCCACTTCCACAGCGGGTGGGCACCGTCCCCATTAACCTCAATTTTGCTGAACATATCGAACTTCACCCCGTAGCCCTCTGCAAAGGCCTTGATCTGCGCCTCGTCCCCGGGCTCCTGCGGGGGAAGGGGGGGCGGTGGGGGTCACACCGTGCTCGGGGATCCCCGCACAGCTCCTCCCTGCTCCGCTGTGCCCACCTGCTTCCCGAATTGGTTGCAGGGGAAGGCCAGGATCCGTAAGCCCTTCTCAGCGTATCGAGCGTGCAGATCGACGAGCTGAGTGTAATTCACCGGGGTCTTTCCTCATTTGGACGCCACGTTGGTGACGATGCAGACGAAGCCCCTGCGGGAATAAGGGAGGGGGGAGGGGGGGGAAAGCGGTGGAGAAGGGGGGAAGGGCAAAGCCGGGGGGTGTGCGTGCGGCCGCCGCATTGAGCACTGAGCCGCGGCACAGCGCTCCCCGCACCGCCCCGCACCTGTACTGCTCCAAGGCCACGTCGTGCCCGTCGATGTCCCGCGCGTGGAAGTCGTACATGGAGGTGGCCGAGCGCCACTCGTCCGCTTGCGCGCACTGCGGGGTCAGCGGTCACCACGCGGCCCCGGCCGCTCCTGTCCCGCAGTCCGACCCGGGCCCATCGCAGCCTCCCCCGGCCCGGCCCGCCTCCCCGCGCTCACCATTCTCCGCTCCGCTCCCCGCACCGCCGCCGCTCCGCACAGCAGCGCCCGTCCCCAGCGCCAACCCCAACTCATCCCACCGCCGCCCGGCCCCTCGACCAATCGGCGGCTCGGACGCGCGGAGGTGCCGCCCACCCGCTGCAGCACCGCTAATCATTGTTCGGAGCGAGTGGCTCCCTCGGCTGACAGACGGGAGGATCGACCAATCAGATTGGCGAGGCGGCCGCAGAGGCGTGAGAATCCGCGTGGGGGCGAGGACGGCGTCCTTGCGCCATTCCTCCTCCCGCCCTCCGCCTACAGCTCCCGGCATTCCCCGCGGCGAAGGACCCCGCGCGGGGCGGCCCCGCCCGCTCCTCGGGACCGGCATTGCGGCGGGCAGCCCGGGGTCCTGCGGGGCAGCATGGACGACGAGGAGGAGACGTACCGGCTGTGGAAGATCCGCAAGACCATCATGCAGGTGCGGGGCGGTGCGGAGCGGGGCGGTCTCCGGTCTCAGCTCTCCTCTCCTCATGCGGCGCTTCTTCTCCCAGCTGTGCCACGACCGCGGTTATCTGGTGACGCAGGACGAGCTGGATCAGACGCTGGAGGAATTCAAGGCGCAGTTCGGGGACAAACCCAGCGAGGGCCGCCCGCGCCGCACCGACCTGACCGTGCTGGTGGCTCACAACGACGATCCGACCGACCAGATGTTCGTTTTCTTTCCCGGTGAGCTGTGGGACCAGGTTGGGAACGGAATCGCCGCGCTGTCGCCGGGTTCGGTCTCACCCGGCGCTGTTTCTCATCCAGAGGAGCCCAAAGTCGGCATCAAAACCATCAAGATGTACTGCCAGCGCATGCAGGAGGAGAACATCACGCGTGCGCTGATCGTGGTGCAGCAGGGAATGACCCCCTCGGCCAAGCAGGTGCGGTGCGATGCGGCCCCGGGGCTGTTTGAACCCCTGGGTCCATAAACACGGAGCTTTTGTGCAGAGAAAACCTCTTATCAAAGGTTCTGAGCCTTAACGCTGGGCTGGCTCAGCATTCAGTGCATTGAACCGGAGCGACCTTTAAGAAACCAGATGAAGTTTAACAAAAGCAAGCGTAGAGTCCTGCGTCTGGGGAGGAATAATTGCACGCACCGGTATGGGTTGGGGGATGAGCTGATGGAGAGGAGCTGTGCAGAGAGGGACCTGGGTGTCCTGGTGGACGACAGGTCGGCCGTGAACCAGCAGTGGCCAAAAAGGCATCCTGGGGTGCATTAAAAAGAGTGTGGCCAGCAGGTCGAGGGAGGTGATCCTCCCCCTCTGCTCTGCCCTGGTAAGGCCTCAACTGCAGCACTGCGTCCAGTTCTGGGCTCCCCAGTACAAAAAAGACAGGGATCTCTTGGAAAGAGTCCAGCGGAGGGCCATGAAGATGGTGAAGGGCCTGGAGCATCTCTGCTATGAGGGAAAGGCTGAGTGAACTGGGGCTGTTCAGCGTTGAGAAAAGAAGGCTGAGAGGGGACCTGATTCAGGTCTGTAAATACCTGAGGTGTGGGGGGCAGAGTGGCGAAGCCAGGCTGTTTTGAGCAGGGTGTGCAGACAGGATGAGGGGAAACGACCAGAAACTGCAGCAGAGGAAGTTCTGCACAAATGTGTGCAAGAGCTTCTTTATGGTGAGGGCGACGGAGCACTGGAGCAGTCAGGGGGCACAGAGATCTGTTTGCTGTCTGCCTGTGTGACTGTCAGGGTGAGCACAGACACCGTGCTGCCCTCCTGGTGCTGCTGCTCATGGTGGGGCAGAGCTGAGCGCTCACACAGGCTGTCCCAGAGCAGTGCTGCAGCATGTTGTGATTCTTCCTTCCCAGTCCCTGGTTGATATGGCTCCCAAATACATTCTGGAGCAGTTTCTGCAGCAGGAGCTCCTGATCAACATCACTGAACATGAGGTGAGCAGCGCAGGGCGTCCCTTTCATCCCTGCCCTGTGCTGGGTGGCGCTGCTGGAGCTTCATTTCTTACCACAAATTGCTCATCTTGCAGCTATGGAGAGGTGGTTGCTTTCTCAGTTTGTCTTATCTTGTGATTTCTCCCCTGCTGCTTACAGCTGGTCCCAGAGCACGTTGTCATGACAAAAGAAGAAGTAACCGAGCTGCTGGCCAGATAGTATCCTTTGTTTGGTCCTTCCCTTCCTGTCAGGGGGTGATGAGTGCTTGCCTTGGGCCAAAAGTGAACACCTCTGGCTGTGGGAGTGTATGATGTTCTGTTGGCTGCACCCTGCCTTAGGACACACAGAACCCTGGGTTCTGGCAGAGCTTCTCCTTGACTCCACACAGTAAGCTGAGGGAGAACCAACTCCCCAGGATCCAGGCTGGGGACCCCGTGGCCCGATACTTTGGGATAAAGAGAGGCCAGGTAAGAGAAAACCCGATAACAAACAGCAGGGCCCTGCAGGCAGGGCGAGGAGCCGTAGCAGCACAGTATTCCAGAGCTTGGAGATGGGAAAGGTTTCCTCTTTTTTAGGGTTATTTTTTTCCTAGATGTTATGGGTCAGGTAGAGATGTGTGCAGACCAGCAGCTAGCCCTGGGGCCAGGCTTGGCTGCCTGCTGAACCAGCTGGCAACAGCTGCTGTAACACCAGGCATCCCCCAGTGCTCCTTCTGCTGGCCTTCCAGGTGGTGAAGATCATCAGACCGAGTGAGACTGCGGGCCGCTACATCACCTACAGGCTGGTGCAGTGACAGCTCTCAGGTAATGTGTGACATCCCCACCTTTGGGCAGCGCTTTAAACTTGCGCTGAGGCTTTCCAGAGGTGACTTGAAGTGAGTTGGCTCTGGGAAAGGATTCCCTCCAAGTGATGTAAATGATTTGTGTAGGGAAATGTGTGGGATGGATCAGAGCGGGGCTGTCCTGGTCTGATGCCTCAGTAGCATTGCTGAAGGCAGATCTCTCAGGGCAGCAGAGGGGTTTTGCCTTGAGAGCGATCTGCTGAGGGGGACAGGAGCTCATTCACATCCTGAGTTCTTTCTTCCAGATGTGAAACAGTTCTGTGACATCTGATCTTCCCACCCACTGACAGCTCACGGCTCCCTGAGCTCTGTTTGAGGGCTGAGGAACTTCTCTGTCCCTGCTGCCTCTCTGCAGTTGTTTTCCTTGGCCCAGTTCCTCATTTTCCAGCGTGGATTTTGCTGCAAATCCTTCTGCTTCGTTAAGGAATGCCATGAAAGCACCTGAATTGTACAAATGAGCGGACAGTGGCTTTTGCTACCCTGTTCTATGAGATCTTATTTTTAATAAAGGTTTGTACTCTTGCTGTTCTTCACTGTTTCTGCGTTTCTCAGCCCTCTCCTGTATCAGAGCTGAACGGCCACAAGCAGTTCTGTGTGTGCCATTCTCTGTGGGATTTGTTGCTGCTCAAATTCTATGGTTCAGCCTCACTGCTGTCACCTGTTCTGTCTCTGACCTTTGTTTTGAAACTGTGGTTGTCAGATGTTGCAGAGGGATTTTGCTTTACTTGCTATAAGTGCTTCCTTACAACGCCTGGCACCCACAGCCACGGGCACCTGAATGTGCAGGCATTGATGTGCAGGACAGGCAATGGTTGGAACACAGGGATTTTATTATTTCTGGAAGCACATCAGTCTGAACTCAGCAAAACACAGAACGCAGCTTCATACAGCAGCACAGACACGTCACCAAAGAACATTTTTCCTTTTTCCATGCTGAGTTTATATACAGATAGAAGGGCTCTCGGTACCATGTGAAGCTCCAGCATTGCTTTGGTCCCTTCCTTCCCTCGCATTCACCATCATCCATCCTCGCACACACTCATACCCCTGCAGTAGCAGTTCTGGTAGCAGCAGGTGGCACTCAGCTTCATTTTCCTGCTGCCATGAGAACGATGTGCTGGAAGGACGCAGCGGCGGCGTGGCGAAGAGCTGTGGAGCAGAGGTGCTCGCAGGTGGCTGTCGCTCCCCTTCGGCTCCGTTACAAACTGGTCAGCTGCAAATGGAGCTTTGGTTTCGTGTACCTTTTATCTGTTGTGTTGAGATGCTTTTCTGATCTGAGAGCTGTGGCCCTTAGCAGCCCCGCTCTGCCTGGTGGAGGTGATCCTCCAAAGGGATCCCACCTCCTCTCCATCACCTCATCCTCCGTTAATGAGCTCTGTTAACCCTTCCAGTTCAGTGCATCTCCAGCTGGGACGCCACTCTGCTCGGCTTCCTTGGCTGAGAAGCCATCCCAGCTCTCCCTTTGCTGCCTGGTCTGCATGGATGCCCTCCCTGCCTGCAGCAGAGGACTGAGACAGGAGGAGGTGGCACAAGAGACGAGGGAGAACCCAGCGTTTCACTGAGGGATGTTGTTTCACTCTGAGTATTGGAGAACAACTTTGGACCCAGCTGGGCTCCTGGTCCTCTCAAGGCAGTGGGGAGCAGCCTGGGTGTGAGCAGAGTGGTGGAAGGAAAGCAGCTTTCGGCTCTTTCTAAGCTCTTTTTTTTCTATGCTTCAGTGCAGAAAAGTTTCATAACCTTAAAAACCACTTTGGTCCTCTTTAACCCTTCGAGTTCCGTTGCCAGCAGAGGTAGTGGGTTTGCATTGAAGGGTTACCTTACACACACACACACAAAAGACTAAAAGCTCACAGTGGAGGGGGGCTGTAGCTTGGTTCAGGCATCCCGCATCTCCCCCCGCTGCCCTCACAGCATCGATTTTGGAGATCAAATATACATCCACAAAGCCCTGAGACCGTGCAACGTGGGGGGGGGGGGGCGGTGCGGAAAATGCCCATCTCGTCGTATACAAGCAGCAACGCGAGCTTCGTCAGCCGAGCCACCGCCGCCTGGGGCCGCTCTCACTGCTGAGCTGCGGTGGTGGCGTCGCTCTCGGGCTCCTCTTCGGGGTCGCTGTGCTCTCCTGCAGCGCAGCGCAGCGCTGAACCCTCCGTGTCCGACTGCCCGGTGCTGCACGTGCGGCTGCGCTGCCCCTCGCTGCCCTCCTCGTAGAACGGAGCTTCGTCCGTGCTCGTTTCGCTCTCTTGCTTTCGCAGCTGCCCGCCGTCCTCCAGCTCCGAGTCGGAATCCACCGATCTCTCGCTGGGCTCTGTGGATCCGTACGGGGCTGTGAGGTGGTCGCTGCTCTGCGCTGCCTCGTCCCCGAGCCCCTCACCGCGGCGAGCAGCGATGGAAGTGTGGGGACGGGTGCCCTCAGGGGCTGGGGCAGCGCGAGAACCCAGAGCCCCTCTTTGCAGCCCCCCCAGAGCCCCTCACTCACCCCCGAACGCTCCCACGTTGTAGCCCAGGTCGCCCTTCCCCGGGGGCTGCGGGCACGGAGCGGCCGTGGGCTCATCCTGCTGGGAGGGGTCCGTGTGAGGGGGGAGCACACAGGGCCAACCTCATGCCCCCCCCGCGTTGCTCCCTCCCCAGGGCCCCATACCGGGGTCTCGTCCTCGCGATCTGCGGTGAATTCAGTGCCGTCAGCGGTCAGAGTGCTGCCTTTGTCCTCGAAGATGGTGGGGTAGAAGATGATGAGCGCCTCGATGACGCGCGCCTGGTGGGGGTAATCCACCAACGAGGACAGAGAGATGGTGGCATCCGTGGGCCGTGGCCGCAGAAGCGTCGGCCCGAAGACGATGCCCAGATTGCTGGAGGTCATCTTGTTGTCCTGCTCCACCTCCACGATCCTGGATGAGGAAATCCATGAGAGCAGGCAGCGGTTGCTTCCCTTTCCCGTCCCACCACGGGGACAGAAGGGACGTCCCCCCCCTCAGCCCGGATCCCCCTCCTCACCTCCTCAGGTGCTGCAGGAGGTACTGCAGCGTGGCCGTGTTTTCCCACGGGAGCTCCTTCAGCAGCTCCTTCAGTTTCAACACCAGGTTCACCACCACGCGTTCGGTGTCGGCCCCTTTGTCCACCAGCTCCGGACCCCCTTTCCCACTCCTCCCTTTGGCCTCGCTGCCGCCCTGCAGGCTCTCCTTGGCTGCTCCCATCAGCGCGTTGTACATCCGGAACGGCACGATGGGCTCGGGCAGCTGCGAGGAGAACAGTGCGAGAGAAACCCTGTGAGCCCTCCAGATGGAGAACGCTCCTTTTCCCTTCAGAAAACCAACGCAAAAACCCAGCCTGGGGCGTGTGCGCGGCTTCTCGATAGATAAGAGGTTGTTAAATAGGACGGTGCTAATTGTTCCCTGGGAGGAGGAGGAGGTGAGAAGGAATCAGCGCAGCCTGCAGCTGTCAGGAGGAGCGTTTGGCTTTGAAGTTTGCATAAAGCAACCTGAGTGCGTTCGTGCACCGCCCGGCAGTTCTGCAGCGCTGCTGATGTTTGCGGTGCCTTCCCCGGGTGTTTGCTGGGGATGGATTGCTTTGCAGCAGAGCAGCGCTTCTGCAGAGGGACTTGAAACCGATTTCTCTGCCGTGCGCTGAGCCTGGATCTCAGCACAGGGCCGACCTCTTCTTTTTGCTCTCTGCTCTCCCTATCCAGGAGCTCGCAGCCCCTCTCTGCAGTGCGGGGATGTGGGGAGAAGCCTCCTCTGCCCCCAGGAAACCAGCAGAAAGGGTTAAGCCGTGAGAGAGAGAAGCTGCTTCCTCTCCTCCTGCCCCGTTTGAGGATGTGGGTCGGGGTTTGAGTTTCGGTGCAGGACTGAGCTGATGGCAGAGATGTTTGCTGCAGGCAGAGGGCCGGGAGAAGTGAGCTGAGCCCAGCCCCGCTGCGGGGCGACCTTTACGGCCACTTCCCTTTCTCCTGCTGCTTCCCCAACTACAAAGGGGAGGGACGGTGCAGCGCTTCACGCTTCGCTGCTGCAGCTGATGTTGTGTGAGGGCTCATAGGGGGCAGACGCATGGAGCTGCCCTGAGATGTGCAGTGAGATTGCTGATCTTCCTGCACACACCTCCATCGGGCCAGCTGGGCAGGAGGGGCTCTGACCCAGCCAGCAGGCAGCTGTCAGCACAGCTTGCAGCAGGATCGCCCCCTCCAGGCACAGATTGCTGGAATCACCAGGAATCGCCTCTGCCCTCTGCCCCCACCTGTCTCAGGTAGAGCTTCAGCACGTTGCTGATGTCGTGTGGGGACGCCTGGGAAAGCTCCACCAGCTCCTTCCCGTTCTCAAAGGCCTGGCAGAGCTTCTCCACGCGGGTCTTCACGCCGTTCACTCGGTAGATGCCCTGCCAAGGGGGAGAAAACCAAAGCTGAACATTTCTCTTTGGGTTCGCACGAGCTTTCGGCTCCCAGCCACTCCTTTGGGGGTGGAAATCCCCCTCAGGAGGTTTGGAAGAGCTGTTGCAGCTCAGACGTCGCTGCTGTTCCCCTTTTGTAGGGAAGAGAGGGAGTGCAGGACGTGTTTCCGTGTCAGTTTGTTTGTTGTGGGACCTCCTGCCTCAGAACCTGAGGGCTGCGCTGGTTCTCATAGCAGGACAGAGCCCATCTGGAGGGCAAGCAGCTGGAGCAGAGGGGAGGGCAGGGGGCTCACCTTGGTTTTCAGCGCCCTCTTCTCAATCTCAGAGATGCACTTCTTAACGATGAAGGGGATGCCGTCAGCGCTGCCCTGAGAAGCCTTCAGGAAGTCCTGCCCAAAAAGCTGCAGCTTCCCCTGGAGCTTCTTGTGCCCACATTGGATGGCCAAGGTCTCCAAGCACTTCTTGTGGCACGCCAGGTAGCACTGGGAGACAGGGAAGGGCTCAGAAGCAGGATCCCCCCCCCCCCCCCACATCCCCAGTCCTCCCACATCCCCAGCATTACCTCCTCACATTCTGCCCCCTGGAAGTACACGTAGCTGTTGCATTCCCTGCACTTGGAGGGGGTCCGCAGCTTCCTCAGCCGGTGGGTCTGGGCTGCCCTGGACAAACCCACGTTCCGGAAGGGTCCCGTGGGTGCTGCCATCTCTGGGGTGATCCCATTGATGCCTACAGGCAGAGAACAAAGGGACACATCAGCATTCTGTCTCCTTAGGGGTCAGGCAGAATGAGGCTCGAGCAGAAGGATCCCTGTCATATGGGGACCTGGCATGCTGACACGTGGGGCACACGGACACGCAGGACATGTGAGCCATGTGGGGTCATAGTGACACATGGGACACGTAAACATATGGGAAAAACAGACCCACAGGACATGCTGACACGTGGGACACACGGACACACGTGTGGACACATGGGACATGCTGACACACGGGGCGTTGGGCCACATCCCAGCTAACCAAGGGCTGTGCTCCTGATGGAGCTGTTGCCACTGCTTTGCACAGGGCCTGTCCCTGCCTAGTGGGAATGGTGTTGTGTTCCCCATGGACTCGCTGGTATTTCAGCTCTCCTCCCAGCAGAAGAGGGGGGCAGAGACCCCGCACAGCACAGCACAGCACAGCTGCATCTCCACTCCATCACATACTCTGCTCAAAGGAGGCAGCGTTCTCATCCTTCTCTCCCAGCTCCTCGCTGGAGGACATGGTGCCATTGGATGACAACCGTCGCAGTTTGTGGCTGAACTCTCCTGCTAAAGCAAAGCCTGGTTTGAGAGCTGGGAGGGATGGGGCGCACGCGGGCCGCCGCCCCGCGGGGTTCTGGGGGCACTCCTGTGCGTGTGGCTGTCCCTGCAGCAAGGAGTGGAGGTGGAGCAGGACAACAAGATGACCTCTGGAAGAGAAAGGTTGGAAGTGAAGAGAAACAGAAAAACAGAAGGGTTTCTGTGCTCGTTGGGTTCCTGCAGCTGGGCAGCTGGGGATTGCTAGAGGAATCCCATGGGTGCAGCACAGGTTTGGTGGTTCCCCCCCATTCCAATAGATTGGGATCAGCAGTTAGCTGTGGTGGAGTCTTAATTCTTAGGGAAGCTAAAAGGAAAAGGAAAAGAAAAGGGGGAGGGGGAGGAGAGGACGGGAAGGAAAAGATATAAAGACAAAGGAAAAGATAAAAAGGAAAAATGAAGGAAAAAAGAAAGCGCTGCTGGCAAGGAGGTGCTGCTTTCGGGTGGGCTCCACCAGAAGGTGAAGGAAGGCCCGGGTTCTGCACCCACCTGTGCTGGAATCCAGGCTGCTGTCAGCTTCGGAGGTGGTCGGCCAGGATTTGTGCACCTGGTGTCCCCTCCCTGCTGTGGGAAGAAGGGCTCACCGTTTGGGGCTGTCCCTGATGCCACACAGAGCAGCTCTGATAGCAGAAGCATTTGCTTGCTGCAGGCAGTGCTCAGGGCTGGGCTTTTCTCACCTCTGCGCTCTGCCAGCGTCCCACCCTGGGTCTCTCTGGGTCCATCTGTGTTGCTCCCATCCCTGGGCAGCCCAGCCCCATCAGAGCCACCACTGGTGGAGAAGTCGCTGGCGTTGAAGCTGCCCTTCCGTGTGCGGGTGAAGGGGGACCTGGTGGTGGGGAGGGAGGAGAAGGGCCATGTCCAAGAGGACGTAGGGGGAGGGATGCTTAGAAAAGCCACTCCAAAAGTAGTGGCTATCCACCAGAGCTGAGGTGGAAGCCTTCTGCTCCTGCACCAAGCAGCCTCTGTCTGCAGGAGCCCTCCCTGCAGCTGAGGTTGGTGCAGAGGAGCAGCGATTTCCCCCTCCTCTCCTACCAGGCGCTGTGGGACACGTAAGGCTCGAAGTCGTACTGCGTGTCGGGCTCATCCCCTCGCTGCAGCTGCTTGACATGCGAGGCATATTGCTGCCCGGGGTCGTACAGCTTGCTGCTCTCACACAGGGTTTGGAAGTAAACGGGCAGCGGCGCCGTCTGCATGTGCATGATCTGGTAGAAGGCGATGGTGGCCTGAAAACAAGGGGGAGGAAGTCAGGGCAGGAGACAGGGGGTGGCACAGGGGGAGGAGAGGCACAGAGCTGCCAGGTGGAGAATCGGGAGTGGGGCTGGGGCTGCAGCCCTGCCCTTGGCTCTGTGCAGCACAGGGCTGAGCAGCTGCTTGCCCTCCCCCCCCCCCCCCCCCCCCCCCGCGGGGGCGGCCCCCCCCCCCCCCCCCCCCCCCCCGGCTGTGGCACGGCCCCCAGCCCTCCCAACTCACCAGTTTGATGACCTGGTCGCTCTGCTTGATCAGCTCGTGGATCTGCCTCAGGGAATTCACTTTGGTGTCCTCCAGCTCCTGCTTCTGCGTGTTGGCATCTGCCACGCAGGTCCGGTAGGTGGCCATGGCCTCTTCTGCCTGAGGGGTGGGAGAGGGGAGATGGAAGCTGCTCAGAGGTGTGGAATTGGATGGGAGCTGCCTCCCTGTGCTGGACCCTGTGCTCTGTGTTGAGGTCAGGATGAGCTTCCAGCTCCCGTGCTTCTGGGCTGCCCTGTGCTAGGACAAGGAGTAAGAAGATCCCTGCAAAGCAGTGCCTGGAGCTGCTGTGCTCCCACCTTGTTCTTGGCCTCCTCTTCCAGCCGCCTCTTCTTGTCCAGGGTTTTGGTGGTGACATTGCTGGCGGTGCTCTGCTGCTCCTCCTCTGCTCTCACTGCCACATATTTGGCCTTCTCGTGCTCCTCGCTGCGCTGCATGTACACCTGCTTGGCCTTCCGCAGGTTCACCTCTGCATCTTGCTGCCAAAGGAGGAGCACCAGGGTGAGGGCTGAGCCCTGCAAGGGTCACCCTGCACAAAGCTGCCCAGGATGGGTGGGTGGATGAATGGATGGATGGATGGGTGGATGGGTGGATGGATGGATGGATGGATGGAGGGATGGAGGGATGGGTGGATGGATGGATGGATGGATGGACGCCTTCATGCCTCACCAGCTTCCGCTGTGCACGGTGCCACTGCTCCTTGATCTCCTTCCTCCTCTTCTCGTGCTCCAGGCGCCTCACAGTCAGTGGCTGCAGGAACGAATGGTGCAGCTGGCAAAGCACAGCCCTGCACGGAGCCCTGGCAGCAGCTGCTCCATGCACTGCATGCTCACCTGCAGGAAGGTCTGGTGCTGCAGCGTGGTGACAGTCTGCAGGACCGACGTGCCGTATTCCATGTCCTGCTCCAGTGCCAGCAGGTAGATGGACAGGAAGGGCATGCTGGTCTGAGGAATGACAAAAGCAGCACTCTGAGGCTCAGCACGAGGCTGATGCTGTCAGCTCCAGGACAGCTGGGGAGCTCCAGGCTGGCAGTACCTCCTGCGTGAAGGTTTGCTTGCAGCTGTTTGCCATCTTCTGGAGCCCTTTGGCGAACTCCAGTTCTGGAAGAGAAAGGTTGGAAGTGAAGAAAGTTGACACAGAAGGCTTTCTGTGCTCGTTGGGTTCCTTCTTAAATGCGAGGGACCTCCCAGCAGCTCTGGCTCCCTTGGCCCCATGCTGTGCTCTCAGGATCATCCCCCCATCCCAGAGCCATCCCACAGTGCACAGACCCCCCCCCACATCTCACCCAGCGCCGTCCTTTTCTCCAGGTACCCGATGAGGTCCTTCATGTACTTGGAGATGTTCTTGGCATACTGCAGGGCAGCATCCACACCTCCCTCACAGCGCTGCAGCATCACATCCACCTCCTCTGCCGCCGGACGAACTGTGATGTGGGGACAGAGGAGAAGGGGAATGATCCCAAACCATGCTGCTGCTGATTGCTGGGCTGGTCCTAGGACCCCCAGAGTAGCCAGGAAGACCCCAATGCTCACAGCAGCTGCTCTGCCATTTCCTCTCAGCTGTGTCCCCAGGGGCAGCTCAGCCCAGGATGATGTCCAGGTGGTGATGGCAGAGCCCATTTCTCTTTGACCACCCCCAAGTCCCACAGCAACGGCTGCTTGCTCACCTGCATCATAGCTCTCCATGCCCGAGGGCACACCATCCCCTCCAGGCCCAGGGATCCCCCCATAGAGGCTCTCCATAGACTTTGGGAAATCAGGAAAGGAAGGAATGCGTCAGACAAACAGGAGTGCTCAGAGGGGACCCCTGTGCTCAGGGTTAGGGCTGAGACCCCAGCAGACCCCCAGCGGGCGGCACACACCTGATTCTGGTCGCTGGGTGGGATGGAGAGGATGGTGCTGCTGTCCACCTCCCCCATGAGGAACTCAGAGACGCTGTGACAAGAGGAACACAGTCAGCCAGAGGAGGAGCAGCGGTGACAAAGCAGCGCCACCTCCCAGCACCCCATCCGCATCCAGGGGCGGCGGTGCAAAACCCTTACGTGCTGCTGAAGGACACCGCGATGGTTTCCACGGCCTTCTCAAACTCCCTCTTGTCTGTCTCATTGTTGGATTCGTAATGGAATCCTGCAGGTGGGGGAGAAACAGGAGCCCCATCACCCCTGTGCACCCTGCACCCCACAGCACGGACCATCTCACGCACCTCCCAGCACCGGGGTCACGGCCATGAGGAGGCCAGGATGACAGAGGAACACGATTCTGCCGTGCTGGCAGCTGGGTGAGGACCCGGATCTCCATCATCACTCAGCTGCCTCCATCCCAAGGCCCCCATGTGGGGCCGGCCCCATGGCAGAGCACTGCCAGCCCCGAGGCTTCCTGTCCCCGTGTGGTTACAGCTCGGTGTCCAGGAAGTGGTGACGCAGTGTTGTGCTGTGCCTGCGGTTACCACAGCCCCCCCTCCCTCCCCCTTCGCCCTCCCCACCACAGCTGTAACTGCTCTGCCCCTGGTGGGACAGGAGCCCTCAGAGCCCACTCACAAACACGGGGATGTGGGACCAAAGCAGGGGGCTGGAATAGGGCTGGGGCTTGGATGGCAGCGCCTTCATTCCGTGCCCCATCCATTGGCAGCCCTGCTCCAGGCAGCCCCAAAATGGGCTCCCCAGCAACGGGGTGGGAATGGGACGGAGCTCCCCGCCCTGGGCTCACCTTTCACTTTGGATATGAGGGTCCCTGCTGCAGTCAGCGTCTCCAACGTGTTGAGCAGTGGGTATTTGTTGATCACTTGGCGCAGCACCCGCAGCGTTTCACCCAGACACTCGTGGGCCTGCGGCCGCTGGGACTCCTTGGGGTCTGCAGGAGAAAAGGCAGCCCTGTGTACACCCCATCCCTGGTACCGTGCTCACCCCTGCCATGGGGCAGGCACACCTTCGAGGCATTTTTTCCTCAGTAGTAAATTTTTCCTTTGAAAGCGGTATGGCAATTTCCTTCCCATTTCCTCCCCTCCTCCCTGCTGGCCACAGGATCCTGCCCCATCCATTGGCTTGGTTGTGTCCCCTGGGGTCCAGCACCACGCCACAGCCCCTACCCAGTGCTCAGAGCCAGGGGAAGCAGTGTGTGAGCTCAGGGCAGGGTGCTGGCAGTGCTCAGCATCCCATAGGGATGCACTGAAGACAGCAGCCTGGGTGCCAGCTCCAGGTGGGGAAGGACTTTCCTCTGCTCCCTCTCCCATTTCCCACACCATGTTCCCCACGTCTGGGCACGGCTGTTTTCCACCGTGAGTGAAGATGCGTCAACATGTTTGCTGAAAGCAGGGCACCATGTGATCCCAGCAGCCCCACCTCACCGTGGAGAGCAACCACAGTGGCTGCTTTCTGCAACCCCGGAGACCACAGCCTCACAGCCTCACAGCCCTGCAGCCCCACTCCTGCTTTGAGCATCATCCCCAACCCAAAGGGAGGGCCAGGGGCTGGGGTTGTGCTGGTGCCCCATGGGGTCCAGGGCCACTGCCAGGCAGCTGGCACTGCTGTGCTGTAAACAGGAAAGCAGGCGGATGAAAATAGCTCGCAGGCAGGAAGCAGTGTTATCCTGGCTCTGAGCTCCCAGCAGCCACCCACCACCCTCTGCCCCAGGGCCCCTTGGTCTGCACAACCCCCCCAGGGCAGGGACCCCCCCCCCTCATTGGACCAAGCGTGGGGTTCTTCAGCACCCGCTGGAGCCTTCATCCCTGGAGCCTTACAGCCCTGTGCCGTGGGTTAGAGGGCGATGCCGTGGGGGTTCTGTGGTCCCCCAGTCCCACTCCCCCTCCGTGGCCACCCGGGGGGCACCCAGCCCAGCACTCACCATCACGCAGCACCACGTCCCGCAGGTTCTCCAGGGCATCTGCGAACCGCGCCACATCGGTCAGGAGCTGAGAGATGTCCTCCACATCGATGAAAGGACCCTCCCCACCCTCCATAGGGCTGTGGGATGTGGGGGTCTTGTGGCCCTTAGGGACGGCCCGGGGGTTGGCAGCAGTGAGAGGGAAGCCGGCGGCGCTGGCATGGCGGCTGAGGCTGGTGGGGCGCTTCAGGGTGCCCACAGCACTGGGACTGCTGCTGAGTTTGGAGCTGGTGGGGGGCAGCTCCGCGGGGCTGGGAGCTTCCAGGCAGTCCTTGCGGGACAGATCCTGCAGGAGCAGAGCACAGCGTGAGTGCTGCCCTGGGGATGGCGTTGCCCGAGGATGGTGGGCTCCATTGACAGCAGGATCTGGCCCTGCACATCCCTTCCTCTTTTTCTGGCTGTCCAAGTCCAGCACGTCCTTGGCACTGCGGGGCTGGGGACGCCTCCCGGGCCACCAATAGCAAATAGTACAGAATTGTTGCAGACACACAGAGCCCTGATTTCTAGGGGTGAAATCGCCCCAAGGGAGAGGCTGATAGCACCTCCCAAGACCCCGTGCCCCAAAGCCATCACCAGGGTTGGGTCCCGCACCCCTCTGTCCCCACACAGCCTCAGCTGTGACACGAATATGCTGGGAACAGCAGCAGGTTTGGCACCAATGAGGCAAAAACACCGCGGCATCTTCTCCAATCCTGCCCTGGAACACGAGGCCACCCAGACGGCAGCACCTCGAGCAGAGCTGATGAGGGCACTGCAGACCCCGCGGGCTGCTCCCTCCCACCATCCCCGTACCGTCAGCCGCACGGAGGGCGAGCGGGGCAGCGAATCCAGGGAGCGCTTTGGAGAGTTGGCCGTCCCCGTCCTGCGGCGCCCGGCAGCGTAGGGGCTGTAGCTGTTCCGCCCCGCCGCCCTGCCGAGCATCCCAGCGCCTGCAGGCTGCGCCCACCCATAGACCCCTCAGCAGGGGAGAACCGTGAGGAAGGGATGGGGATGGGTGACCCTGCGAGGAGCTGCGGGCGGGCTGAAGCCGGCGGCCCCGTCCTGTGGGTTGGGGAGCAGCGCAGGCGCGGGGCGGGCTGAGGAACCCCGTCTGCTGTCCGCCCCACAGAGGAGAAGCGCTTCCTCTTGCACTCTGGGTCACCGATGAGTAAATAAACCCATAGCAGAGCCGTGGTGTGGGGCTGGCCAAGCCTCACTTCCCCTGCTCCTGCCCCTGAGCAGTCGGGGTCTCTCGGTCCCTCCACCGCACTCCCCACGTTCTGCTGCAGCCCCAGCTCTGCCCGCTCTCCTCCCAGCCGGGCCCTTCGGCTGTTGCTGCATCCCCTTCATCTGGGACAAAGTCCCCCCGGTCCCGTCGGCGGAGTCCTTCCTCATTTCCTTCCTCCTCGCATCCCTCCAGCCACCCCATCCCTCCCTCCCCACCGCACTTACAGGCAAGGTCTGCGGGATGGGGCTCCCTGCGCGGCTCTTCTTGGAGATGGAGGGGGTCTTCATCAACTCACGTTTCTTCCGGGAGAACATGGCTATAGGGCGGCCCTGGGGGGGGCCCCGGGCTGCCAGCAGCTCTCCGCTACCCCTCCGTCAGCATTCGCTGGGGCCAACTGTCAGCGCAGCGCATGTGACACCGCCTTATTTCCTCATTGGGTTCGCAGGCAAAGTTGAAACAGGAAAAGCTAAATGTGCGGCGAGGGCACGAGGCCGGGAGGAAGGGGTCTCCGGCCGCCCCCCCCCGGTGCCGTGTGGCACTCAGCGTGCGGGTGCAGGGGATTTCTCGTGGAGTTTTGCTGCCCGGGGAGGACGGATTCCCAGGGACTGGGGCTGTGGGGCCGTCAGGCCCTTCTGTTAACTGATGGATGCGCAGTGCGGGGTTGCGGGGCTCCAGCACTCGGTTCAGCCCAGCCCGGCTCTGCTCTGCTCTGCCCTCATTTTGGATCCCCGGCCACACCTGCGCCCTCCCCCCCCCCCTCCCC